ACGACAGCAACGGAGCTAGCTAATACGGCCGCCGCTTCGTCGACTGAGACAGCATCAACTGAGTCCTCTACGACAGCAACGGAGCTTGCTAATACGGCCGCCGCTTCGTCGACTGGAACAACGTCAAGCGAACCCTCATCGACAGCAACGGAGCTAGCTAATACGGCTGCCGCCTCAACTGCGGGAACAACATTGACTGGGTCTTCGACGACAGCAACGGATCTAGCAAACACGGCCGCGGCTTCGTCCACAGAAACAACATCGACTGATTCCTCGACGACAGCAACTGAGCTGGCCAACTCAGTAACCACTGCGTCAAGCCAAACAGCATCAGCTGAGTCCGTGGCGGCAGCAGCTCAGACTGCGTTTGTGACGGTAACACAGCTGGCTAACTCGGCCACCAACTCATCAAGCGAAACAACATCGACTGAGTCCACGGCGGCTGCAGTTGGGACTACCTCGCCATCAACAACACAGCTGGCTAACTCGGTCACCAATTCATCAAGCGACACAACATCGACTGAATCTGCGGCGACTGCAGTTGGGACTGCCTTTGTGACAGTAACGCAGCTAGCTAACTCGGCCACCACTTCATCAAGCGAGACGATAATCATTGAATCATCTACAACAGCAGCTACAACAGTATTTAGAATCCGAGGACGGGAGGTAGTCCTCACGTCAAGATAGAGAGGTGGAGAGTGGCGGGCTGGGTGAAGTATTGTTTATATTTTGTAATACTAATTAACGACAGGAACATGCATACTAATACCTAGCACGAACTTCACGAGCACGGAATACGAAGCCACGACGACAGCACGAATACTTACGAGGATAGTCCACGAGGCCGAACAACAAGACGACAGCATCATAGAGAGATACCCAGCAGGCCGCGGTGTTTGGAACAGGATAAAGGGATGTCAATCGCGGAAATTTAGGGCGTTCAACTCGTTGAGAGGGCGAATTAGGCCATAACAGAAGAGGCTTTGCGAACAAAAGGATCGCGTTTAATTATTGACTGGCAACAAGAAATCTGTAATTTCATAGGCGTGGAGGTGTCTACAGTCCTCCCTAGTAAATACGGCGGAGTTTCAGTTTCCGGAATGCAAGCTGCTTCTCCACGTCGCTGGCTCTCGCTCGACGCTTTGTCCAGTATTAAGATAACGTTGTCTTGCTGAGTCCAGCACGGCCCTCATGTCGCGCGCACCATTTATTTTCTGGTCGCCCCAATGTTATGACTAGACCCCTTAATGCAGCCAGCTGCACCTCTCTCCAACGTCCAAAATTTGTATGGATCTCGGATGCGCTGCTAACGGACACGTTCAATCGTTTCTGGCGCCACAAGCGCTATGGCAGCAGCGTGCCAGGCCCATTGGAGGCACAGAGACGTGCTGCTAAGAGGAAGAATACCAGTCTGGCCTATGCCAGTTCCGGAGGCATCTCAATCGACCCATGTGTCGTACTCGCGAGCTCTGCCAACAAGCTGGCTTGGTGGGGAGAGCCTAAGGACGCTGGAGCTGCATCAGGTATGATTCCAGATCTACTCTGGAGATGCCTCACTGACACGCTGGTAGCTACATCGTCTCGACTCCTGCCATCATGGCTCTTCCCACTCCCTGCCTTGACGCAGCGCCCCGAGCCGAAGCCCGCCCAGCTCGAAGTCGAATCATCGGAGTCCAACCCGCGAACAATATCCCCCCAGCAAGCCGAAGGGCTGTCCCATTGTCAAACACTTTCTGAGATCAAAATGTGGCTCGTGAACGAAGGGTTCAGCATCCCTGTGGATGCCCATGTTGGGTCCGCAATACTGAGCCATGTCCTGAAAAAGGACTCGCTGGACCTTGATGTGCGCACAATTGCCGCATACATCAGCGACCCGGCATTTCATCCTCCGGGTTCATCCTTCGTTTCACCCTTTGTACGTGCCGTACTGCGTCGTCCTTGGGACCGCACCTCTTGGTCTATCCTTTCTCGATCGATCTGCTCCGCCACTGAACTCGGGCTCATCAGCCTTGTTGATACAACGAAAATAATCAAGAAGGTGCAATACACGACTTCACTACGACTGACTGATGTTCCCTCGAGAGCCAACCTGATAGCCAGACTGGACCTTATATGCGGCATTTTAGAGTCCTTGGACCGCTCAGCGGTCCTACAACTTACGGATATGGGAGCCTCAACGCTTTCCGAACTCTTTTCAAGGTTTGCGGCCTATGCTCACCTTGACTGGTGCGAGCAAATGGCGTGGCGTCTGTTACCCTGGGGTTCCAAGAGTGATGTTCATTTCATTGGGCGACTCATCCATAAGCAGCTCCAATTTCAGGGTGGTCCACGAGCTTTCGGCGAGAGAAATGGGCAGGCACTTGCAGACAGGCTTATTCGGGCTACTCCGGAGACTCTGCAGCTGCTGTTGGTGCATACCACTGAAACTTTGCTCAAATTCTCGACAGCAACAGAGACAATGCTGTACAGGGCTATGTGGCAGCACTGGTGCAGCACCTTGGCTGCTTTGGGGTCACGAAATCACCATGGGTTGGTGAGCAAAAGCACATGGGGCTCCCTTCAATCTGTCCAGAGCACTCTATCGGCAGATCAGCGCTGGTTAGCATTTGCATGGACTGCCATGGCTCTCTGTCACGATATCAGAACTTCAACTGATTTATCAGATCAACTCTTGTTTCTCAGCTTCTTTGAAGAGCTCATCACCTCGATATCAAGTCCTCGAGTGGTTCCGTCCCGTCTTGCAGTTGTCGAGCTCCGCAATCTAGCTCTGCCCGGCCGGGACCTCCTTTTGCGACACCTGACCCGACTTTCTGTCTTCGACAAAGATGCCTTCTTTGGCCGGCAATCACAAGGCTTACCCACCGTCGGTTCAACATGTAGACAGGGCATCACCACGAGCACTGTTAACAGACGTATGCAGAACGCGCACTTCGGCCATAGCGAAGCCCTATCGGAGGTTCTGGACAATGCGATGCATGGGTTCCAGGCATTCCAAATCTTGGTGAGGAGAATGATCCACAAAAGCACCATGTCATTTGGTATTGTATGCCAGCTTCTGGAGAGCAACGCGATGGTAGAGAGACTTTTTCAAGTGCCACAGTCCTCCGTTCCATCACTATACGACACGGCGGGCATGAGAAACGAGGAACCGATGGACCTGGGCGCTTCGACCGGTGCTGAGAGGACGACGTCTCAATCAGAACGTTTCACCACCACATCCTGGCCTCCCACCAGAGAACAGATAATCGAGCTATTACATGATCTCGCAGTATCCTTCGCGACTAGCCCGGTGGCTACCCCGCGATCCGCGTTCCGCAGAGTCTACTGGTGCTACCTCTTCCTCTGCCAACACGGCGTGCCAATACAACCCACAATCACAAGAGCGCTATGGCATGCGGGCGTGACACGCTACGGCGAGCAAGGCACGGCAGCCACGCTCCTGAAATGGATCCTCCATCGAGTCAGCGAGGTAGAGGGCGAAGAAGTCGCCAGGCAATTGCTCTGGAGCGAAGCCTTCCGGCGATCAAGGACAGAGCAGGTCGAGGCAAGGAGCCAACCCCACGATCAAGATGAACAAGCAATGCTTGCCTTGTTGCGTAGGGATCAAGAAGAAATGCCATCGAAAGTAGACTGCGAGATGAACAGCCCGACCATCACGACCGGACCCAAAGTTGCCTGGTCTCCGTTTTCTTCTGCTTCTGCTGTTCCTGCACCGGCAGAGCAGGTCGAGGCAAGGAGTCCACCGCACAAGCAAGACGAACAAGCAATCCTTTCTTCCTTGCGTGGAGATAAATCAGAAATGCCGTCGAAAAGAGAAAGCGAGACGAACAGCTCAACCAACACGACCGGATCGAAAGTCGACTGGTCTCCTTTTTCTTCTTCTTCTTCTTCTTCTTCTTCTTCTTCTTCTTCTTCTGTCACGTCTGCTGTGTCTGCACCCTCACACTCGGACCCGTTTTCGGACTCGAACATTGCCTCACTCCTCACAGCCGACGAAGAACTCGACCGCGCGATAACGGCCAAAACCAAGTTCCTCCGATCTCTACCGCCGGAACGACCGTTCTGGTTGCCCCGCGAAAGGACCAACGCAAGATTCAAAGGCCGCAATGCAGACGCGGCAGCCACGCCAATGCATCAGCAGGGGCTCAGAGAGAACATCAATCACCGAAACAGGGCTAGGATGTCAAGCGGACTGTCGATCAGGTGTTATGACCCTCGTGGCGTGGTGTCTTAGGCCATGAACTGAGGTGGCCGAATGGGTTTAGAGATTATAGCATGAAAGACTGTGAGACGACGCGTAATGCGATGAGATGCGAGTTCGGTGACTACCGTAGGTAGGCACGAATAGCTGTAATAGCTACGTTACGTATATGCATATATGCATGAAATGAAAGGGAACCTACATTCTGTCGCTTGCGCCGTCCGTACACAGGATCGGGAGAGGAGAGGAGACTCACGCCTATGCTCGTGTGCATGCGAATTCTAACAGCAACAGCGCCAAAGGAAGATCTCGTCGCGATTGGGGAACCGGAGTAGTGGCCTGAGATGTTCACTCCGCTCGCGGTCAAGAACGTGACTGAGTGACTGAGTGACTTGTTGGCTGACTGACGATTGAAAAGATCTTAGGCTCGAATGGCGAGCTAGTGCTAAACTAATAGCTCGACCCATCGCATTGGGACGCGTGGATTTAGACGGCCAGACGGCTGCGCAGGCATGGAGGCAAGGGCAACCACAGACCTGAGGAGATGCGAGAAGCACACGCGGAGGCGACGAGGCTCACGCACCAGTCCTGCCTCAGGCTCGACTTTCAAGGAGGGACAGAAATTCTCCTGAAATCCGAGAACAAGGAACGGAATCCTATCAAACATGTGTCAGTGGAGGGACTCGCGCGTCTTCAGCTCGAACTTGTCTGTCAATCAAAGGCGTTGTCTCTGCACGAGCTCGGTTGTCGTTGGCGTTGTGGAAGGAGTCAGTCAGTCCACCGTTTGACGGCCTTCAGTGAGCGACATGGAGGGATTGCGAATCCAGCGACTCCCGCTGCGCGTGACAATGAATATGGTGTTCGACTCGCAGGAAGGACTTTGCTTTGAGGAGGTCGTCGAGCAGGGACAGTCGCTGTCGATCTCAGGTTCGACATTCTCGGACCTGAGGACGAGCTGGCCGACCTGCGAAGTCGTCCGTACTCGTACTCCTTGCTGCGAGTGGGGTTTGGTCTTGTGTAGCCTCTGGAATCTTGGTTCATGGACCATGGCGCCGTCGCGGTCGCACAGCAGCTTAGGCTATCGGTGGAGCCGAAAATGACACGTTCGCTGCATGTCACGCAGATCGCCAAGAGTTAAGCCTCACTTTCGCGCTCTATACTGGATGAGTTGCAAGCCTACACTTCCGCAGGACATGGGTGGCCACGCTGAGAGAGGTGCATCGGGATTTCTTTCCTCAATCGGCGTATTCAACATTGCTTCGCTGCAGAGAGAGATCTGGTACACAGGTTTATCCTTGTGACAAGGTCTGGGTGTTCAACTGTCGGTGAAGGGGGAAGAGGGAATGGAAGAGGAGTTGTAATGCGGAGTCGAGCCCCGAAGGCTGTGAGGCAAGCTCCAATTATGCCTCACTCCTGTAATTAGAGTGCAAGCGGTAGGACGTTTTGGTGTTAGCACAAAATTGTCGGCAGTCCCTTTCCCAGAAATGAAGGGTCCGCCGAATTGCGTCGCGCCAGATTCCCCCATTCTTGTCAGGAATTGAACACGGCGGTTTTCACAGCATCTTCGTTGGCCGTTCTAGGACGAGGAAGCAGTTGTAGATGACTCTGCAGGGAGCTAGCAGTTTATATCTGTACCGCGCGATCAGATCATCTGTTATCGGTGCCACGTGTTCGACATCTGCTTCGACAGGGTGCATGGCAATGATTGCAAGATTAGCGTTCGTCGTGGATGATGCGGTCAATCTTGATCGTGATATCAGCAGAGACGTCCGAAAGAGACGAAAGATGTGCCTGCTGCGGCTCACCCCAGAAACGTGAACTCTGGAGACCCGGATGATCTGAGGCGGCGTTCCCAATTGCGTGGATGAGGTAGATCAGGGTATTGGTGAGTGCCATCTGTGCATGTACCGTACATGGGAGTGGAGTCTACATCGTCCGTGGTGATTTGTGCGGATAGGAGTCCAGCAATAATGAGCCTCGCTGCATCGAGATGTGCTCTGCTGATCGCAGGCACGATGGATGTCTTGCATAGCTGGCGGAGATGAAGGTGGCGGTCAAGGACGCATTACGATCGGTCGACCTGTCATATTTTGGCTTGAAACAAGCATACGACATCCCTGAACCCAGGCGGCTGAACATTGGTGACTTCACCATGGAGCACCTGAGCGAATCGCCAGTGTGCCTGAGCCGAACGTGAAGGGGGTTCCTGGAAGTTGCACGGCATTGATCAAGTACGACCACGTTTGACCCAAATCTTGGGGCGGAGTGAAGCCTGTCCATGAGGGACAGCTCGTTGAACGATCAGAGTTGTACCGGTGGCACAGAACTGTGACACCCGTGGTCGGGAAAACTGCTGTTCCTCAAGGCTGGCAGGATGAGCAGTCTGAAGTGCGAGAGAGGAGACCCAGCGATGCGGTCGATTACGGGAGGCGACAGGCGACTGGGAGCTGCATGCGGCCCGTCAGCGCAAGCGAGGAGGAAGGGTCGATCATGGGAGATGCGCGAAGGGGGGCGATCGACCAGGGGAGAAGGAAGGAGCGCATCAGGCCGCAGGACTCTCGGAAGGGCGAAGGGAACGATCTCATGGTGTACATTCGACTGCATGCATCCGAGCTTGGGACGAGGCCAGAGCACGGATGCTCTCGATACCGTGCCGGGGTCAGCCAAGGGTATATACGCCACGGAGATATTAGAATTTACCTAGAGGCAATAGATGTGCCCCGTGGTGGAAAGGCCGAAGCAAGGGAGCACCAGGGCCGCATGGTTGTCTCCGTCCTGGGCGGTGAATTCAAACTCACACAAAGTTTGAGGCACCTTTACCGTAGTCACCGAGCAGTAGGCGATTGGATCTGGTGCAGCGCATCCCGCGATTCAAGATCCCCCGGGACCGAATTGCCGGCGGGAAAGACCGTGACTTAGCAGTGACTGGTTAGGCGTCGCCGCACCTATTGTTAGAGGCTGGCGAGAGGCGAGAGCCTAAGATGGGCCCTAGGCTAGGGCTGGCTAGGCAAGCGCCATCCGCAGTGGTAGCCTACGGCGGCAACCAGCGGCTTCGGATCGATGCACAGACCGAATCAATTACGTATGCAGCCGGCCGAAGTTCTTGTTCGGAACATCCTTGCTCAACATCTAACCTTTACAACTTCACACAATCGAGGTGAAGTTAATGCACCTCGGCCACCACCTTGCATTGATTTGATCCTCGACAGTGCTGCAATGTCCTCGAGGAAGCTTTCAGCTGCCACCCCCCCCGGATCCTGGTCTGCATTAGCGAGACATTCACTTCGCTTGGTTTCCCCGCCTTCCTGACTTGGAACATGTCATCTCTCCCTTCTCCCGCTTGGTGACAATGGCCATGCGTCGTCTGTGGCATATGGCAACAACGTCTAGGAACTCGTTCCTGAGTCGGCTGCCTGACGTGATCGTGGTTATTGCGGGCGGGTAGCGTGTTCCGACCCAGACCGGCGACATGACATATGGACGTCTACTGCTGAACGCTCGAGCTACTGTGTACATGGGAAACGAGTATTGAAGTGGCGGGGACGAGGGACCGTGATCTCTTTTCAGGAATAGATCACGACGCCCAGCAATACCAACACGCTCTCGGAACGTCCTCGGTGGCTCTACCGACTGCATTGCTATTGCGCCAGGAAAAGTCGGCTTGCGTCGACAACTGAAACAGCCCACCATGCAAGGTCATTAGCTGTGCATCTACTCTGCTCTCAAGGCCACCCTTTTGAGTTCAATACCAGCTGGAGAACCTGATTCGCCTGGGCGTGTCTCCCATGGGTCGCTCCACTCACCCTCAACCTTGTCTTCAGATCCCCCCCCTTACCGATCCGGCCCATCAGCCAATAGCCGCTTTCTTGTTGCAACTTCAGACTTTGGTATACCGTCCACCCAGCCAGTCACGCTTTTACATTGTCCATCTTGTCCCAGCACAAACAATCACACGAGTCCTGTTACCTGCGGAACGGTCCTTTCTCCTTCCACACCACCCTTACTTGCGCCACCTCCAGCATCACTTTCGCCTCAGGTGCGTTACCCTTGGTGATGGGGGCCCATTCCTGGTTCCTCTTGTTCCCCGAAAAAGCCTGCGTCAATTTTCTTGCACTGGGTCGAAAGCCATCGAGCCATGGTCGTCGATCTTGTGGGCGGGCTGTCCCGAGAACACCGCCATATATCATATTACGTGCTCTACCTCGCGGCGGCCGCGGAAATTTGATTCGTACTTGTACCCCATTGTGATATGCGGACAATCCGAACTGAGTTCTCCCGCATCTCAATCGGGTCCCGGAAAGCTCTCCCACCTGCCAGATCGACAAAATGCCAGGGCCTGCATTCGCGAGATCCACGGCACAGGTTGAGCTCGCTTGATCCCGGTTCGCTTTGAGCTGCGGTACCCCCTGCTGCAGCAGGAACCCTAAATCAAGGTTCGTGCTCCTGATCAACTCACTAGGGTCCCGATGCCCTTTACAGCAGCTGCTCTCACAACTCCACTACCATGCCACGCCACCCCCGTTCACTTGCTGCAGAGAACCCAAAGTCCTCGGGCGGACAGAACTGTTGCTATATTTTGAGGAGACTCCATCTGTTATCCCTCTGACTGCCCTTCATCTTTTCTTCTTGTGACCGTTTGTCGTTCATTGAGTCAACGGCTTCAGGTGGAACCCGCGTCAAGATCCAAGACTCTGCCTCTTCCTCTAAAGACACGGCACCGCAGCAGTGGAATTTTGACCGACACTCGAACTTCGTGGTCTGGTAAGCAAGACCCTACCTCCACCAACTGCCTCAAGGTCATTTCCCTACGTGGTGCAGCTAGACGACAATTCCATCTGGGCTGCTCAGAAGGCCGTGTCAACGCTGCCATGGATAGATCTGACACAGGTCGCCTGAACGGTGCAGAGGTGGCATTTCGGTATTGCGCTACCTCTGCCTCCTTGTTGTCCTCCTCTGGCAGTACTTCTGGTAGCACATGAGCCCGTGGATGTACAGCAGGAGATCCTGGTCGGACATATCAACTGCCACTTATTCTCCTTCACCATGAGATTCGCTCTTGTCTTGATTCTTTCCTCTCCCTTTCCTGTTGCTTCCATGGATCCATACAGTTCTTATGTCTGTCCTTCTGACTTCGAAGCAGGCCGACCACAACGCTCAAGTGCCCCTGTAGACGATTCAAAGCTCTATCTTGCGCAACAACCACATCAACCGCAGCAGCAGCAGCAGTTGCCGCCTTTTCGAGAGGTACGCTAGCTTGCCTCCTGTTCAGAACCCGCTGACATCAATAAGCTTCTTGGAACCGGAGCTCACAGTAGCATCGAACCAGCGGTCACAGGGGCATCTACGCCGAACGCCCAAGGAAATACTATGACAAGGAGAACTTTTCACACGGCATCCGGACCGTTGAAGATCGAGCCTCCCTCGCCAGAACGGTTGCAAACCGGAAGCAGCTTCGACAACTTTGACAGCATGTCTGCGCAAAGTGCTGACTCGGCGTACGGGGCCCACCGTCATCACCGACAAAACTCATCATGGACCTCGCCGTCGCACTATACTGAGCTTGTCAGTCCCTACAGCAGCCAGCAGCGGGCACCCTGTACCGTACAGACCCAATTCTCCGCACCAAAACCAGAACCGAGTCTACCATCTATCCACGATTTGACCTACAATCAGTCTTTTCCTATAGCAAGCCCGTATGCCTACGGAGGCTCGGCTGGAGCCTACACGGACCATCGTAGCTATCCCATGAAAACAGAGTCACCTTACTCCATCAAAACAGAAACCCATTCATACTATGAACCTACGCACCGATATGGGCAGAGCTACCAGCAAATGAACCGGCCACAACCGCCCACGATGGATTATCAAAGGTACCCGTCGGCACTGTTCGACTACCCAAAGAGCCTTGCATATTCGTCACCTTACGGGGTCGACTACATCCCATCTCCCACGGGTTCTCACCATGCAGTCTCTCCGACAGTGTCGAACGGGGACGGCTGCGGCGGTCCAAACCGGAGAAGGAGGGGTAATCTACCCAAACATATTACCGACTACCTAAAGAATTGGTTTCTGGCACATTTGGATCATCCTTACCCTACCGAGGATGAGAAACAACAGTTCGTCCATGACACACAGCTAACCCTTGCTCAGGTATTTCCCCTTTACTGTTTTGGGAAAGCCGCAAGCTAATATGACCCTTTCTCTCAGATCAGTAACTGGTTCATCAACGCGAGAAGACGTCATCTTCCGACATGGCGGCACCAAGCTCAGGAAAACAGCCGCAGGGCGGCACAGGCTTCAGCCGCCGAGTACGATTCGGAACAAGGACGACGCTCGCACAAGTCTTTCGACTGAGTAGCTGAGATTGTATGATTCAAGGCGGGCTGGGAGTTTCGAGAGCGGGGCTTGGAAATGTGGACTGGCATGGACTCTGGGTTTGCAGGAATGATACCCGGTTTCAAAACGTGTGCATTAGGAGACTATGTTACATTTCGGACACCTTTTGCATGTCTCTTGCTCTTATCGGTGGTCTTGGCACATTCGGGCATAACATACACGGCGGCATCATTGAGCGAAGGGACACTATCGAAGGAGGAATGACATGACGAACATCTGGGCAACGGCACGGCAGGCGGTATTAATGGCAGATCACCAGACGGGCATCAGGCTGTGTGCGTGTTCATTGTTATGGAGTGTCTATAGCATTCATTCGCTTTCAAGGTTGGCGCTCATCATGTTCTTGAGGACCTTGAATACTTGAGCAGCATTGTTCCGCGAGAGAGGTACTACGTCAGATGGCTGTACTCTTGTGTACGAGAATGAAAGTGAAAAGTCATAGGTTCTGTTCAGTCACGGAATACGCGCACTCGCATTTAAATCTGCAAACCTGTCCGCCAGTGTCTGTCGTGGGCTGTACTTCGCCCTAGGTGCGCTTCCAGACCCCCCCCCTTGTGTTTCGAATCGGATGAGCGCATGTCCTGGTTTCTCCCGCGTTCCCTTTTAACATCCGTCTAGCTAATAACCTGAGAACGGTCCACGACGTTGCCGGCACGGAACGATACATTGCGGCTTCAGAAAGCCCGCGACTTCAAGTGCTGCAATTGGCCATCATGAGTTAAACCCACGTGCTGAGCAAGCGCTGTTGATCATATTGCCGAGTCGAAACAAATACACATTGTCCTCAGGGTACGCACTAGAGTGCTCATCAAATCCTCGTGCCTCCACGGGCCAGAGCTCCAAGGTGAGTGGTGGAACGTCCCAACATACGAACGCCCGGGGGAATATCGGCATTACAATCAGACAAGCCGCTGAGCCGGCATTGGCCTTGTCGCTGGTGACTAGAGGTCAAGCAGCCTCTCACCCACTTCTGAATGCCTTTTAATGTTTGGTCAACGACCGCGCCATATGTACTCGAGCCAGCTCCGACACCGCAACAGCAGGCCCGGGCGGGGCTGACGTCCAAAGCTCGACGTCCTGTGACAGGACTGAAGGACTCAGCTGCCAAGGACGACGTATGAATTTGCGCGAATTATCTGATCAGAAATCAAGGGGGATAAGATTAGATTTTCTCAGATAATCAGGCGGCATCCTCCCAATAGTGGGGGGTGCTGGGCACATGGCGCCCCTAGACTGGACGTGCTCGCCTCTTGACCTCTGGGCTGCAGCGGCGAGCCAGGAAACGCCATTCTAGTGCCTGATGGTGCCAGAATCCGGACTGAACGGCAATTCGAACATTCGCCATGGCGATGAAGGTGCAACGTGTCTCAAGGGAAGCGGCTAACGCACTACTGTGTACACGCGGGCCAACAGTAGGCGAAGTTGAAACCCCGGAGCGTGAGTCCTTGGCCGCCTTCTCACATGCGGGAATCTAGCAGTCAGCCAAATGCCCCGAGCTGGAATGACCAGCTCGGCGGACACCGGAACGGACATGAGGGAAGAACGCCCACATGTCGTACGAGGCAGGACTGCATTCCCCCCGAAATTGATCTTATCTTATCCCCATGTGAATACGAGGTAGCTTTTCCCAAGCCATAGCGGGGTGGACTTGCCAATGGTGGGTATGCCGAAGTCGCAGGAGTCCCAGCAGTACGAAGCACGGGGATGGATCGACTCTGACTAGTATGCCCATTTGGAGAAAACAAATGCCCATCACCAGAAGCCGAGTGCGGAGCATTTCATGCAGCGCTGCGGTGAGAAACTCTGCTCCTGGGTGCGGCGATGTCCTTGTCGGTCTTCACAATGTACAACGCACAGTAGCGTGGTCTAATGCCAGTGTGAGTATTATCAATGAGATCTAGAAGCCGAGTATCGCAGCGCTCAACGTAAAGTGAGGGTGGAGTGACTGCACAGCAAGAGAGAGCTGAGCAGAAGCGGGTGCCAGAGCCGAAACCGCCCACCAAGAGTCGCCAGTGGAGCCGCCGACTTGGCCGATGCCTTTGGTGCCTCCTGCGTTAATCAATCCGACTTTTTTATCAATCTGATCATCTCCCCATTCATCCACCCACTGTCTTTCACTTCACATCATCACCCACTTGCCCGTCGAGCTCTCTCCTTTACACAGCTCACTTGTGGCCCTTATCAATGCTCGTCCACCTCTGCAACTTGTCGACGCGTAACTACTGCTGAGACCCTCGAGTCAAGGTGCCTGGACGCGTGTGTGTCGGGTCTGCTCTGGCCTTGTGCTTTGCCGCAGCGAGGCCCCATTCCGCACCTTACGTCAGAATCTGGAATCACCGTGAGTAGCAACCCCAACCCACACAATCCCACCACAAGTCCCCTCCGCAATATACTCAGCAATGCCTAATGCTGCCAAATACATGCCCATCTGTTCTGTCCCTCCTGCCGCGTTCTTAAATATTCCCCAGACATGTTTGCCCATGTGCTGAACTGCCCTGATTAACCTGGTGATGTATTCAGGTGCCCTCCACACTGTTACCACACGCACGAGGATGTCAGCCACCGTCGCCACGGGGCAGCCGTTGCCTCTGACTGCCCATTCACACCCCAGCGATCCTATTCCTGAAGAACCCTCCGACACGAGAAAGCTCTCCATATCGGCCTCTCAGTTCTCTCAATCCATACCGTCCAACCATGGCCTCTCCAGCTCCTACTCCGACACGGCCTCAACCCTCGACACTGAACCCACCACGCCTGTGACGGACGGCTTATCGGATGACTCGCTAGACGAGTTGCAGGACAAACTGCCACAGGGTCCGCAAGGCAAGAAAAGGAGGGCATCCACCTTGCTCGTCTCGCAGGACTCAGAAGATGCACGACGGTTTCTGGGTGAGAGAGGCGCGGCGACTGCCATGATCCAGAAAGCGTGCTGTGGCGGAGGTTGCTGTATGCTTCAGGAGTTGAAGTCGAAACAGCCTCGCGAAGGGTCGATACCCCTGAAAGTGCCTGACAGCCCGGCGTATCAGAGCCTGAAGATCAACTTGGGACACCTGAGCCTGGACAGCGAGCTCACCGGCGTGATCGACCTGCCCCCGAAGACAGCCTCCTTCGAAAATCTGGCAAACAACCCCTCGAGAACATATGCTGAACCGCAAAGGCAGCACAAACCTGAGGTGCTCAAACATCCCCCCAGTTTTGTCACACCGCATCCGCCCTACCAAGTGTTCTCCGCTCCCCTGTTCCACGCGCGTGAATTGACAAGGCCCGGCGCAGAGAAGAGAACGTACCACTTCGACATTGACGTTACTGACTACCCTGAGGAAGGCGGTGACGTCGATTTCGTGGTTGGAGGTGCCATCGGCGTTTGTGCTCCCAACTCACCTGTGATAGTGGATCAGGTGTTTGACCTATTGGGCGTTCCAAGATTTGTTCGGGACAAGCCGATATTGCTGAAGACCGCAACCGGAAGATGGCCCACGATCTGGGGTGACGAAGCCGCCAGGGAATTGGTCACCACGAGAAGAGAGTTACTTACCTGGTGTTCCGACATACAGAGTTACCCACCCACCAAGCAGCTCTTCCGGCTTTTGGCCGAGCATGCCGAGGACCCCAGCGAGAAGATGATCTTGATGTACTTGTCTTCGGCACAAGGGCAAGCTGCCTTCTGTGATCTCCGAACTGGCCCGTACATTACCATTCCCCAAATTCTCAATGCGTTTCCGTCCTGCAGACCACCTCTCGACCACCTCCTTTCCGTTCTCAACACTCTGATGCCTCGATTCTATTCGCTCTCGCAGGATCCGACTATCTCCTGCCAACGGGATGGCGCAAACCGTCGCCGACTCATCGAGATTGCCGTGACTGTGCACGAAGCCGATGACTACGCCACCGGAAAGCGAACTGGCGTGGGTTCCGGATTTCTTGAGAGATTGGCCCAACAGGTAATGCAGGCAGAGAAGGAGGGCAAGGACCCTCGCGAGCTCGACCTCAGAGTCCCAATGTTCCGGGGCTTGATGGCGAATCCACTCGCTAGGGAATTTGTCAGCGACGGACCCATGCTTCTCATCGGCGCTGGAGTGGGTGTTGCTCCTTTCCGGGGCTTTGTTCACCGCCGGCTCAAGTCGGCAAATTGTGCGAACAAGGTCTGGGTCCTTCAGGGCGTCCGCGACAGTCTTCTCGATGAGCTGTATTCTGGTGACTGGGGGGTGCACGAAGACAAGGTCAAAAAGGTTGTTCAATCTCGTCGCGGCGAGGGACGATACGTGCAAGAAGAGGTCCGCGCCCAAGCGGACTTGGTCTGGTTCATCGTCAATGCCGTGGACGGGAGAGTCTTTGTCTGCGGAAGTTCCAAGGGCATGGGCGAGGGCGTGGAAGCCGCCTTAGTCGACGTGGCCATGGCGAAGGGGAAGTTGAACCACGATGAAGCGAAGAGTTTTTGGGAGGAGAAGAAGAATTCGGGTCAGTATATCGCAGAGACGTGGTGAGGGTTCTGACAAGGGCGGTGTTTTGATTAACGGCGCATGGCGATACTCGGTCGGGATAAGAAAACCAGCAAATGCCCCCGAAAGGCGACAATGGTGTTTGTGTCAAAGGAATATTGTGCAAGCAATCTATGCACGAAAACCGGAGTGGCGCGTTTGGATATTTGGTGATTTAGCGGACGGGACGCGAAGGCCGGGCTTCCATGTCGATAGGTATTTCATTGCACCAAAGCCAAATGTGTATATATTGAGAAATGGAGAATTGAGAAAATGAAAGAGATGATGGTGAAGATAAAAGTGTAGTAGACAGCTGCATGCTATTCGTTTTACTTCTCTACGGGTCTGCTGAAACAGCGTTGCCTGCTCGGCTCGGCCTCGCTCTCGCTCAGCTAATCCCCGGCTCGTATGCCCGAGGGGAATTAACATACAGTACAGTTTTCATGCGCCTCGACGGAGACCGACAGGCATCCCGGTCCACACGACGTCTCAGCTCCTCTGCTCAGATTATGCCGGATGCTGAAGTTGATGGGTCTGGTGCTTACTCCTCCTCCTCCTTCCACCCGCGCGCCAGTCCACGATAACCTGGTATCAACCACCTAGCGGCCCATGCTTTTGCAACTGCCTCATATGGCGGTTACTGTATGGATATAGTAGTCATAGAGGAATACTGTACTCGTGGCACTGAGGGTGGAGCTGCATAGCCGGACAATCCAGCAGGTGTATGTCCAAGCAAGTGCGTGGGCAAATGCAAGTGCAAGTGCAAAGGTGCAAGAGGCTAGATATTCCAATCGAATCGTCTCGTCGAGTTTTGCAGTTCGGGATGAAAGACTGCCTTTACTCGCGTGTATATGTTGCTTGCTTGCTTGCTTAGATCGAAGGACGCCGTTCTGACGAGGTGTTGGTCCGCAACTGTTTTCAGTCCTCCATGTCCCGCGCTGGACGTCAAGACTGTACAACAGTCCAGACTGCTCGCTCACCAGGTTCCCAACGACCGTCCACGTAGGCGGTGCGCAAATGTTGCGATGCATCGTAGTCGAATACTCACTACGAGCAGCGAAGAGCCGCACCGATGTATCAGGCGCCAGCCTGGCGTGAGATATGATCTTATCATCGGCTCGGCCTCTTCAAGGGGTGGGCCTCGGTGTTCAACACCCACTCGTCCAGGCTGCACAGCTCGGGCTCGCTAAAGATCAGGTAGAAGTACTTGAGCGTTTCGGCCAGCCAGAAGCTCTCCATGCGATCGCTCTTCTGGGGCGTCGGGACCCGGACGTCATGGACCGCGGCATGGGCGATCGGCGTACGCGTCGCGGCATCGATGGCCTGGAACATCTTCCACGCGACGTCCTGGTAGTGCGGGTCGCCCGTGATGCGGTACATGATAAACACACTCTCAATGGCCTCCGGGCGCAGGATATACCGGTTGTCCCCGTGGTCCGTGAACCCGGGAAACAGGCGTTTTTGCTCGGCGAACTTTTTGCCTCTTTCTAACGGCGTGAGGCGGTCCGTGTCCTGCGTCACGGCGTGTTTCTTGGCGATGCCTTCGTACCATTTGTCATCGCTCCAGACGCATTTCTCGGGCGGGGACGGCGCGTCGGTGCCCACTTGGCAGGCGATTAGGTGGAATGTTTCGGGCATGAGGCCCGAGGGCATGGCGTCGTAGGCCCACACGCAGCCGTCGACTAGGCGGCGGGCGACGTCGAGGTCGTGGGGCCGGGAGAAGATTCTGGCGCCGATGCCGACCATGCCGGCGACGAAGCAGGCGAGGTGTTGGCCTTGCGGTTCGATGTTTGCGATGGGAATCGATTGCAATGACGTGAGCGCCGCGTTGCCGCTGAAGAGGAGATCCTCGTTCGCGGGCACGAGCGGCCTGAAGAAGAGATGTCGTTTCGCCGTGTCGATGGCTTCCTCGTACATGTGTTTGTACTTGCGATCGCGGCCGCCGAGCATCAAGTACTGTTTGGGGAGGTATTCGTACGTCGAGTCCGCCATGCCGCCCATGGTGAAGTGGTTGTAGTCGAAGGAAATCTCCCTGGCGTTTACGATGGTCGGCCACAAGCCTGGGAGTTTGGTCGCGTTCTGGCAATATTCCATCTCCTCGGCTATGCGCTGCACGGCGTCAAAGTAGCGCAGATCCCCTGTCAGTTGACTCAAGCGGGTGAACTCCACGGTCAAACTGCCGAGCTCGGCGAGAAGAGTGTTTGTGCTGGGTTCGATCTCGGCCCCCACAGCGGTCTTCTTCCACTGCCATCGAGCCTGGGGCATGCGGTGCGGCGTGTCAAAGGCCGAGTATAGCATCTCGCCCAGGTCACGGGCCTTGTCCAGGAGGGCCCTATCCTTTCCGCCCGAGAGGTCGTAAGCGGCCAGCAGGCCGCCCAGGTAGCGGATCGTGGTCTCAAAGACGTTCAGTGTCTCCTGGTCATTGGTGGTGAAGTCGATGCGCTTGACTTGGTCCACGCACAGGTCGAACTCGTCCTTCAAGCCCATCATCCATAATGTGTCCATCGTGTCGACCAGTGTAGCGCCCCAGCCGCCGAAACTGGATCGAAAGGCACCGCTCACAGGTGCGACCTCATCTTGACCCCAGGCATATTTCTTGTATCCATTCCACGAATGGAGGAAAGCTTCTTTGACGGCGGCTTGTCGGGTCTCGCGCGTCTTCGCTGCATCTGCTGACTCCGGGTGCGCCGCAAAGTCGAACTGGATATTGGGAATCTGCTCGAGAGGGCCGATGGGTAAGTCACGATAGCCCACGATGGGATGTCTTTCAGGTCGCTTGGTCCAGTGCAGGTTGCGGTTCGGATTGACCGTGAAGAGGGGGACTGGAGTCGTATCGCTGGGGGAAAGGAAGAGGTAGTAGACGAGACATGCTAGCAGAAAGGCTGGCACCAGCCAGAGGCGTCGGATCAGTATCATGATACTGGCGTTGTCAATGGCTTGTAGTCGATGATCTTCATCCTTGGACCGGTACTGGAACTGGGCCAGATGATGCTTGGTCTCGCCGTCACACGACACGGAGGATCAGCCCTGAATTGGTGGTCAGGGGAGGATCGAGTACCTATTTACTCCGTGCCTAGGTTATTATTTTTGGACGGGGTCCCTGCTTAGGGGGCGGCCCGACATGCTCGTGGCTGCATTGGACTTGACTGGGTTAGATTTAAGCTTATCCTTAGGCTCTTTACTTAGGCCCTCCTCCTTCACTAACCTCGCAAGCGCAGTTTCTTCATCTCAAATGACCTCATTGTTTAATGCTGCGGCGACAGCGTATGGGCACAGACTGCACCAACTGCTCCATTTACTGCCACCCATGCTTGCGAAATGCCATTGACAGGCCTGTTCATCGTTACAGTCGGTCCGGGCCAGTCTTCTCCGTCCGGTGCTCTCATCTCGCACATCTCTCGATCGTTCCCCGCCCAGCCTCTGCCCACATTTTCTCTTGACCATCGGCTCTTCATCGACACATCCTCCTTGCTTCCCAGCTCGAATGCCTCTCTTCGCAAGTCGACAAGTATCTTGACCATCTCACACACTCCGGCGACGACATACGTGGCCACTACATCTCCTGCATCGCAGTCGAAAGAGCAACCTGCGGTGGCGCCGTCACCCACCCTGATTACGATCCCGTCCACATCGGCCGACTCGTTCACCCAACTGATAGGGACCAAGTTCCAGCCACTATGGACACATCGACAGTCGCTGGTAATTGAAAATGGAACAGCTCTGTCTTTTCTAGATGCAGAGTGGATAATCCGGATTGGGGACCTGAAGACCCCTCCTCGTGCAAACCAGGCGGGGTCCAATCTCAGAGGCATGCTGGTCGAGGTATCGCACATCGAGGACGACGGCAACATGCGGAGCAAGGGTTCGGGTGATGTGCAAAAAGATGGCCTTGACGTAGACAAGGAGGACGAGGCCCTCCTACGTGGTTTCCTCGACTCGGTCACCAACGGAAGCGGCGTACCCTCTATCACCAGCTCAGATTCCAACCGATTTCTGATTCGTCGCACGAAGGTTCGTGAGATGGACAAAGGAGCTGCTTCGCCTACGGCCAATTTTGAAGTAGCAAGCTTATACCTGGACTTCCTTCGAGGCTCGAGAGGCTAAGAACGGAAGATACCATACGAATTCGCATTCGACCTGTACCACGCTGGTAAAATCTTCAAGGCCAACTGAAATCATCACCGTACCACCTCGTCTGAGCGCCGCGGAGCGTGTTTCACCTCCCCACTGTTACCTGTCTCACGATATGGCAACGCTTGTAAAGGCCAAGAGTCGGAGGTCAGCAGCCTTCGCCGGGCTATTTTCCGCTCAGAGTCGTTGAGTCGATTGCACCGGGCAACTGTTCGGCTGCAAAAACCCGCCCATCCAGAGCCCTTCCAGCTGTTTGCACCTTCTATTTAGCGCCTGCCTCGAGTACCTCGTATGAGGTCCAGCATTGAGGCACATGGAGAATCCGACAGCTTCGACCCGCGTCTGCGCGAAGTACGGAGTAGCATCTAGGGGGAAATCGGATGTTCATGCGGCTGAAGAAGTCTGTCGTGGATTGATGGATGCGCACACTACCAGGAGTCAGACAGATCACTCGAGAGGACCCTCCGAGTCAGTCGCCATTGTCAACCACCATACGAGGTAGACCGTCAGCTGGCGCCAGACAAGGCATCAGTTAGAGCTATACTCCCCAACACATAGACCCAGAACCATGATGATCATCTCGAGGGAGTAAGGTTAGCGTGATTGCAAAGGCTAGAGCGCCAAGCGAGGAAGGTCTCAATGAGATGCCTGGTCGAGAATCTTTTCGGCCACCCTCGTCCGAGCCCCAAGATGTCTCTAGTCTCGAACTAACCATTTGTTTAGCGGGCAAGGAGTCACTCGCTCAAGCGCCATTGGTTGCACCCGTCTTCTTTTCTGGCGTTACCACAGTACTGACCCCTTTTGAGGTGCCACTCATTTCAACTTCCTTGTCCTGTCCACCAATCTAATTCACCCCCAGATTCCCACCCATGGACGAAAGTCCTTTCCTTGCACTTGGTCTACTAACGTCCTCTCACTACATATGGTGGTTGGGCGCATTAAGGGTCTTAACCTTATCGTCCGGAGGATCAAGATATTAATTTATGGCCCTGCTATGGATACGAGGGAAACACCAAGCGAACCGAAGAGCGATATCGAGGAGGTCGACGTGCGCGGAGACTCGCCAGAAGGTGGACTGTTAAGTGATCAATGGCTTCAGGTATGGCGCCCCTCTGTGGCAGTTTGAACAAGAGAGGACTCCTCCGGTTAGGTAAGCTGTGTTATTCAACGGTTGACTTGGGGGTCAAGCGACCGCCCTATCTTTCGGGAAACCTGGTGACTACTATTAATATTGATCCGAGACAACACTCAAGACTGATCATTGAGACTGAGATAGGCCAAGGGGAGTCGGTGGCCATCCGAGCTCGCGCACCGTCTCGACGAGGAGCTTAAGAGAACCAAATTACACATGGGGCCTGTCGGGAAGCAATACATTTCCCCTAAGGATGTCCAGACCGTGATGACCATGATCAAGCCATTCTTCATTCGGGTCCAGTGGAATGACACTAACGAACACCTCCTTTTCCGGAAAATACACACACGCTTACTGCGGCTGAGACACGACCGACTCGCGCGACGTCAGTCCCTCCGGAGCACGAAGCACAGCGGCATCGAAGACCAGCTCAAGCTCCTAAGCAATCAGACCCAGCTCCTAAACGATCAGCAGAAGCTTAGGGACGATGAGCACCGAGAACTGCTAGACCTGCTACACCGGTTTCGAGCCTTGTACGCCCAGGTGACCCAGCTCGCCGCGGTCTGCCAGCACCCTCCACCATGCGCTATGCAACCGCGGCCAGTCACCCCAGTGGCCGCCTTACCTTCGGAGAGAATCCGTATTGCGGCACTAGTCCACGACCAGCGTCCATGGGAGCACAGTAGCAACCCCTACCTAGCTCGAGAGGGAGAGGCCGCAAACAAAGCACAACCGCAGGAGAGCCACCCCGCTCCAAACCAGGGAGAGGGAGGAATGTCCAGGCCATCGATCGTCTCGACAGGAACAGTGTGGCAGCGAGGGCCAAGTGGAGAGGACGACCGACATCACGTGGGAGGCGCGAGGTGTGAGGCTGATCCCGCGACAACAGTCCCCCCGGGGGAAACAGTAGGATACCGAGTGACCCAGAACAATACAGTATCCATCTTCCACCGCACCGGCCCCTATCCTCGCTTTCCTCACGACTGCGCGATGGTACGTCGGGTGTCCGGCTCCCACAGCTTGGCAAAGTAGGAATCAACGAAACCAGGTTAGCAAATGAGACGTAAAAGTACGACTGTCAGTTGACGTGGGGTAGAAGGGCTGCTTACGGGAGGTGGCCCCTGAGGCAGGAGACCGACGGGAAGAGAGGAAGCGTCTTCGCAGTCGCTCTTGGTGGCTCTGTTCTGTAGCTATATGTCCACAGCAAGTCACGGATTCATCTCAAGCATCGTCGAACACAAGGCCATCGAGGTACTGTAGCTAAGCCTACACTGTAGGACAGATGCAACATGCCAGTACATGTACGTTTCAGCCGTGAGATACAGTAGAGCAGGCCCCTTGCCCTCGCTGGCTACCACGCTTGAAGAGACTCAACTGTCTTACATATCTGATGGCATGGCATAGCATCTGTCGCAGTCGAATTTCTGTCTGCCACAACGAGTTCGCTTTGACGTGCATGCTGGCGCCCTGCCCTAAGGGATCCCAATAGCATTACCAAACCAATCCGAGTCTTGTGCTCCTTCCGCGCGCGAAGCACCATTCCCGCCCTTCACCCAGCTTTCATTACCTGTCACCCATCATCCATCATCCACCTCTTATTCACAATCTACGTCCTCGACGTCTTCGCCATTGTGAATTGCTTTTGCCTCTGCAAAGTCCCGCACCTCCACACCTTCGCCTGCACCCGCCAGCATATTAGCAGGCCCTCCATCCTGGCCTCTCCCAACCAAGGGCACGAGGTGAACACTCTACATCCCGCCCTCCTGCCTGATCAGCTCGTCCACGTCGTCGTCCAGAGTGGCCAGTACGTCCCTTCCCTGCCGCTGGCCCTGTTCCTGCTGCTGAGCACCTTGGCCACCTAAGCCCGGAAATCCGAGGGACTGTTCCTGCTGACTACCTAGACCCGGCAGTCCGAGGCCTTCAATGCCCATCTCGCCCAAATCCGGGACTTGTTCGTCTTCGGCGCCGTGTGAGGTCTTGCGTCTCTTGGCGCCTGGCAGCCCGTTGGTGCTTGTCGTCCGAGGGCGGGTCTGCGTGTGTGTATGGCCCGCGCTAGGCAGGAAGGCGGAGTAATCTGCGTCCAGGCCGAGGGGGAGGCCCGCACCGCCGGAGGAGGCAGAAAACTCGGCCAAAGCGGCGGCGAGGGCCGGGTTGCGCGCTACAGGCGGAGGGGTTGTTGAAGTCGCTGACGTCGGTGCTGCGGGTGCCGCAGCTACAGTCGAAGGGTCTTGATCGAACATGCCAGTCGAGGTAATGTTGTAAGCGCCTTCGTCGTCGGTGAGTTGCTCAATCTCAGGCCGTTCGGAGAGAAAGGCGCCAGTGCTGGCTGTGTGGGGGGAATTGTCGGTGTCAGGCTCGAGGCCGGCGACTGTGCCAGGACCGGGCGGCGATGTGTGGTTACCTGCATCCGCGCCGATGGCAGTGGTGCTCGCAGCGGAAGAAGCTTCTGCCGATGTCAGGCCGCGGATGATGGCGTCCTCGACTTCCCGCTTCTTGGCCTCGGTGCTCGCCTTGCGGCTATCGAGCGTCAGGTATGTTTCGTCGTCCTTGACCAGGGCCGACTTGTTGATCTCCAGAATGCGTTCGAGGTCCGCGATCAGCGCCTTCCGCGCCTTGATGCTGGCCGAGACGGAGCTCTCGGCCGCGGCGAGCGACTTGATCAAGCTGGACAGCCGCGCGGCATGGACAGGTGGGCTAGGCAACACGGCGCCCGGCTCGTTCAGCTTCACGTATTCGTTCTGCGCGGCGTCGATGGCGGGTCGGGCGGCGATGGTCTGCTTCGTGACTTCGATCTGCAAGGGCGCCAAGCTCTCCAGTTCCTTGGGCAAGCCGCCGCCGCCCGTGCTGCTCGCAGACCCGAACAGGCTTTGGCCCATGAGGGTCTTCTTCTTCCCGCCGCCGCCCTTGGACTTGTCGATCTCGTCCATGCGCGCGTCAATGGCGTCGAGAATGGGCACCTCGAAGACATTCCTCGTCCGCCAGACCTCGACTACGCGGCGAATCTTGGTTTGGATCTCCGGTGGTGAGGATCGATACGCCGTCTGGATCGCCTCGGGCATCAGGGGGGAGAAGGCGTCGGGAAACTCGGACCGTTTGCGCGCCCGGGCATTTTGAACAATGTCGTTGACGAGATAGATGAAGTTGAGGCGTTTGGGTGGTGGAGCATCGCGGAGCCGGGTGAGCCAGTAGTTAGCTATTCGGTCGGCGTGGCGTCTGGAGCTGTCGTTAGCTTTTGTGACGGAGGGCATGGGAGCGACATACTTATGAAACATGATCCATTGAGAGACCGATACGATGGAATCTTGGGTCTCATTCAAGGTCGATAGCTTGGCCTTGAGGGCCTCGTCTGAGAACGACATGTTGGACGACTCTGTTCTGGAAGGTCATGCGGCAGCTGTCGTAGAGCGTTCTGCGCCACCCGTAGACTTTGCTGGAGGCGTGAGGGAGACACTTTGCTCAGGATAGAATGTCTCTCCGAGAGCAGGGTGAAGTCCACAGCAGATGATCTACGCTACAGCTATGAGGCGATCGAGAGATGAAGCTCTGATTTCAGGCAACGCGCGGTGACAAATTGCTCTCCCGATGACGCCCTACTACCTGCCTCGAGAGTGACCAGTTCCTGATGATTGAACTCGGTTGTTGACAAGGTTGTCGAGGAGGGCCTGAAGACGAACATGAGCTTGAAGTTATTGTCGATCATCACGCCAAGGCACTGGCACGTGACTGATTATCTCGCCTACAAGCACAATGGTCCACCGTACCGGCTGCCGTGAAACCGCCGTCGACAGCGCCGTTCGTGCAGTTTATGAGCCAATGCGACCACCTGTTACGGAGTACGGAGTACGGAGTCCACGCAGAGTCCTTCAGCAGCCCGCCTATCTATATTGCACACCAGCTGCTGGAGAGGTGTGCGCCTAGTCTTACGGTTAAAACACGTATACAAGATTTGAGAATTTGGTTCTGACAGCTGTTGATAAAGGACCGCAAGTTCGCGTGCAATACAAACCCGATCTACTTGCAGCTCATCGAGCCGCCATCTCGGCCCAGCCGATTAAGCAACCTCCCAGAAGACACGTTCGCATCGCCAATCATCTCTTCGGTCACATGGTGATGAAGAAGCCGGCATAGACATGTATGAAGATGTCAGCAAACAATCAATGTCCACCTCATAAATGCGGGAATAGCCCAGCCCAGTAAAGAAGTCGAGATCGTGACTGTCTGACACGTCTCTGCTTCACAGTTCGGTAGAGCCAAGCGCGTCTGACCGGCCACATTTCTTGTTCAAGCCAGATGCCCCTGCAACTGCGACTCTCATCGCAAACACGACTACGGAGAACGTAGCATTTCACAAAAAGTTGTAGCTCACGACGTATCTAACCCTACATTCACCTTCCGCAAGTGATATTCTTTTCCCACTGCCTCCCCTCGCCTGCTACCGACTCTTTGCGCCCGTATTCCTCAATCCTCTGCTCGTGTCTCCCATCCACCATCCAGCATGGCAGACCGATTCCCATCAATTGAGGACATTGACGCGGGTACGAACGGACTCCCGCTCTATCCCTGCGCATAGCTTGAATCCTCCGTGACCTGACTGACAGCAAGTGCAGGCGAAACAGACGTCAGACCCGACACCAGCGGTGGCCAAGGGGACTTCCTCGAGCGCGAACGAGCACTACTGGGAGAGGACGCGGAGCTGTTCAACACCAACAACAACGGCAGACCGGCAGCTACAGTACAAGATGGCGACGACGACCTATTAGGCGGGGACGATGATTTCACATCTGGATCTCCTCCGGCGCAGCCCTCAGGAGGTGCGGCGGCCGGCGACGATCTGAACGACTTTGAGAGCTCTTTCCCAGCCATTGACACAAGAAACGACGTATGTCTGCTACTTGCGCAATCTGACCAGACGACATTGGAACAGCACTAACAGGACACGCTGCGCATAGAACGTCGGACCCGGCGGCACAATAACCGACAGCACCCCGGCCCCGTTCACCGGCTACACGAATTACACGGCACCCTCGGGCGAAGAAGAGAGCGAACACATCCGCGCATGGCGCGAGAAGCGTGACGCCGACATTGCCCGCCGCGACGAAGCCTCTCAACGCAAAAAGGAAGAAACCGTCTCCACGGCGCAGAAAGACATCGACAGCTTCTACGAGTCCTACAATCGGAAAGTCGACAAGCAGAAGGCCCAGACGCAGAAGGAGGCGGAAGAGTTTTTGGCCAAGAGAGAGGATACCACTGCAGGGGGCACCGCGTGGGAGAGGATTGCCAAACTGGTGGATTTGAGCGGCAAGGGTCAAGTCGGAGGAGGCGACGGGAGCTCCAAGAAGAAGATGAGGGAGTTGTTGCTCAGCCTGAAGGCCGATAAAGACGCGCCGGGTGCAGGAGGCGTGTAAACGGCTGTCTGAGAGATCGAGGAGGCAATGCAGACACGGGCAGGAGTTGGAGGCCGGTGCTCCGTATACCATGATGGGCTCACCTGGTTACCAGCTTACGGCTTTACCTATGGGCAAGTTGCGGCCTGAAGATGGTAGAGCCGCTGGCCAGCCATCTGAGTCTGCAAAAGGTCGAGTACCTATTCTACGGGGTGAAATGCACATCTGGCGTTCTAGAACGGGAACATGAAGAGCTCAGTAATGGTGGGCGCATACAAAATCACAAAGCAGTGTAAACATGTTGTTCTGCCTGTCGGTCTATCTGTATTCACCCCATGCTAATTGACATGCAAGAGCTCATTTCTCCAACCCACCATCGTCACGTCGCCCGATCGGTCTCAGTCATGCAGTCGCCGATATACAAGCAGCCTTTCTGCTCGAATCATATCCGTATCCATAATAACCCGGAATGCGGAGACCGAAGCCATCCATCCAGACAAAAGTTGCACTCGTGAAGCCGCCGTTTTGCCTGACGCATCTCCCCATGACCATGAAAAAAAAATACGATCCTTGATGCATAGAATCGGAACGTGTCCCATTGCGCGCCCGGTCCTGTATATAGGAACACCCAGAACGCCGAAAAGTGGAAACGACGACCGCATTGTGACTGTGTTGGGCCCCAATTGGCAACCAACCAACATCTTCTCATTTCATCTCACCTCGTCCAATTCCCATTCATCGCCATCCCTTATTGAAGCGGCCTCGGCCACCAGGTGGAGTGACCTGGTCACCGCTTTCGCCGGGGCATGCGCTTCTTGCGCCCGGACACGATCTGCATCTGCTGGATGAAGTTGCGGCCCAGTAGCTCCACGTCCGCGACCGCCTGCTCGGTCTGCTGAACCACCGCCGAGGTGGAGGCGGAGGTGGCGGCGGCGGAAACTGAGGCCCCTGCTGCGGGAGATGCTCTTGTTGCAGACTGCTTCTGCTTGCCGGTCTGTGGTTGTGGATGTATCTGCTTCTGCGTCGGCGTCGGCGGCTGTATCTGTGGTTGCGTGTGCGTCTGCGTCTGCGACCTCGCCTTCTCCGTCACTTTGGCGATATACTCGAGTGCCATTGCGGCCTTGGCTTGCCTCTCTGAATCGTTCATGCCTGCACCTGTACCTGCACCTGCACCTGCAACGCCGCTGCCTCCTCCGTTGAGACTGAAACTTTCGTCCAGGGGGGTCGGCATCGTGTTCTTGTAGTAGTACTCTATCCAGGCTTTCAATCCGTGATAGTCCTGTGCCCTGGCGATGAGGAAGGCCATCTGGACATGTCCAATGAGCGTGTCTTCGATCTGCCATGCCACACCGTCGAGCACGTGTTGGTTGAATTTCAGGCCGTGCTGCTGGAAGTTTGCAATGGAATGCATTTTATCGACACAGTCGGTGAATGCGAGCAGCTGGTCGCGGAGCTCGAGTTCGCGATCGGTCATGGGCCAAGGTTCGGAGTCAAGATCGTCTTCATCTTCGGAGTCGGATCGAGGAGCGGCTGTGTTCGCCTGGTGCTCTTGGTTCTCGCCCTCAGCTAGTCGAGATACGCGACTATTTTGCATAGAAGAGACGTCTGCCGTGTCTTTCTCGAGGTTTCCTTTCTCGGATGTAGTGCTCGAGATATTGTTCTGAATGCTTGGGACATTGACTGGGACTTTCTTCAAGTTTATGTGGCCTGAGGCCGCTGTCGTGCTATTTGGTGTAGGATCTGAGGCTGCTGACTGTGGTTTGGGGCCACTTACTTCAGGAGGTAACAGCTCTGCGAAACGAGAGTTTCCGGCCCTTGAGCGCAACTCTTTCAGCCGCTTTTGATTGCCCGGCCAGGTCAAGGGCCGCTCTTGTAGAAGCAAGGCGCTTCTTTCGAGGTTGCCCCAGAGGGTTTCCGAAGCCGGTTTGCCCTCGGCGTGGATGGCAGTCAGCTCCGCGAAATCGATATCCAGGCTGTTTTTGAGCACTTGGAGTTCTTCCCCGAATTCCTGGTCGCCTGCGCTGCAGCTACACTTCTTCTTGGTTGCTATACATTTCAGGTGTGGCGTAAGTGTTTGGGCCATGTCCCAGTATGCCCCAATCATGAGTTTAAGGTGGGCATCTCGCGGCAGACCGGAGGACGTCTGGAACAAAGGGGAAGCAGGGTCGTTCTCCAAGCGTTCTTTTTCACCCTTGTGCACCTTCAGTGGCGCAGGCACAAGTGAGTCCAGTTTCTCCTTCGCAAAAGACGACAGTCGCCCTTGGCACGTATGGTCCGGTAGACACCTGCACGCCGACGCATCTTCACACATAAGGTAGAACCGAGACAACGCACCCTGAATCCGCTGGTACTTCGGAGTACGGCTGTCCATATCAGTCAACAAAGTGTGGAAGATAAACTTCTCAATATAGTGCAGATTTGCCTTGGCTTTGCTGCCAGTCATTGATCCGAGCACAAATGTGCAGATGAAGGCTAGAATGTCGACGGCCATGAGAGAAATCTCGATGGAAGCATGGCATAGTAAGGAACTGTTCAGCAAGCCGAACAGATCCGCGACAGATTCTGCGATGAAACTGAAGGTACGAACCCAATCCTCGTTGTTGCCGGCCCCAACTCCTACGAAGGTTTTCAGGTCTAACATCATCTGGAAACCAAGGTCGAAGTTTTCCCTGTACCGCAAGGTGACCCGTTGAGCTAGGAGGATAGCTGCCCGTCCGGGACACAGGCCCAGCTCTTGGAAGTGCAAGAGGGTTTCGGGAAGCTTCATTTCCGGTACCGCAATGGTGAGTCGCAGGTACTCTGTGTAGAATATCTTCTCCTTGTCGAAATCAATCCAGAAGAACTTGTTCGACGTCTGATGGGTCAGTACCATGCGCAATACATCCCAGATACCCTCTTCTAGGTTTCTATGGTAGTATTCGCTTATGCGCGCTCGGAGTTTCTTCGGATCTTTCGCCGAGCCCGTTTTCAGGAAGTTGAAGAGGCCCTGGAAGTCCAAAGGGGCTATGAGCTTGCCTTCGACGAGGAACCTTGTGGCAATCGCATGCTCAGCTCTCTCCGGGTGGAAGGCGAGAGCTGCTGCAGGAGCTGGAGACGCAGCTTTCGTCGCAGCGGCGCCCTTTTTCAGCTTCTCCTCGTGTGCAGCGACGAATTTGGGCATCGAGTCATTCACCTTCGACAGGGCTTCGAGGAAAACTTGTGGCGGATCCTTCTTCATCATGCTCATATAGGCCTTCACCACGTTTAGCGTCGGGAGAAATTTGTCGGGTTTATTTCGTGCAGCAGTCACGATAAGGGTGGTGAGCTTTGCAGAAAGTTGCTGCGCAGAACTTGTGCCAGCCCCAGCTTCGACGACTAGAGCCTTCAGCGACCGGCGGAAAAGGATATCGGTGATCACATCATCAAGGACAATGTCTGACAGTGGCGGAATAGGCGACTTCAGTGTAGCTTTTGCTTTGATCTTCTTGAGCGCCGTGGTGACATTTTCGACGGTGTCGTCTGACATCCTTTCCGCAATTTTGATCATCTCTTTCTTCGCCGCATCTTCCACCTTTATGCATTCCAGGTTGGCTTTGATCGTGTCTTCGTCGAGATTCAGGTCAGGATCGGCGGCGGTCGAAGGTTTATCGGAGCCCTGCATTTTCAGCCGGAGGTTCATCATGACCTCTACCACGTTATTACATGTTGTAGTCTTGCCATCGCTGGTGGTGACATCAACTGTGAAGCCTGTGGCATTCGGTTTGGAGAGCATATCCTCGAGAGCATTAAATGACTTTTTCAGGACGGGACTCATCGGCCCGTTGAGCTCGAGCACACTGCGCAGATCTGTGATGGCGGTTTGCACATCCTGGGGATCAGACGCACTGAAGAAACCCTTCATAACGCTCAAAGCTTGGGAAAAAGAGCCCGGATTTGAGGATGCCAAGGTATTTTCCAGTACAGATGTGAGACTGGCCGGTACTGTTGTGCTTGTGCCGGATGCTGGCGCAATGGGATGATGGAGTTGTGAAAGAGCAGGTTCTGCATCAAGAATCATCTGCCTGAACTCATTGTTCTTGCGCTCTGCTTCCGCCATCTCTGAATTGGCTTGATCCAACTTCACACGGGCGTCCGCAGGTGAGACTCGGCCTGCATTCACATCGTGTCTGATTTTATCCAGCCTTCCTCGTATTCTCCGTACAATATGCTCATTCTCCTTCGCAGCCTCGAAGATTGCACTATTCTTGGGATCAAGCAGGAAATCCTTCGAAGCCATAGGCAGGATATCCAACGACGGCATTTCCGACGTACTCCCTTTGTCAGTTCTGCTTGTTTGAGTAGGGATTTGATTGCCGCGGGTGGCCTTATCCAGGATAGCATTCCGTCGAGCCCTCAATGCTGCCTCTTCCTCGTCGTCCTTCTTGACACGAAGCAACTCAACATCCCTTTGTTTTCGCAGTGCGCTCTGCATCCGATGCGATTTCTCCGACACGATTCGTGCATGGTAGTACTTGATCGTGTCCATCTCCATCCATGACACGCCCTTGGTCTTTGCCCGCGTACATAGTTCATGTTTGCAGGGAAAATCATTCTTCCCAGCTCTCTCATCACATGTTTCATCGAAGTCCAGGCAACATTTTCCCCAGCCGGTGAACTTGAAATCACCACCTAGGTGGGCTTTAAAGAGACTATCCAGTGCTGTTGCGTTCTCATCGAGGAGCGCCCTTTGCGTCTGATGCCGGGAAGACTTATGTTCCAATTCGTTCTTTTCCTTTTCCAGTTTTGCTCTTTCGGTAAGCAGCTCGTTATAAGTTTTGATGTCCTCGTCTGCCCAGCCGTCGACGTTATGACCGTCGGCAGCTCTCAGGGGACTTCCCGGCCTCGGAGCGGAAAGGGCCTCTGTAGTCATGTCGTGCAAATTTTCATTGCTCGCCAATCTCGGGCCTTTGCCTTTCAGCTTGCCCATGTCTTCACCACGAGCGTGTATTCTGTAATATCAAGGTTGGGCGAACCAGAGCAGGAGCCCGACAGACGCCTTGATGGATGCTGTGATTGGCTGAAGTCTTCGTTCGTTTGACAGCTCCGGTGCGGCGGACCCGCTGCTCCAAGCAGGAAAGCCGCAGCAGGACAGTGTCGCGAAGGTCCGCACTGAATGACTATTGCCAGTCCACTTCTAACGTACGATGATGCCAACAGTCTCCTGAATTGATATTCTTGTTGAAAGGCTTCGGCAGCTACCACCCCGGCTAGTAACAGGCTCGATTGAAAGCCTTACCACGTCCAAGAACTCTGCATCACGGTTTGATGACACGAAAAAACATGGTCTGGAAGGAGGCGCCCTCATGTTTCCGGGGAAAGCGGACTCAGGTTCCTCGTCCTGGAAAAGCTTGAGGGCGAAGTCCTGGCAACCAGGTTGTCAGTTCGAGATCTTCGCGGGCTCGGGCGAATCAATGACGGCGAAATGAGCTTCCGATTGCTGGATCGTGGTCGGAGTGGCTCTGCCGTGTTCTAGGTCTGGAGGTGGCCCCTGAGGTCGATTGTGGCCATGATTGATGAAATTGAGGCTACAATGTCTTAGAAAGCAAGTCAAGGTTCTAGCTGAGGTTAGTTTGAGGTTCATCTGCCAGCCGATGGCGATTTCTGCGCCCGGACTAAATAGGCTTGGCCCTGAACTCGGAGATACAGCTTCTCCGTTCCGGTGCCGGCCGCTAATTCGTTCTTGTCATTCTCGTGTCACGCACGCCTGATGCTGGCCGAGACACGACGAGATCAAGGACGCTGCCGTCATGATTTGCTGCTGAATGCTCTGAACCGCCGTGGACCATGTCCAACAGTCCGTCAGCCGAGGCCAATGGGCATAAGGTGGATGACAGCATAAAAGAGATCATCAGAGCCGCGACCGACCATGACATACAATCACTGGAGAAGTGTATTGATCAGTACTCCTTCCCCGAGTGCAAAGCTGTCGATGTCCAAGACCAAGAAACAGGCCTCACACCTATACACGCCGCCATTGCATCCACTAAGTCCCAACTGCATGGCGACTTTGGTGCAAACCAGCCCAGTGAAGAAAGCGGCATTCAGGTTGTCAGATTCCTGCTCGAAAATGGCGCCATTTGGAATCAGCTGGACCTAAACAACGAGACGCCAGGCTGTATAGCGTATCGGTTGGGCTTGCACCAGCTCTACCAGACGATGGTAGACGCAGGTGTGCGTGCGGAGATGATCCTCAACAGACTGGAAGAATATGAGGAGCTGGAAGACGAGGACGAAGACGGCGACGGCGGTGGAGACGACCTCGATGACGGAGATTTACGCCAAATCGAGGCAGAGGCACCGCAGCCCAGCACTAGTCAAGACGATGTCACCAGTGCCGGGTACCTCTCATCCACGCTATCCCTCAACAACGGCAGACTCCTGGACGCGGAGAGAAACGCAATCATGATGGAGTGGGAAAGAGATATTATGCAGCAATCAGCGGATGCCATTCTGCCACGTCCAGGCCTCAAGGTATTAAACATTGGCTTTGGCATGGGCATTTTTGACACGCACATCCAAGACCACGTCAACAGCCCTGCGAGCCATCACATCATCGAAGCACACCCCGATGTCATCAATGAGATGCGCCGCAAAGGATGGATGGAGCGACCTAATGTGGTCGTTCACAGCGGCAAATGGCAGAACATACTTCCTCAGCTCGCTGCCGAAGACGAAGTTTTCGATGCCATTTACTTCGATACTTTTGCCGAGCCCTACAGCGCCTTCCGTGACTTCTTGTCCGAGCACGTCATCAGCGTGCTGACCCAGGACGGGCGGTGGTCGTTCTTCAACGGCATGGGCGCTGACAGACAGATTAGCTACGACGTCTACCAGAAGGTCGTCGAATTTGACTTGTTCGAATCTGGCTATGACGTGACCTGGACCGACGTGCAACTTCCCAACCTTGATCAGGAGTGGGAAGGAGTGCGGCGGAGGTACTGGAAGGTCGACCTGTATCGCCTGCCTGTCTGCAGGTTTTTGGACTGAAACAGATACTATGGACTTGTCTGAAAACAGGTGTTGGTCAAGCTACGCCACAGTTTTTTCGAGGGTGGGCGAGAAGCTCTCTCAGCAATCATCTGCTCTTTCGCCGGGTGGTAAATGCAGCCAGCCAGTTATCGCAGCCCTCACAAAAGAAACCTCAAGTGCCCCGTGGCAGAAGAAGCCCGTGGTTGGAATGCAAACGTCCTATACCGCGTCGACAGCAGCGATGTTCGGTCTAATTACACCGAAGGGAGTCAGGTGCATTCCTCCAAGCAAGAACAAGCCGACGCATTGAAGAGGAGAGTCAGGTCACCTGTATACCCCCACGACTCGCACTCCGCCACTCCCCCGCAAAAGGTACGTATTATACCAGGAGCGTGCCACCTCCGGGCGCCTGTACAGCAGTCTTCAGTCGAGCCAATACGTCGGCCATCTCGGAATATACCCGGAGCCGAGATGCATTCGGTACACATTGCCCCGCATCTACGCCTCTCCATGCACCCAAAGTAATGGATTTCTCCTCGTCTGTTTGTGCTCACGCATGTCGTTTCTCCACCTTCGAACTTCTGTGCGCAGGCAACTGGGCAATGGACGCGGATAGAGTTATCATGACGCCCCGCGTGTCCGGAGAGGAGGCATTCAACCTCGGGATTAGCTGAGCGAGCGAGCGAACTGCTCGTGATGATCATATATTCTTAAAGATCAGATGCTGTGTCCGCTGGGGTTCCCGAACATTTGACGACCATCTGAGCGCAGGCAAACCAAACAGCGGGAAGGAAAACTGCAAGACACGGTCCCTCCCCAAAGTAGACCACAATCCACAGAGGATAGTCAACGTCACAGATGGTTAAACGAACAGCCATCGTGACGGGCTCGTCCCGTGGCATGTAAGCCTCCCTATTTTCAACGGCAACCCGGCAACACTAACCACCCCGTCTGTGCAGAGGCGAATCGATTGTCCGCCGGCTCGCCCAGGAAGGCTACAAAGTCACCGTCAACGACGTCTCGGCCAACAAAACGGGCATCGACAACCTCGTCTCCGAACTCAACAGCACACACGGCGAAGGCACGGCGATCGGCGTCGTCGCCGACGTGACCTCCCCGTCCGACGTGCAGAACCTGATAAAAGAGTCGGTTGAGAAACTGGGACCCCTGACCGTCATGGTGGCGAACGCGGGCATCGCCCAGGTCGCCCCCGCTCTAGACATCAGCGACGACGACGTGCACAAAATGTTCGAGGTCAACTTCTTCGGCGTCTGGAACTGCTACACCCACGCCGCGAGGCAGATGATCAAGCAGGGCCCCGTGGAGGAGGGGAGCAGTGGGTACAAGATCCTCGGATGCGCCAGTATCGTGGCATTCAAGCCGTTTCCCCTGCTCTCGCACTACAGCGCGTCAAAATGGGCGGTGCGCGGCCTGACGCAGGTATTCGCCATGGAGATGGCAAAGCACAAAATCAACGTGAATGCGTATGCGCCCGGGATCGTGGGCACCGCCATGTGGGACCTCATTGACGAGAAGCTCGGCGAGATCGAGGGCCGGCCACGAGGCGAGACAGTCAAGAAGTACAGCTCCGAGCTGACGGCGCTGGGGCGCGTCAGCGTGCCTGATGATGTGGGCAACGTGGTTGGCGGGTTCATGTGTTCCAAGGACGCAGAGTTTGTGACTGGCCAGACGATGGTCATTGATGGTGGCATCGTCTTCACGTGAGCCGAGCAGGCGGAGCGACGCCAAGAGGCAGGGAGGAAGGGGGAAGGAGGAGGAGGGGACGGGAACGAGGACCGGGGCGAAACTCTACAATATATGAGATCATGATACTTGGACATGGACACGGGACAGTCATCTTTGCTGCCCCCCCCCCCCCCCCAAATGCCTGTATGCTCCCCAATGTAAAAGAATGGGAGGGAAAACAACCAACAGCACTTCTTTGTCAGGGTCCTCTCACAAATCCGATCCCCAACATCGTCCCATCCCTTCGATGCGGCAACACGACATGCCCTCTCCCTGCCCCCTCTGTAATAGCCTGGCTCATCTCGAGTGCGCCGACTCCTTTCTACCGTTGTCGATATTCTCCTTCAGTATTCCATTTAGAGCTGACTGCTCCGGTTCCGGTCCCGGTCCCGTTCGCAATTCCATCAAAATCGCTATTCCCATCCCCGTCCCCATCTTTACTCAGGATGCCCCTGCCCCTGCTTGGGCGGGTACGCCTTCCCCTGCACCTCGACCAACGGCTTGCACGTACACCAGCTCTCTTCCGGTATCGAGTCCATCACGCCGGGGATGTGTCGTCCGCAACCCCACCACGTTATCTTCTCTGCGCGGATTGATGCCAAGTTAGTGAGTGTTTGTTTGGTGGTTCCTGCTTTGGAGGCATAGGAGGGGCATACCGTGCGAAGAGATGGGGAAAGGACGAAAGCATGACTTAGGGCAAACATCATTGGCATGAACATGGGAGGGCAATGGGGATAGTGAAATACTGTTCGAGATCTTGGGACATGACATGACAGCACCGACTTACGACAGGTAGGACATATCCTTTGCATGCACATCTCTTCGTCTCTCTGTGGCCCCAGCGGTATGTGATATGTGATGTTTGGGGTGCGAGGCGGAAGGCGGAAGAGGGAGGTGATGGATACAGCGCTGTAGCAGGGATCAGGAGGACGACTAGCGACGGCGACGGCGATGGATGAGGGATTTTCTCGTTCACTCGAGTATTGTCTTAATAATCTTGTTGTGAGGCGCTGTCTCTGGCACTGGACCAGGTCCCGCGACGTGGACTCGCGGCGTATATCAACGATACTCTGCGACGACGCTCTGCAACGATTGATGATCGGATCGCTTTGTAATGTCAACGCTGGTCCCTGTCACAAACGGCGAGGGATATATATACATATATATACTCAGCCCGCTCGGGGACCGCGTCTTTGACGCAAGGGAGCAGTGACCGTGTCATGATGAAACACGCCGACGCCGTCTGAGCAGCGGGCTTCAAAACATCAAAGAAAGACAGTGCAGGACGTGATTCGCTAGAGAAACATCACCTGTTGCACGGAAGACTATGTCTTGGCGGGCTGGGGCGCGGGTGAAGGAAGATTATCTACGTAGAGCCCGAGGTCGCCGAGGGGTGGGCGATCGAAGTGGACCGGCTGCATCAACCCGCTTCTCGATTTGCAATCAGAGGCAGGAAATTGTCCAAGTGTGGTGCTGAATCTGCTCTACATAGCCGAGTACGAATCTCGTGGCTTGCCTTGCAGTTGTAGAAGTATGGATGTCGTGGGTCATGGATATCGTGATTGGCAAGCACACGCCGTCCGCGTCCATGCGCATCCTCCATTGCTCATGCACAAGTCGCAATAAGGACATAGGTAACTGCACCTCGTAGGCATGCCGATGATGTTCGTTGTGCGTAGGTCGAGAGTTGAACGCCGTGGCGGTCGGTGACATGCTGCGTCTTCTCCGCGATAATGCTCGAGAGTTCAAGGCGTCAGAAGCACCACATCCCGATCCAAGAGAGAGTCAGTGCTGCAATCAGCATGTCCGATCGCTTTGTCCGTGCAACTCCGTTGATGTTCTGATTCGAGTAGACGCACGCCCACCCCGAGACAGTCCCCGTCGCGCCATTGATACTCCCTCCGCAGCTCAGTGGCCGTAGCGGCGGCTCGGAAGCCCCATTGAGCATACATTTCTGCGTAGTCCAGTCGGCTGAATTGAGCGAAAGCATCCAACCTATGGGACAGCACGTTGCCCAGGCTGTGCCATCACCGTTCTGCTGATAAATGAAGCAGAAGTTCGCTTCGCACAACGAATTCGTCGATGGATTGGGACAGGATGCTTGTCGTGCGTCGAGGGGTCGCGAAACAGCTCTCTCACTGAGAAGATTCATCTGAGATATCGGCTCCGTGGCATTGTAGTGCTGAATTGCTGCTGCGGAAGTAGTCGGATTCCTATCCACGCATTCGGCGATTGGATTCGCCGATACGGCGGGCGCGAGAAACAAGATCGCTAATTGGAGCACGCAGTACCAACGGGCCATGGCGACACGATGCGTTGCTTGATGGAGCGCGCGAGTCTCTACGACGCCAGGCAACAAATGCGATGGATACTGTGAGCCAGTGAGAGATATGGCCTCGACGTTGGCGGGTTATATGCGGCTGACAACCGTGAGGTGGTGGGTGTCGGTAACGGAGGCTGCTGAGTAAGGTACGTGTGGCGCTGGGATTGGTTCGCCAAACCAGCAACCCTCCCTCCCGCCTCTGTTGTCACCTGAGCCTGTTGAGCCTGTCCTGGATGTCGCGGACGTGTGGTGATACTGCTTCTGACGATTTCAATGTCAGTACTGCCGCCTCTTGGGCAATCGGAAGTACCTCCTCCAATGTGCGTCCTCTCGCAAGGCCGGCGATGGCCACACCCAACACTGTGTCTCCGACGCCGTTCACTGACACAATATGGTCCTGTTCCACTTCCATGAATGGGGGAATCAATCGCATGTACAAGCCGCCAAGATCACTGTCGCCGGAGAAGTTTCTCGATAACACATATGGCGCGTTTTCTGGTCGCGAAAGCCTTTCATCCCCATGCCGCAACAGGCACGTCAGTAGACACCCTCGGCGCCCAAGTTTTGTCACCAGGTTCGGGATGAACGGGAGAAGCTGTATGCACTGCTGCGGAATGCCCTGTTCAACCAGTTCTCGCCCAGCGACGGAAACCAACCGTTCCTGGGATCCCGCGCCAGAGAGACCTAACCTGTCGATGACGCTCCACCATTCCGCTGACTCAAACATCATGGCATCTCTAGCAGCATTGTACAATGCTGACAGTTCAAGATGGTTGGGGGATGCAAGGCTGACCACATGGTCCGGTACAACCTTTGCGCTCGTGACGAAGTGGTTGTCCTTGTGAAAGAGCCGTGCTGCCTTTGCGATGGAGACCGGCTCGAATGCAACGAGTGCTCCGTGAGCCTTTGCCGCTGAGAATACCGAGGACAGAATGCTGGGGGACCAGTTCGCATCGACGACTACCCACCTCGGTTTGCTTTGTTCCATCTTCGCCGTCCAGTAGCCAGGTGCCTCCAATTCAGGACGAGCAAAGATTGACATATCTGCCATTGCAACCACAAGGTCTTTGTTGGTGTCGTTTATTGCAACGTATTGAGCAGTCCTGGCACCATCAACGGTTGGAAGTTGCCGAATAGCTGTTGTTTGTAGACCGCACTTCGTGACATGGTCGAGAAGAGAGGAGCCAGCTAGATCGTCCGCCACTGCGCTGGCCAGAACAACCTTTGCACCCGCCAAGTGAGCAGCTACAGCCACATTGCGTCCAACGCCACCAGGTGACTGTGATATGCTGGACGGATTCGAGGTGTGCGGAACAGGGGAGGTGGATTGTGCGGTGACGTGAAATGGCTGGTGGTCGCACATTGTGTCACTTGCCAACGCCCCAGCCACAAGTACGTCCACAGGCTGAGCTGACTGGCTCTCCGTGCTTGGAGTTGAAGTTGACTCCCGTGCCGACGAGCTGGAAGAGCTTTGGGGTATGAAGAGCTTGCCGCTGTCCTCTCTGCGAGCCGTTAGCAGATCCTCTTAACGCGCTGTGCCCAAAGCCTAACATGGCTCACCGCTGAGGTGTAGCTCCGTCGCGCTTTTCGAGTTTCGCAAGTTCTACCGCGACTTTGGTGCCGCGGATAACATTGGCTTCGACCAATGCCGTATTAGCCTTGACACTTCCTCCATTACTCAGTTCCCTGATACGTTTCAAGATGTACGGAGTATTGGCACTTCCACCAATGCCTTTCTGCTCCGCTTCAGAAACCGCCTCCGTGATGATAAAATCGATCTCTTCCCTGAACATCGCTGAATGCTCCGGAACAGGATTCGCGAAGAGCAGACCAGAATTTACGCCAAGCACAGACTGTGCGTAGATGATGGCAGCTGCATCTGCTTCGTCGAGAATAGTCTTGGGGCTCCTGACGCCACTGTCTCGCGAGAAGAAGGCCGGAAAGTCGACGTCGCCTTGCCTGCCATCCGCAAAAGTGCCCACACCTACTCCTTGCGTCTCAAGATACTCCAATGTGCGCGGGATGTCCAAGAAACTCTTGCAACCACTGGATATCACTGTGACGGGCGTTCGTCCAAGCTCGGTCAGATCCGCTGAGATGTCCATGGAGTTCTCTGCTCCTCTGTGGACGCCACCAAGGCCACCCGTAGCAAAGACTTTGATGCCCGCCAGGTGGGCTAGCACCATTGTCCCAGCAATGGTTGTCCCTCCATTGAGCGTATGTCCTCTTAAGCCCAGCCCACCAATGAAGCCAAGGTCCCGTCTGGAGATCTTCCAGGTATTCTTGTGCCCGGCAGCAGAGACCAGGTTTATCAGTTCATCGGCGCCCATTCCCACTAGAGCTTTGCCCCCAAGGATACCGATAGTCGCAGGTACGCCGCCATTCACGCGGACTAAGGACTCGAGGCGCGAGGAGAGGGCGACATTCTCGGGATACGGATAGCCTGGTAAGCGATGAGCCTTCCAGGGTATTCGAAGAAGGCTTCATGCCATACCGTGTGTGTATATCGTCGTCTCCAGCGCAACGACCGGCTTCCCCGTTGCGAGAGCATCTTGTACTTCTTCTGATACGCGGAAGAGCCTGTCTCGGCCGGTGACAATCGTCCGTTTCTGGCGGGAACGTTGTGTCAATCTTCGAAAATACGGATTCAACGACAATGCCCTTCTGTGTAAAGCCATTAATCACTTGCCGCGAGACAGGCACGAGCTTCGCGTTCTCAATGGACAGGAGAAAAGGACGGTCCTCATACTGTACGCTACTGGATAACTCGTACGGTGAGCTCCAAACAACCCGAGCCTGATGGTGTCCGATTGGCTCGTTCCGTGCAACACGAGGCCGACGAGGCTGAACGGCATATCCCGCTCCTACGTCATAACGTCGACGAGTCTCGCAAACTGGTCGCCAACTTCAAGAGGGCATTCGTCCCAGATTTCCCGTCCTTTTCTTCTCTTCTCCAGCTCAGTATCCCTGTGCGCAGCACACAGCTATACTGGTACCCTCGGGTGATTCGTGATGGTCCGAATAGACGTTGGAGGCTTTCCTAACATCAATATCGCTACCACAGATGGCAAGGTCGACATTGGCAAAACCAAGCAACAGATCCGCCAGAGGATGCGAGGAGGCGGCAGATCTGTGCATCTGAGCTGGAACACGACGACCCCGCGCCTTGTCCTGACAAGTGACACTGACGACTTCGACCCGACCATCATATCCCATTTCCAGCAGGAAGGCTTCCAGCTCAGTTACCTCGAGTACGATGGGAACAAGCAGGATTACATGGCCAAACTGCAGCATTTGCAGGACCCCCTAGAGCTGGGGGAGAAATATGCCATAGTAGGTAAGTGGGTTTGATGAAGCCGAGCGATCATTCATTGTAGGTTTTGAGCTCGATGTCGGCACGGCAAGGCATTGTCTGGCACGGGTATTGTTCTCTTCCGGCCGGGGACAGGAGTACAATACCATGCATGACCTTCCCGTCGCAATTCTTTCAGCTCAACTGCTATAAGACAATGCACGCAAGTCAAGCTCCAGCAAGCATGCATTCTCGGACTGACTAACTAACTGGTTGGCGGCAGCATACGGTGACGCCGCGACTCTCGTGTTGGAAGCATGCATGAGACCCATGCCGAAGCTCGTCGCCGTCGTGGCCTACTACCCGGGCCACCCGCCCCGCTCGACAACCAATTTCCCTCCAACGCTTCACGTGCAAATTCACCTGGCCGCCACCCAGAAATGGGACACCCGCTGGCCCTCGTATCGCTATGAAAACACCGAGCCCGGCTTCGCGGAGCACGACCTCGAAGAATTCGACAAGATTGGCGCCTCGCTAGCTTGGTCAAGAACCCTCTCCATCCTCCGCACGGCCTTCGACATCGACGGCCCCGACCTCGAGGCCATCTGGGTCAACCACACGCGGCTCGAATTTGCAGAGAAGGACGCGGACAAGACCATGGCCACCATGGTCGCGCAGCCCTACGTGAACCATGTACCCACGATGACAGGCGGGATCGGGTACGATCAGCTGCGCAGATTCTACGCCGACTTCTTCATCCCGAACAACCCGCCTGACATGAGGATCCGGCTCCTCAGCCGGACTGTGGGCGTTGATCGCATTGTGGACGAGATGTTCGTCTCGTTTACGCACACGACGGAGATTTCCTGGATGTTGCCGGGCGTGCCGCCCACGAACAAGAAGGTGGAAGTCGTGCTGGTCAGTGTGGTTTGCATCCGAGGCGGCAAGCTCTACCGCGAGCATATCCACTGGGATCAGGCGACCGTGCTGGTGCAGGTCGGGCTGCTGGATCCGAAGTACATACCCAAGACGTTCAAGACCGCTGAGCAAGGTAGGGAAGAGGAAGTCGAGAGGCTGCCTGTCTGTGGGAGGGAGGCCGCCAGGAAGGTGTTGGAAGAGGACAGCTCGCAGAGCAATGAATTGATTCCTGACTGGTGAGTCGTCGAAGACGCGAGAAACCAGGACTATCGAGATATTCCAAGGCTGTTATAGTAGACCTGGATATGGACTCGGTGGAGATACCGCAACAGGCGAATGGGATTCTTATAATGCAGTTAATACCACATTACGTGCCAACAAGTGCTCGTAGCAAAGATGTCTCTATAAAGCCCCCAGTAAATCATGGAAAGGATCGTGGTCACAATGACGGCTGCAAGCCACTCAAAGCCCTGTAGCAGCTAGTTCATAACAATATATAGCATGCACCACTTGCAGCTCAGACTAACAAGTGGTAAATCGCGCTCGAACGCAGGACCTAGAAACACAAGTTCACGCAGTGAAATCATACCGAAGTCAGCGGATGGAATACAGCAGGCCCCGGATCAAGCGCTTGTTCACGCCTGTCCGTGCTCCGTGGGGTCGTAGACCTCGCGGCTGCCCCAGATCCGCCTTACCAGCGCCTCCTCTGGTGAGAGCCCGAACTGCTCGTCATCCTGAGCACCATCGAGACCACTATTGCGCTGTGATGGTGTGACTTCAATGTCGTCATGGCTGCTCTGTCGCTGGAAATGCACTCTACCCCCACGGCCCCTGCTGTTCGACCTTGAAGCCAAGGGAGACGACCTCTGCTCCTCAAAACTTCGACTGACTCCTACCCTTGTGTGCCCATTGACAGTGGTGGCACTGGGTCCCCGCCGACTCGGCGGCCTACTTTTGGAGGCAGTTCCGGCGGATGCGGCCATGCCAATGTCTGGGGGTAGGACATTTTTGTCCTTCAATCTGTTCAGGCTTTCTATCATAGGACTTCTGAATCTCCTGACTACCATGAACTGCTTCATAGCGGTCTCGTAGTCTTGCTTGACGGCTTTGATCTCTCCAGCCAGAGAGCGGTTGCGGTTTCTCGATGCTGCTCGGCTGTGCAGCGAGGTCGCCGACGCCATGGGGACACCCATCCCGGGTGCAAGGGGAGCGGTAGGCGTTGCAGGTCCAGCTCTGGAGATCTCCCGTTTCTGCAGGTCAAGTTTTTGCTGCGTCCTGGACTGCATCTGTGATATCCTTGCTTTATGAAGGGTCTTCGTCTTCTCCGGCGACTCCGACGGTTGTGGCTTGTAGTTGGAGAGAAAATTGGATGGTGAGTCTCCGTCTGACTCGTCGACGATCTGACGGAAGGTGCTTGCTGGTGTATCTGTCTGTAGGAAATGTGAGACTCCACCCTCCACCGAGGAGGATGTCAGGACTGGGCCAGACACAGTGCTAGGGGATACACCTGTGTGTTTTCCTGTTGTGCCGGCATTTGCATTCGAAGAAGCAGCGTCTGCATGCGAAATGTGGGTAAAGGATCGTGTCGAGTCACTCCGCACCAGTTGACTTGGTCCAACATGCGCTGATACTGTGGACATAGCCGGAGGGGCGCGTGAAGAACGAGGGTATTGTTGAATCAATGCAGGGTCAGCCGGGTTCTGTCCTTGCGACATCACAAGCACGTTTTTTAAATTCGGTGCAGACCGATTCTTATTCTTTAGAGACGGTTGGGGAGGGGACGAAGTCCTCTGCTGGCGATGAATCTCCTGTGCTGCATGCTGCGGAGGCGCTGGGTCCCCATTGGGGGTGTGTGCTCTTACGGGTGTAGAGGTCTTCGAATTGCTTCTAGTCAACTCGGGGGATTGAGTGGTTGAATCTTCCCATTCTCCTTCCTCTTCATCGTCCGACGATCGGTCTCCAAGCTGGAATACTCCATCCTTAGCTTCCTTGCTTTTCTGCTTTACTGCCGGTGTAAGACCAATCTTTTTGAGAGCTGCGTGGGAGACGTTTCGAGGCAATGCCGTGGCTGAATGGTTCTTCCGCAGATTGCCGAACGACGTATTCTTTGCCAAAGCAACGTGGGAGCTGTTGTGTTTCACCAGCGGCGTCCTCGGGCTATGAGGTGGCGTGGTACCCCCCGACTTCTTTCTCTGATGGTGTCTTTGGGCATCAGCGTTGATGCTGGCTGTAGATTGTACTTTGCCCAACTTGCTAAGTCCTTTGCCATGAGATACATTTCTAGAGTGCCGAGTGACCGCATGCGGGCGGTGGACCTTATGAACGGTTGTTTGTCTGCCCGGTGAACTCTGAGACTGTACAGAGGAGTTGCGTTCGGTCAGTGAGGGACGCTTGATCGGAGAGGGGGATGCGGAAGGCATTGTGTCGAGCCCATCGATTGCAAGGTCGGGAGAGGATAGATAGTTACTGTTGCTGTGGTTGTAAGGTTAGTTTCCCATATCAAGTGTTGATGGAAAGTTGAATGTGAGGTAATTGTGAGAGGAGCACGAGCGCAGTTGTTCCTCTCGTGAAGATCGAGGATCGACCTGTTGGAGATGCTCTCGCCGTTGCCGACGGCGGCTGAACTTTTGCCTACCAATCAATGGCGGCAATTGTTAACCTAACGGGCAACTTCCTGTCAAATGACTTTCGGATCAGCGAATAATGGCTACCGTGACATGGCAGTGAATGATTTGGAATGCAATCGGATCGGCTATTCAAGGGAGTGGCTGCTTGCTCAAGAGACCGATGCTTTCAGCTTCAGCTGAGCACCTGGTTTTATCCGTCCGGTTGCACCTCCACGAGGCGACCTCAGGCTTTCTACACTATCGAGCTCTGTTCGCGTTGCTGCTCGCGACGCGGTAGGGGTAGAAGGAAAACTCCATTCACTGTCCAGTTTCCGCACATGTGATGTACCGAGGGCCTTGTTAAAGTTGAGAAAACCAAGTATTCGCTTCCTTATGCTCTATCCAACTGACACTCTTCAACTCTCAGCCACTTCACCACGCTCCAGCGCGACCGCCAATACGTCCCAGGCTAAATCGTGACCTCTTACAGTGCTCCTCGACGGTTTCAACTGCCTGATGACTTTGGTGAGTGGTTCTGCTCGTAGCAACGCGAGGACATCTGCAAAATGTGACATCCAACAACAGGAACTTGGACGAGATGAGGCGCTCTGGCTCATCACACCGCCGCAACAGGGCACCCAAAGACGCTACCCTTCAGATCACTAGAATTGGTAGAGGACGAGGTATGATAACAATGCTTGATATGTGAGCTGACCCAACCATTCACGCAGTGGCGTCGCATACATTTTCGCGAATGTGAAAATCCATGATTGAAGACCTTTCTAAGAAAAGGGGAGAACTCCCTCTTGCGACCCTTACCCTGCAATCTTGCCTCTTCGCTCGTCAGGTCTACACCCAGACACCCTGGCTTACGCCATAGCATTGGCACGGAGAAGTGACCACCAACGCATCTGGTATCTCTGGAAGCCCCTGTCATCGTCAAGCCTTCGGCATATTTTGGTTGCTATACTTTCAATTGGGTCTGCCACTGGACAGTTTGTTTCGGCGGTGTGGATGGTTTCAAGCCTCGATGGTGGCCGGCTCCTGTGCTTACTGGAGCAAGATGTGAAGGTCCATTCAAATAACTCCAGTGTGCCTTTATCGGTAGCCTGGCGAAGTTCAACGCCCCGAAGCATGCCAATAGGATGTATTGCGCGACCGGTCAACCCTAACTCCGAGCATATGATACAAAACTACCGACTTGGACACTATGGCATGTAAGAGGCGGACTGCTCATTTGGCAGCAGCCAACATGAAAACCAGGCAAGGCGTGGCGAAGCCCACGATGTCCCTTAGGTAAGCTGAAAGCGTGCATCGAAATAGGTAGTTCGCGGCGCTATCGTCGTTATCTTGCCAGCTCGGCCTTTTCCGTTGACAGACAGCACACCAGACGCCGATGCTATGCGGCCGCTCGAGGGCGGTCAGCTCGGCGAATCTCAACGGTCAGGATCCTGTATGCTTGGCTGCAGCCAGCCAGCTGCATATCACTACTTGTTCCTGTTGGACCCAAGATTCCACCGCTGGATGTGTTTCATTCCTACAAAAAGGCATGGCTGCGTTAGTAAGAAGCATCTTCTTCCGAAAGCCAGCTATCAGCTACATAGCCTGGCATTTCCACACATGGTTCTTGCGGCATCGATGATTGGTGTTAACTCCTGCCGGCATACTTCTCGACCGTTAAAGTGGGCATGTCAATAGGAGGAGAAGACTTTGCACAGTGCAGTGTGCCGAGCACTCTCAGAGAGCCATCTGCTCGTGCTCCGTGGACTGGGGGGGTAACGAAAAGGGCGAGGTACTATGAAAGAACAAAGGGAGATCGCCAGAGTTGTCTGTTTTCAGACAAATGCCCCGCAGGAGAAGATCCAACCAAGGATGATAGTGTGCTGTTCTCGATGTGACATACTACACTGGACAATGTACATAGATGTACAGGTGTTAGCTGGAAACCATATGGCTCGGGTTGGATGAGTTGGACCGTAAGTGCGAATGGTGAAAAGGTGGAGAGATGGACGTGGTGCTGCCGGACCCCATGCATTACTTCGAGTTAGAGTTATGGATGTAGTTGCAAGACTCGTGCCGGCGATCGCTCTTGTGGGTGCCCGGAGAACGGAACCATGCGAGCACCGTTACAGAGTACTGGTAGATGACTGGGTGCGAGTATTATGTACACAGTAGTGCATGTTAGGAGCAAGATGTCAAGAACTGGACGCCAGAGACCCTTGCATCGGCCGTGCCAGGCACGCAAACAGCCCCACCGAATGTGCGAAAATATTCCGCTTGCAGATCTCGAAGGTTGCTGCCTTTCTGCCCTTGAATTGCGCCATCGCATCGCCAGCAGTGAACGGCTTGTCTCAAGGCCTCTTTGGTCTCTCTGCTCTTCACCAGTTGGCCTTGTCCCTTGAATTTGGTCTGTTTGTTGCCGACTTTCCGATTGCTCACACCTACACAGCATGCATCGTGCGGTGTCGGGGTGCCAATGACTATCTTGCGGTCTGCTTCGATCAGCCAATCCTCCTGCCGTGTGGCATTGACAGGATATCAACCTTATCTCACTTCGACCATCTTTCGAGCTAGACAAATCGAAGCCGGGCAAACCCACTCTTTTCGAGTCCGCCTTCTCCAAGCTTCCAGTCGTCCAGTCCTTGGCTGATACGCACACGCGGGCGCCGAATAAGTCGTACCTCGTCCACCTGCGGGTGACCAGGGTATTTGGCAGGAGCCGAGTTCTAGCCCTGGTCCAGCCCTCGGATCCCTGCCGGAATTTGTCCTCCCAATCTCACAATGATCGCTATACTTGACTGAAGAGAACCCTTTCGATACTATTGTACTCTCTTCCTCCCACCTTATAGGCATCCACCCAGATCATACGCTCAGCTGTTCCCGAGACGCGTTTCGTCTGCCGCCTGTCGCCTTTGCACGAAGTCTATGGCGTCATGTTAGCAATACGCCTTTCTTGCAACCTGAGGTGGCTGTCCGATATCCGCTGATCATCAAACCTGATGTGAGAGTCACTGATCGGAACTTTATAAGAGCAACTCAAGCAATCGAAATTTGAGCCGACGTCCCCATTGTCGCTGCTAAAATTCGTTGAAAGGGTTGCAATTCTCTGGACGCTGGCTGTTGCACAAAACTCGACCTTTAGAAATATCCGCTGGCATCTTGGACTACTGGAAGGGGTAAAGATGGCATATACTCACCAAACCTATCTTCCAACACCACTCACCCCTTCAATGCCAGTATGCGGTCCCCTTGCCGATCAATTGGAGCCACTGCCGATTACACCCCCAGATATACCTGCAGCCTTTGACGAAAGGTCATTCAAGCCGGACAGCAGGACAATCAGGAAGGCCCTGCACGTGCTCGCCACCGAACGGCAGGCTCTGTCCCATCTCGAAGACCTATACAGCACTTCTGCAGAGGCACAAGAGTCTCTCCTTCGAGCTGTTAACCAGATCATCAACTCCGAGGCTCGACACGGAAAGACCATCTTCACAGGCGTCGGGAAGTCGGGGCATATTGCAAAGAAGCTGGTCGCGACATTTGTGTCACTAGGCATCCATGCAATCTTTCTACACCCCATTGAAGCTCTCCACGGGGACCTAGGAGTTGTTCGACACACTGATACAGTTATTATGATCACATTTTCCGGGAGGACACCAGAACTCCTGTCACTTGTACCGCATATTCAACATTGCATCCCTCTGATTCTCATGACGGCGCATCTGAGCCCCATCACCTGCCCGCTTCTGTCGCACACGGCAAGACAAGGCGCTACGAATATCCTCCTTCCAACGACGATCCACGAGACGGAAACTTCGTCGTTCGGAGTCTCGGCCCCAACAACTTCAACGACGATCACCCTGGCCCTTGGCGACAGTCTGGCACTCGCGGTCGCAGACGAATTGCACTGTTCTACTGGCGTGGAAACACCCGCAGTCTTCGCGTCGAACCATCCTGGCGGTGCGATCGGCGCCGCATTCAAGTCATCGACTCAGAACGTCCCGAAAATGGCCGATCTAGCGACCACGGTGTCGCAAGTGCCCATAGCTTCGCCGCAAATGGGTCAGCCGCTTCTGTGCTTCAATGTCCTTTTAGCCGCGGTGAAGTCGCCGCGGGGTTTCGTCCGGACGTCAGCCAACCACATTATCGGCCCTCGACGGATACAAAACCTACAAGATCCCACTGCTCCAATCTCGGCTGTGGAGGATGAATTTGGCAGAGTGGTGGTTGAGAGGACGGACTGGATATCCGTTCTCAACTCTACCACCGTCGAAGAGTGCAGGAGATGGATCCACCAGATGCGAAACGAGGGCACTGGTCGAGGCAGAGACTTCCTCAAGCGAGGGACTCTGCTTGGCATCGTCGAGCATAACGAGGTCACGGGTGTCGTGGAGATTGAAGATGTTATAGGCGAAGACTTTGCATGAATGTTGTCGGCTCCCCACTGATGGAAGCCGAATCACGACCAATACATTATAGAACAGCATCAGGGTGGTTAGCGCTTTAGCGGGCTCGCCCAGCGTCGTATTTTCCATTTTGGATATCTCACGAATGTTATGAATACCAATCGTCCTCCTCATCCTCGTCCTCCTCGTCCTCCTCGACTCCGTTGGTCGCTGCTGAAACCACAACCGTAGCAATTGATGCTCCGTCAGTCGTTTGGCCTGTATCGTCCCCAGGCTTCGCAGCAGTTCTCAGCGCGTCTCTCTTCGCTCTCAGCTTTCGAACTCGGTCCTCCATCTCCTCCATGATATCGAATTCTTCAGCCAACTTTCCCAATTCGTCTTCCTTCTCATCCTCTGCCTCCATTTCCAGTCTCCGTCTTCTATCCTCGTCTTGCTGTGCCGTGATCTGATCGGCCGTCAGAGGGGCAGCCGTGATAGTGGCAGAGGCATAGTCCGGTTTGGGCTTGTCTGCCGCGAGTGGTGCTACTTCACGTTCGAAGGCTGCCCATTCGTCTTCGTTAACGGCAGGAGCAGGTGCGGAGGGTTCCTTCGTTTGTACTGCATCGCCCGTCACCGGCGATGGGGCCCGCGTCTGCCCTATCTGTTGCCCGGGTACTTCCTGCTCTAGGAGAACTGGTCCTGCCTGCTCTTCGTCTTCGTCTTCCACAAGAGTGCTCTCCGGCCGTGATTTCGGCTTCTTCCGTGCCTCAGATTTCTGCTCATCACGCTCCGGTGATACTTCATCAACATCTTCAATTTTTCTCTTAACGCCCTTGCCTGAACTGGACTCTAAGCTAGCCTGCCGGGACGCTTGAGTGGCGACGTTCTTCCGGTGGTTTGCACTTTTCAAGTGTCCTTCCCAGAGAGCCTCGGACTTCACGTTGAGATTGCAGATATTGCACAAGAGTATGCCGGATTTCGTGTATGAGAGATGAGGATGGGTTATGCGACGGGACTGACGCTCAGCGGCGAGGAGGGCCCGGACATCAGTCATCGTTGCCCGTGGACTCCGACTGCCTTTTGGGAAGGAAAGAAAGCGAAGACGCGCTCAGCTGAAACGCGGTAACACTGATGGTCGCTGTCTCTGCCACAGAATCCAATCCGCTGCCACACTGCCTGCGAGAGCGTGCCAGCCTGTTACGTTAATGCGTGTTGCCGCTTTTCCGGCCTGGACCCTTCTTTCGCCCTCCATCCAATCACAGCACTCGCAGCTCTAGTCAGGCCATCTCCGCTTTTGCTGCGCTTGAAGTTCCTGCCGCCGCAACTCAAGGTTCCCGCATCCATCTCTCCGTTCAATTCTACTCCTACCCTCGTCGCGATATCACCTTCGACACGTTTACCCATCTCTTTCATTGCGCGGAGCTGCTGCGCTGACTGTGGCGCGTGGCGCGGAGTTTAGCTTAATCGAATCTGGAGGAACAAGGCCGCAGCTCTGGGTTGGTCTCGTGGACACTATCTCTACCACTCCCACCTGTCGTAGATCGCGAATAGACGTGATTGATGACAAACATCTACGCCTACGTGTATCGCGCATATCGTAGTGTCTAGTATCTTGTACCGTCTCCATGGCTGGTAAGCGTCGCCGTCACCCACGTCACCTTGTTGAATCTTACTAATACAGTGGCAGATGAACCACGACGATCAGGTCGCGCGACCAAAGGACAACACACTAAGGAGCGCGACGGCCCTGAAGATGGATCTACCAAGAAAAAGGGAAAAGGCAAGGCTGCCAAAAATAAGGCCGTGGAAGAAGATGAAGAACCCGAAGAGATCATTCGATGTGTCTGCGGGCAGTACGAGGAGGAGGAAGATAACCCTCGCACCATGATCTGCTGCGACAAGTGCTCAGCATGGCAACACAACAGCTGCATGGGCCTGCCTGAAGACTACGAGCCTGAAAAGTACTTCTGCGAGCAATGCAAACCGCAAGACCACAAAGCACTGCTTGCCGCCGTTGCGCGTGGAGAGAAGCCGTGGGAGGCAGCAATTAGACAGAGGGAGGCTGAGTTGGCTGAGAAGGCAAAGAAGAAAGGGAAGAAGGGGAGGAAATCTGCTGCTGGACGAACGAGTGAAGTTGCGTCGCGCGCCTCTCAGGACGTCGACGAGGGCGCTGGCACTGGCTCTGGCCCCGTATCAAACCCGGCTGCCACTGGACAGAAGCGCAAGCTGGAGGAGTCACCCTCTGTATCTGAAGTTAAGGTTCGTCTATTCCTTCCGCAGAGCGAGAAGCATACGCTGACATTATTCCAGAGCAAGAAGGTTCGAGGGGCTCCTGCTGCTGACGCCAACGGTGGTGAAGCAATCAAGACCGAGACTCCTTCCCGGCAGGCTTCACGATCAGAGTCCGTCTCGGGAGTTGCAATGGATGTAAAGGAGCTGACGAACGCTTCGAGGAAGTCAGCCGCGGCGAATCTGATTAAGCTCATAGAACAGCAAATCAAAGCCGTAAAGCCAGAGGAGTACACCACGCCCGCTGGCAAGACTGACACAGAGGTCGCCACCCAGCTTGGCCTGCGTGTCGAACATGGCATGTTCAACGCCCTGTGCGGAGGGAATGGCGAACCCAACGACGCCTACAAGAACCAGCTTCGGTCGATCACGTACAACGTGAAGAAAAACCGCGCCTTAGGTGTACATCTACTCAACGGAGACCTCACACCACACACTCTCGCAACCATGGACCCCAAAGACATGGCGACCGATGAACAGAAGAGCAAAGAAAAGGCTATGATCAAAGAGATGGAGAGACAACATACCATTGTGGAAGAGCAGGGGCCAAGAATTAGACGAACACACAAGGGTGACGAGTATGTCGACGAAGCTAGGCAGGTCGCAGCCGAATCTGCCACATCCAACGCACCTGTCCGAAAGCCCACTGCCGCCGCTGAGCAAGACGGAGAAAGCAAGAGCCCTGGAGTCAAGAGCCCCTCTGAGACGCTACCAGCCGCAGCCAGAGGGAGCAGACCTCGAACGTCGGTCGACACGATGGCAAGACGTACCTCCTCCGCCAATTTTGACATAGACAAAGTCTGGTCGAATGTCCAAGGCTCACCCGACGGCGAGCCCCAGCGATTTGGCGACCTTCCCCAGGCACATTCACCGACGGCAGCCGTTCGAGAACCAATGGCCCCAGGCACAACGGCCGACGCAGAAATTGACGAGCTTCTCAAGGATGAAGACGCCGAGTCACCACCGTATTCACCCAAGGACGCTGCGGATGCTGAAGGCGTCGTCTGGCGCGGTGTCGTCAATGGAGGCAGTCTCGGTCGATTCCACGCCGTCGCAAGACACGCTGCCGGAGCTACACCTGACTCTGACACTCTGCGCATGACCTACAATGATCTCCTCCCGGCAGAGATCGACATCGGGGGCCGAATCCAGCCTGCCCGAGCGGACGAATACCTGTGTGGCCTGGAGTACAGTAACTCCTCAGACTTGGTCATCGTCTGCCTGCCCGAACCCACCAACTCGCACGATCAAGAACAGTTCAATAAATTCTTCCGATACTTCAAGCACAAGGATCGCTTCGGTGTGGGGCTGCAGTACACAAACCCGGCCATCAAGGATATATATCTGATTCCTCTCGAAGTCGGTGAGGAATTGCCCACGTTTGTGAAGAAGTTGGAAACCGACTTCCCGGATCCGACGCAGGAGAAGATGCTGTTGGTACCCATCGTTATTAAGAATAGCGAACTTCCACACAACATCGATGCTGCTATGGCTGATGCATCCGCGACAAATGCTCGGAGTCCGACAATGCCGGGAGGATCGATTGCGCAGACGCCCATCACGCCTCGCGATGGTGTCTTTCCATACAGCCAGTCGCCCATGCCAAACCCGTATGACATGAATGGGACACCTCAGATCCACCATGCACAGCAGGGCTTTGTACACACACCCGCACCACCATCCTCGTCCTCCCCACCAAATCAATCTACACTGTATGCGCAGTCTATCCTTGGTCCCGAGCTAGCATCATGTCCTAGTGTGGTCCAGCTCTGTTCTCAAGCCCCTAACGCAGGCGAGAACGAGTTCCGCATCGTCAAGGAATGTCTGCAGCAAAACGCCGAGGCGAGAAATGATTTGTCAGTACTCACAGTTATGCTCCAGCGAGTAATGCAGCAGTCGAAGGCAGGAGGCGCGAGTGATTCACCGAGGACTTAGGAATTTCCAAAAGCAACCAGTCACATTGACGAGACGGAAGCGGGTTTGTTGACGGTACCTGTGTGCTCAAAGGCGTTTGAGGCTTGGATAGTGCGGTACAACCAGGGCCACAAGGAGGAATGTGCTTGACCATGCTGCAAACCGGTACAGATGGTTGTTTGGTGTGGTTATTGTCATTTCGAATGTGCTAGCAGTAACGTGATACCCTGAGCGAGGACATCGGATCGGGCTGCTGTACTCCGTATGTGCTTGAGGAATTACGAGCTCATCGACACATGCGACGGGTAGTGGTCGTGCTATAACGGATGGGTAGACCAGCCCAGGGGCCCAGATACCAGGTACTTTAGAAGCCAGGCGGGCTCGTCGAGCTCTCGTTGTTTTCGAGGACAATCAGCACGTCGGTGTGTTGCAGTCTTGGTGTTCTTGAAAGCTGATGTGGGTGGTCGCCAGTCGGCACAAGGCAACGAGCATGTACTGTGTGCCCTTTGTCAATCCGATCAGAAGAGGGGACGTTGCAGGTTGAACAGGCTAGTCACTAAGGTAGCCGGATAGTGAAAATGTCTCCTTTGAAAATATATCCTGATGGTCTTTTCACGTTGCGTGTGTGCCTTGTGGTGGTCTTCAATGCAGTGCCGTGCGGTGCGGCACGAAGAAGCTGCTGTTTGGGCTTCTGGCTGGCTAAAAGCTAGGTAGTGTACTATAATGTCTCTAGGAACGTGCGCACAAGCTCGTCTCTTCGTCGCTCCTCGAGGGTATAGAACTTTACATCCCTGAGAACAGCGTCAGGTAATTCGTCCACCGTCATCGCCGGTCTAAAAGCGTCCTTGTCTTTCTGCGCCGTGTCTTTCAACAACCCCACCAATTCCTTCCTCCTCTCCGCCTCCGACAGCTTGAGTCTGGCCACCAGGTCACGGAACATCTTCTCGCGTTCCTTGTCGTGGAGATTCCGATCGCCCATTTCCGGCGCCCGTCTGAACTTGCGCTTGAACTCCGGCCAGTACAGTTTCGGAGTGGCATTCTTGTGCAGGAAGCGGAGGTATTCGACCCGGGGATCTCGCTTTCGGGCCGATTGTTCGGATTCTTGTTGAGCCTTAAGGGCTTGGATCTGCGCGATGCGATCTTTCGACCACCCCGAGAATGCTTCCCTGCGGGCGGAGGTGGTGGGAAGGGACACGTAGCGCTGGTCTTCCACCACATGGACGTCCTCGATGAGTTTTTCGAATGTGGCGTAGGGTGAGATGCCCGAGTCGTCGAGGAGCGAGCGGAAGAGCGCGACCGTGTCCTCCTCGGTTAGGGGCAGGCCTTCCTCGTCGTCTTCGCCGGTCGGATTTACATCGTGACCGTGACCGTCTGGGTTGACGTAGTCATCCTCGACGTCACCTTCAGCTTCGGCTTCCATTTGCGCGAGTTGCCAGGCTATGTCGTCTTCGTTGAATTCTAGAGGCCCAGGTGGGGGGGACGGCTGTGCCGAATGAGAGAGGCGGCGTCGTTTGGATGGTTCGTCTCCCTCGTCATCGTTCTCGCCCTCGTCGTCTGTGACTTCGACTTCTTCGTACGAGTCGTCGTTGTCGTGGTCAAGATCGTGCGGTCCTCCTACCGTCTGAGTTGGCGCCCTTGTCCCCGGTGTGCTCGCGCGATCATCCGCCGGTTGTGACTTCTCTCGCGCTGGCTCCTCCTCCTTGTTAAGAATCCCGTCCTTCTCGGCCTCGGCCTCGGCCTCTGCTTTCTTCTTAGCCTCCCACTCCATCCTGTCCATCTCAATCACCGCCATCATGACGTCCTGCGGGAACTTCCACAGACTCTGTTTCGTCTCGGTGTTGTGCACGAATCGTCTCCCCAGCTTGGTCTTCACAAGGACCCACGGCGCACAGTTCGGGATTGGCGCCTTCGACTTCGGTCGATCGCCTTGGTTGCCTCGCCGGCGCGAGCGATCCTGGTAGCTTTGTCCGCCTGTGAAGTGCCCAGTGGCATCGTTCTGGCTCTTGTTCCTGTTGAATTCGTCCATGGCTTGCATGGAGGCGCGCATGACTTGGTCGGGTTCGGTGGCGCCATAGTCGATCTGCAGTGGCTCTTCTGAAGGACCAGCTGTTGGGCGTGTGTAGGTCGACTGCCCCGTCGAGGCATTGTAGTAGTATGTGTGTCCTGTGGGTGCTTTGTGTTCTGTCCAGCCTGTTGGGAGAGAAGAGGCCGCCGGCGTGGGCGCTGCAGGCCGATACGTTGACTTGAGCATTTTGATCCAGGTATAGGTAGGCCCGGAATCAGCGTGAGGTACTGCTGTTACCTAGGTCGAAGTGTACTGCTTAGCAAAGTGCTTTACTGCATGGTGCTGTGCTCGTCACAGCCATGGAGAAAAAGTTGGTGCAATGTGATTGGCTGAGCGGGCGACGACGCGTGAGGGAGCCGTGCCTGCGTCCGTTACATGTACTGTGCAGTCAGTAGTCCTCTCCTACCGACCCTCACGTCTGCTTTACTTTGAGCTCTCATCCTCTCGCGCGGCCCGTATCTTCCTTTCGCCGACCCCCATAATGTCTCGAAGATACGATTCAAGGGTAAGTCCATCGTTCCCTTGGGAAATGTTTGCTCCGCCAATGCTAACCTACAACTCCGCAGACGACCATCTTCTCCCCAGAAGGTCGGTTGTACCAGGTCGAATATGCCCTCGAGGCTATCTCGCATGCCGGCACAGCTCTGGGAATATTAGCGCAAGATGGCATCGTCCTGGCCGCGGAGCGCAAGGTCACAAGCAAACTACTGGAACAAGACACATCGGCCGAGAAACTCTATATCCTCAATGAGTATGCTGCCAGTGCGTTGGGAGTGTAGAGCAAACTGCTGACATAGTCTGACAGCAACATGATCTGCGCGGTAGCAGGCATGACTGCCGATGCCAACATTCTCATCAACTTTGCACGACAAGCCGCTCAACGCTACCTCCTGACCTACAACGAAGACATCCCCTGCGAACAGCTGGTGCGTCGTCTGTGCGATCTGAAGCAAGGCTACACACAACACGGTGGTCTACGGCCGTTTGGTGTCTCCTTCATCTATGCAGGCTGGGACCCGCAGCGACAGTTTCAATTGTATCAGAGCAATCCCTCGGGCAATTACGGTGGGTGGAAGGCCACGAGCGTGGGAGCCAACAATGCCAGTGCCCAGAGTCTGCTCAAGCAAGATTATAAGGAGGACTGTGATCTGAAGGAGGCGTGCGGCATGGCAGTAAAGGTGTTGAGCAAGACCATGGACTCGACGAGGCTGAGCAGTGAGAAGAGTGAGTGACAGGAGAACGCACTTTTCGAGCACATACTGATGTCTGACGACAGTTGAATTCGCCACCGTCGGCAAGACGAAAGACGGCAAGATTTACCACCATCTGTGGTCTGGTGACGAGATCATGACGTTGCTCAAGGAGCACGGTCTTGCTAAGGAAGAGGAGCAAGAGACTGGTTAAGAGCAGAGCAGATAGCGGGAACGGTGGCCACACGTCCAGTACGCCCTGAGTCGCATTGGCTTGGATTCCGAAGCAAGGCAAAATGAAACCTTCGGGGAAAAGTGAATCCAAAGATGAATTGTGCGATTCAACTGCCCCGAGTCTGGCGTCATGTACTTGACCAGGTTACCCGATACTACAACAGCATGAGTGTCGGAGTCTGGGCGTCAAGGATCACATCGGGTACCTGTCTGCGAATTCTGGACGGGGAGTACGGCGAGTTGCTCACATGTACGTTTTGTTTTACAATACAGAAAAGACAAGAAGGAACTATTCGAGGCATAGCATAGCACCGGCGTTTAAGGTGGAATCCCTTACAGATTCCATGTCTGAAGAACCGTGTGGTCCTGATTCCCTGTCACCGTTTCTGGCTAACAAGCAATACCTGCCACCACGGCCCCGGATATACTAATAAGGTCTCCTCTGCCTTGGTGACTCGCCGGATACGGAGACAAGTGCTTGACGATCAATCCGTAGGTCGGAGCACACAGCATAGCAGGCAGAAATTACGGCAAGGTACCAGCGCTGGATTGCGTTAGGATGTCGCGATGTCCACGGATGTCGTGTTGTGATTTCTCTCTCGTCGACCGCGAGACCGTCTCAAGGACAGCTATCCTGACCTCAACATCAATGTCAACATACATTTCAGTCGTGAGACGGCATACTTGTCGCCTGCAAGAATCGGTATGCCGATAGTGTCAAGGGACAGCGTGATCTTGAGTGAAGCCCGATTGCTAGAAAATCAGGACATCGAATGGCATCAATCATCAATGGTGGACGGTCTGAGTTATGCCACTGCTAGCACCACGACTGGCTCGGTGATTGAGCCTTCACAGAGTAGACAGGTCAACAGATAATTCATGCCAGGATGAGGACCTTTGGAGTCAAGGGTTGCTCATCGTCGATGGTAAGGGCGACTGCATAGAGAAGACCGCAGGGTTAAGCAGCTGGAGTGGGCAAGAACTAGAGATTAAAACTATTGACATTCAGCCGATAACACCGAACCCAGCTTCTCATCGAGCCTCAGTAGATTCGGCATCATCCACTGGCACGCGATCTCGTCCGTCCTTGGCCTCGTCTACCGGCGCAACGACGTCCCACCCTCCAGGTTTTGCGACAAACGCCACCGGCTCATCGTCCTCTTCTGCTTAACTACAGGATTGCTGCTCAGCCTTCCTGGCCAGCTCCTCTACTACCTCCAACTATGGCGAATGTCTCGGCATCACCGAACGTTGAGACCACCGTTATGAGATCTACTTCCTTCGGCAACTGACTGACAAGGCCCATTCTGAGGCCCTCGGCGGTGCGTTAGATCTAGCGGTCACGGGCCGTGCCACATGGAGTCCAGACCAGCATTACCTAGCCAGGCGTGAAACTGGCTTCAGGTTGCGGCGCCCTTAGCAATAGCTGTCCTCCAATTGTCTGGCAACTGGCTGAGACCAGAATGGCAGGGCAACGACATCTCCCTCAGCAAGAGCTGCGCTAGCCAGCAGCAGTAACCCGAAGCCATCAGTCTGTCCAGCTGGATTTTCCTTGGAAGATCTCACGCCAAAGCGAGTGGAGTACGACCGTGTACGTCCAGCAACACCACAGTTCTCTTCTACTTCCATTAGGAGTAGCCCTAGTGACACTTGCATTGTGCCAGAGTCTTACGTCACTATACTTGCATGACGAGCACGCTGATCTCAGTGCGGATCTTGCGAAGCTAAAACAGTGACGAGAATGCTTCTGCACGTTGCCAGCGAATTCGGCAAGTCGTATGCCAATGTTGCAAAGCGGTATCTGGGATGGCAAGTTTCACGACTAAATCTGGCCAGAAATGAGGGTGATGACAAGAAGATTCAGAGCTCAATCCACGAGAGCGCGGTATACCCCCTTATTCAGCGCCTCGGACATTTTGAAGGCTCACTGGAGCACTAGGCTGGGAGAACAACAAGACAATGGCCCCCACGAACAGGCTACAACGAACCCTTCGCGCGAATCTATATGCCAACAGATCCATTACTCCACAACGGCGGGTTTTGTGGCTAGTGTGGATTCTGGCTCGAATTCAGTGGGAAACGTCAGTGTGACACATGATGAGAACACACCTGTCCCACAGCAGTCGCGGACTGAGTCTTCTATGCCAGCTCTCCTCGATAAGACATCCGGAACTCCCAACCACCTTAACCACTGGATAGATCTTCTGGCGGCGACCCAGCTCGGTCGTATCGCAATCGAGAACCCATGCTGGACGTCTTCTGACATTGAATGTCCTGCTGTCGCTACCACGGATTTCACTTAGGACAGAAAGATTATTTCCCGGGTTCCTATCAACATAACCTCTTGTAGATGTTGCCTTACGCTGTCGTTTTCAGCCTTGGCTTCGTGTTGCACTCCCTGCTTACATACCTTCAAGACCCATGGGACTCTCACCACCGAATTTATCGACGACACATACAGATTAGTTGATACCATGCGACCGCTTGCGAATACAATGCGGTGAAGCCAACGGATCAATTAACGCGGGGGCGAGCAGGCAGACAGACAGGCACACAGCACCGAAGGTCCCACCTGATCGGACGTGTGTCAGAGCGTGAAAGATTGGGGTAATGATGCATGCATGACACTGACAGCATTCGGCTTTCCGGTAACTACTCCGTACTGTACACGCGAAACAGGGCATGGCAGACAGGCAGCACGCCCCAGCGTGGGCTACGGAGCTGTAGTCACGAGAAGCAAAATCGCCTACACGCGAGTACTTCGTACCACTTGCTACATGCATTCATTCCCGTTCCTAAACACCGTATTGCCATTACCGCCGTCAACATCAACACCATGATGTGATTTTGGTGTGGTGCGGCGTGGTACTAACATAATATTAGCAGTGGCCCCCACGAACAGGCTACAATATGTGCATGGGGTTGCCAATGCTCGTCGCAGGTCAGCAAAGAGGGCACTTTGAAGCTCTTACGCACTCCTCGGTGATGCAGAGAATACGACGGAGGCCTCATAATACCATGGTCTCTGTATCAAAATCTCTCCACCACTTGTACGAGGCCACCCTCCCTCCCTTCCCACCCTCCTGAGTAATCTCAGCCTCGTCTCGCGCTCAGCCTCGAACACCGTAGCCTCGGAACCTGCGCCACGCCCGCCACGGCCCGCCGCCACATCAGGCTTCCTGCGTGCCTCCGTGCCTGCGTGTGCGCGCAGTGGTTTCAGAGGAGTGTCTCACTCCACCCCTCCACCCTACCGATTCCGATTTCGCCATTACTATGTACGGAGTACTCCGTACAAACCAAAGTCCTGCAGTTAATATTAGCTCATGTGTCAAGTCTTACGTAGTGAGAGCGTAAGGGGACACACGCCACATCTTAGCATTTAGGGCCAAAGCACAGTGGCGTACGAAATTGACTTTGGTGATGGTGAGTGGGGCTGAAGGACAGGTTTGGAAAATACTTCTCTCTAGACTCGTGACGCATCACATGCACGGACGAAAGCGGAAAGAGGGGGGCAGGTGAAGCGCGAGTCGCCAGGGGGAAGAGGCGGGAAATGGTAAGCAATGGTGATAGTAATGCCTTTGTGGTAATACTCCATTCTCGAGACCAAAGTCTCAAGTCAAGAATAATACACCATAGTCTTATTGACTGTACTCTACTATGGATAGCGTGCCAAAGGACCCAAAGGCCCGAAGTCCCCGCTCATTCCCACCTGATGATCTCCATCATCTGCCCAGCCTCCCACGCGTCGCCGAGGCTACATACATGTACCTCTGCGCGTTCGCCTCCATGACATCTCCACCTTGTGGTGTCATCATGCCATGCCAGAGCGTGCCATACCGTCGCTTTGCTCACAATTCGGCCCCGTCCATGTGAAGAGGCAAAGGAAGGGAGAAAGACTCGACTTGCTTGACCTGAGACGGACAACCCAACCCAAGTGCAGTAGTCCCTTTTCCCGTTTTTTTGGTGGTTGAATTGTAAGTTGTGTTGTCATTGCTTGCCACGATGCGTAAGACAGGTGAAGATCAAGTACTTGGGATCCAGGTGCCCCAAGTCAAAATATGACGTGTGCACGACAAAACGACTCGATGAAGCCCCGAGCCCCGACTGGACTGCTGCAAGTCGTGCTCCCCTTTTCTGGTATCGGTTCATCGCTGGACCGTTCCGGCCTTGTTGTGCTCGAGGCTTGTGTTGGACTGTTGCAAGCCGAGCATCCTCGTTCGTGTGATGCAGGACCATCCATGGGGTGTTGTGGTCGTTGTCATCCATCTATTGGTGTCATATGTTTGTACATTGATTGAATCCATCATGTTGGAAAATCCGTAAAATTAAATCCGTAAACTCTGAAACGCCAAACCCATTCACCTGTCTCGATCTCGGTCTCGTCGGATGGTATACCGCTGGCCCGGCTCGGCCACAATCACGACAGGTTGTCGCTCAATGTGCTGTCGTCGAGACTTCTCTTCGACGTCCTGGGGGAACAAGCTACCTTTGCCCTCATACACCAAGGACTTGGGCCTCTCTCGTCGGGGTTCGCGTTCACGTTCACTCCTGTAGCGCTCCTCCCGTCGCTCGTCGCGGTAGGTTGTTCTTTCTCTGCGGTCGTTGCGGCTCGAGTAAGGCTTGATCTCGACAAACTCGTAGTTGTCGTTGTTGATGTACCGCCTTTCACGCGGCCGTTCGTCAACGTAGTAGTCTCTCCGCCGTGAAGGTGAGATGGGCGAAGCAGGTGTGACGACCTTGATCGGTCTCTCTGTGGTTTGAAGTTCCCTGGTGTTGTCGACGACCACTCTCGTCGAGGTGGTCTTCATGCCCTTGTCGAAGGCCTTGATCAGGAGCGAGACGGCCTCGCAACCCATGGGGACTTGGACCTGGACGCGGTCGCCGTTCTGTCGGTCAATGACCGAGAAGGGCTTCCCACCCTTGGCGTACAGGTACGTGGCGACGTCCCGGGCATATGACAATCCGCGACTGCACATGGGTCGATCGTTTCTCCAGGCATCGTATGGGTTGCGGCAGTGTTCGCACTTGGCGGCATGTTTGGCAAAGTGCTCCATGACGGAGAGCTCGTCGTCGCGTGGGGCACGATAGGAGTCGACCTCCTTCGCGAACTCCACGTTGCGGACACTAGTGCCTTTCGCCATCTTTGCGACTGGGGTCGACGGCGACCTGGTGATGGGGGTGGTGGTCCTCGAGTAGCTCAATTCGGGTGTTGACGGGGGCGTTTGGATCTCGGTGACCGTCCTCTTCGGCGCGCGGGCCACGGTGATGTACTGGTAACTTGGGGTCAATGGCTCTGAAGCATCGACCCGCTTTGGGTAGTAGTAGTAGGTGACTGAACGTGGAGTCGACAGCGTGACGACTTGGTGGTGTATGCTGGTATGGTGAGCTGGCAGCCCTGTAGACTGCGACGGCGACAACTGCTGAGAGATAGTGTTCGACTACTTGAGGTTTCTGTGATCCAATGTGAATGTAGTGGTGGAAGGAAAGAAGTCAATCGAGGGGGGGGGATCGAGGAGATATAGCCTCTAGGTGGGATGGGCCAATTGCGACAAGGACACATTGGTGCAATGTTCAGCATTGGAGATGGGTTCCTTTCGACGGGACCTTTGGTTGGAAGCCTGGAGGAGGGCTAACGGCAAGAGGCATGGGGTGTGGACGCCAGGGGACCAAATCGCCAGGCTGCCACCGGGCCAATAACTCGTACAGGCATCAGGACATGACTGACGAACAGCCGACGTGACTCATGATTGGAGTGGGCCATCTGGCCATGGTGGAATGCACGTCTGCGTGCAATCACGAAGACAATAGGCCACAGGGCAGTGTTGCTTTACCACCCTGATTGTCCCGACTGCCGCGTCCCTCGAGGCCGGCGTGTCGCGCAGAATTGAGCATGGCCATGGGGCATGGGGGATAGAACAGGCACGACGAACCTTTGTTTCGGGGCCAAAAGCGTGGAACTTAGGCAGGATGATGAAAGAGGCATGTCCTACCTCACTGCGGGCAGATGTTTGATAGAGGAGGGGAGGGGCAGGAGGACGAGGAGGCAGTGTTTGTTACTGCTGCTTCGCCTCGAGGCGGCTGAGGCTGATTGGCGGATATGGGGGGGTTGTTCTCCCCCGGCCAACGCGGCCAACCACCGCTTAGACAGACTCGGGAGAGTACGAACACACCGGTCACAGAAGCGGAAGATGCAGAGCTGCAGCTATGCATGCCACCTGCATCTGCTGCAGTCATCGCGAGGAAACAAAACAGTCATACCAAGGTTCCACGCTGCAGTCCAGGCCTGGCAATCGTCACGCCCGTGGTCATCACGATAATGATTATCAAACACATCTCCTTGTCGCCTGTTCGTACCATGGTCAGCTGAAAGCTTCGGACCTGAACATACTGTGTACAGTACCTCGTACTTCCCCTCCTGTGTGCTCTGCAAGTGCCTGAGTGCGCCTTGCCAGAATGTGGCCGGCAAGCGCGTGTCGGCTCAGCACTGCCTCCACCAATGCCCCTACCGCTGCCCCCCTCTTTCCCAGCGATGGCCTCTCATTTGTCCCTGCCCGTGACCCTTCTCATCTTAGCCATCATGTCTCCTCTGCTGCTTGCCCCCTGTCCTGCTTGCAAGAGCCAGGCCCCTGTCAAATCGGAGAAGTTCTGCAAAAGTCCCCCGCTGACTACCGCGTCCTCCGCGTCTTTCCTCGGCCATGCAAGGGCCTCATGTTTCCTCTGCAGCAGTTCAGGTGATGCATGATGTCGTACTCACAACATTTGCTCCGACGGCTCTCGTCTTCCTAGTGCTCGGCCTCCACCTTGCGACGCCCCGTTGCACGGATGTGATTGTTGTTCCTACAGTTTGCAGCGTGGAACTGTCCCTTCGAGAAGTTCTAGTGCCAAGCTATCGTGTAAAGCGATCAGCCGACGTCTCTGAGGCTCTGAAGAATGCCCCGGGACGTTGCATGAGCATGTTGTGTCTGGGTTGCTGCTTCGCCTTGCTGTGCTACGAGGTACAAGTCTTTCCATCCGGAGCCTCGTCTCGGACAGCTTCTCCGGCAAGTTGGCAATGTCACCCACCTGTTGTGAATTGGCATCTTCGATCGTCGAAGCCATGAATGCTCAAGGTGGCAGTCAAGGTCGACGTAAACTTCCTCTGGCCTCGGCGGTCACTGCCCGTGCCGACCATGACCTCCAACCCTGGACTCCAGGAGACGTATACGGTGGTCATGCGCGTCCCATCTACCTGGCATGGTCGTATACATGGGGGCGATAGGGGCGATAGCGTCTTGATGATGACAAGGAACCCTCTGTAAGGACGCTGCCTGTGCAAGGGTTTACGTGGAGGATCTCTCGAGTGCACCCGGCTCACTTCACATCATTTCACAGTCGAACAGTTCGAATATACCTTGCGCGCTTTGACCAACTGTGCAGTCCTACGGTTCCTAAGGTAAGTGCAGGCTGAATAGAGTTCGGACGATATCAATTTCTGCCACACCACTGGGCCGAAGAATACCTCGAGATTTCCTATATGCTGGAGAAGACATTTTGCGAGATCATGGGAGAGGAATCATGCATTTCATGCTCTTCGTCGAGTGTGACGTTGCCAGCCTTCTCAACCATCTCATCGATGATCCAAGGTTTACATCGCTGTGGACGCTGTAGGAGGCGTTCCTACCTCCAGAAGTTATCGTCTTGGCCCGCAACATTTACGATCATTTCAAATCTCCTAGCCATACAATGACAGCCTCACACAGTTCTCAACGAGTCTTGTGGTGTGGGCGGGGGATCATTCGGGGACAATCCCTGGCAGGACTGTATTTTCTGCACGAGTTTTAGCAACCTGGACTGCGGACGACAGTCATCTTCGGCTGCGACGGGATCAGATGATTCCTGTGATATTCTTTCGAACCAGACATCACGAGAACTGGTGAAGCTGGGCCCTGCTGTTTGTACAAATCGCTGCACTCCTGCAACATGGCAGATGTTCCCGGCACACACTCCTGGCCTGCCGACGCCATCAGTTGATGCCGTCACTGCCCACTATCGGACGAGTACTTCCGGAAAGTGACGGACAATTTGGCAGTAGCCTCACATCCAGCATGCGCCTGACTACCCCCCGCGCACTCCTCGCAGACAGCCCAGCTTGTACGATGTTGCACTTGTATTCGTGTTCCTGCAGCCTTGGACTTGGCTTGCCCTTCCTCCCCGTTAACACCCTGGGCAGATGTGCTCTCGCCGTACTTTGAAACAGTCCCGTGACCATCTCTCTCAGCAGGGCGTTGCCTTCCGCGCCATTCCGCGCGTGCGCCCGGGACACAAGGTGAAGCACAAACACACCATAACCGGCGCTCAAGCAGCCAGGCGTTGTAATTGCTGCTGGCGGCGAGCATTCCTGCATGGGCCACACATCATTCCTCGCTTAAGACAACCACAATCTTTCCCTTCGTCCGCTCAGTCTTTATCTTCTCAAACGCCTTCGGGGCGTCTTGCATGGGTAACGCCTCGGCCACCACAGGCCTCACCTTCCCATCGGCCATCCACTTGCCGATCTCCTCGAACTGCCTAGAGTCATTCCCAACGCCCAAGAACTTGAACTTCCTCTTTCCCCCGCCCAGAAGTCCAGGCCACAAATACTTCGTTGCCATCTCCCAAACCGTGTGCAGTCCTATCGGAGCCCCGACTTGGACGTATGTCGCCTTGGGGTTCGTAAAGCGGTGACACTGCCAAAACAGTCTGCCATCACCGCCTACATTATCGACCACGAGATCGAACTTTCCGTTCTTCGCGGCACTTTGCGTCAGCGCCTCGATCACGTCTGTGGCAGCGTAATTGACGACTTCGTCCGCGCCTAGATTCCTGCACAATTCCGCATTCCCGGCTGAGCAACTTGTCGCAACATAGCATCCCATCGCCTTGGCAATCTGAATCCCAAATGTGCCTGTCCCGCCACTACCGCCATTGATGAAGACCCTTGCAGTATCGCTACCATCATCTTGCCGCTTCACGCGCGGCAAGTGCGGCACGATGCACTGATATGCCGTGAGGCCCGCGGTGCCCACGCACGCAGCATCTTTGGGACTGACTCCTTTAGGGAGTAAAGCCACACCGGCCCTCCTAGCGAGAGTATACTCGGCCAGCGTGCCGAACTGTGTCGGTCCGTCCAGCCGGCCGAAGACAAGCTCACTAATCCCAGTTTTTGGGCTGCTGGAGTCTCCCTGAAGTCCCTCGCCCACGGCAACGACTCTGCCTGCAAAGTCCAAGCCTGGAGACGCTGGCGTCTTGATAGCGAATCTGCCGACGAGGGGGAGTTCCGCGATCTTATAGTCGACCGGATTCAAGGACATGGCCAGGACTTGGACCAATAGCTTGTCTTTGCCTAGTGAGTGGGCGTCATGCGGTGGGAGAGGTGCCGCGGTGTTGAGGGTCAGATTCTTCTCCAGTCCGCCGTGAGTAGAGCTGAATTGCCAGGCGCGCATTGTCGACGGAATGGAGGCGGCTGAGGCTGTGGCCATTGTGCTATTGATATCCTGTCGGCGTCGACGTCGGTGTCGGTGACGGTGCTGCCTGCGTTTTGGAATAAGCCCCCGCGTTTTAGGCGGTGAGTTGGTGGGCTCCCGACCGTGAAATAGTACGGGAACAGGTAGGGATTGCACAGGAGGGAAGTCAACTTGAGCCTCCGGCTTTTCCAGAGAACTATGGGCGAAAGCCTTTTGCTTTTCGGGGATTCTCGTGCCTACGGACGTGTGTGCCGCTGTGGTCTGATCGTTGCAAGTTGCCAAGTGATCGGCTTTCTGCATCTCCTGCTCTTTGGGAAGTTTCACTGAGTCGACAGGAATGATGATGGCATTGACCAGTGACGTGCCGTCGCCTAAGTCTTAGCGTGTGGGTACACTATGGCCAATAGGAGTCTGAGATTGAGCAGAGGCCGGTAGTCACGGCGATTCATTCACTTATCCATCACTCTCCACTCACCAAGTTACTTTGTACTCTCTCGCTCGTCACTATATTTGTGATTGTAGCTTCCCTTGATAGAACGTACCACATCGCAGGCACTGAAGCTGACAATTGTACGCTGGGGAATAGGGAGGGTCGATCTGTGAGGGCCTTGCCGCACAAAAGACTTGCATCGTCATCGCAGATGCCGCCTACTGACTCGCATCTAATTACTCGTCTAGTCAGGATATCGCAACTCCACGCCATCTCCATCGGTGCAGTGAACAGGTTATTCGGCCCATCGTACTTCCCTTGGATATTCCAGCACTAATGCCGCAATTCACACTCGGTAACGTTCTACCTGTCGTACAGGGGAGGATCTTGCTGCACAATATATTTGCCAACCATCCGCTACCAGCTCTTGAAAGTCCTGACTTGACGCCCCTCCCTCACCGCATCGCTGGAAGGCGACAGCTTGGCTTGCCTTCAATCTCACCATCGAGTTGAGCAAACCAAGAAATGGGCGTGCCGGGCCGGCCCTAGTACTGCGCTGTCGACATCGTTTTTTTACAGTTCTTCACGAGATTATAGCTCCTGCATTCCGGCCTTTGTTCTTTCAATGTCGGTGCGAGCTGTTCGGTCGGAGATGCTTCACTGGCCACGCGACTCCCTTGCCCTGCAACTGCCACGCAGCAAACGCGCACTACTGACATGCAGACGGTACAGCATGACACCGTGTCCACAGTATGGCCACTCCCACGCCAGCGAATTAGTCGCTACGCACTTTGACCACGACTTTGCCCCGCGCACGTTTCGTGGCGATGCGCTCGTAGGCACTCACACCGTCCTCCATGTCGAAGACGGAGTCGACAGGGACGCGCAGGCGCCCCTCCTCGATCAGTGGTGCCAGGTACACAGCGTCGTCACGCGCTGGAGGAGTGCTAAACATGATGTAGCGTCGGGGCACACCGCCTAGCCAGGTAGGTAAGCAGGTGTTTAACAGCATGTTGCGCACCGTCACACCGATACCCTCGAGCGCGCCAACGTTGATGACAGCGCCCTCGGGCTTAAGATATGCTGGGGAGTTGACAAAGAGCGCCTGCGTGCCGACGCAGTCGAGCACAAAGTCAAACCGCTTGTTCCCGTACTGCTGCGCCAGGTAGGCCGGCAGCGGGTCGTGCTTGCGGTAATCGACGAACTGTGCGTGTCAGTCATCTTCTTATGTAATCAACCGAACAATCGGCGGCCAACCTCATCTACGCCCATGCCGCGCACCATAGCCTCGTTCCCGCCGCTGGCCACGCCAACCACCTTGGCGCCACGCAGCTTGCACAGTTGCACAAGGACCGACCCGATCGACCCGCTGGCCCCATTCACGAGCACTGTGTGGCCCTCGCGGACGGCCGCCGTGCGGATTATCTTCAGCGCTGTGCTGCCGGAGCAGATAATTCCCGAAGCCGATGCCATGCCGAGCGAGGCGTCGATACGAGCGACCTGGCTGCCGGGTAGCCGCACATACTCGGCCAGTACACCGTGGCCCAGGAGCAGAGGCAGCGGCACACTCTGGAAGGCGACAACGTGCGTGCCCAGCTCACGGATCTCGGCTGGCGCGCCCTCGCCGGCGGCCACCACCTCACCGGACAGCTCGATCTCGGGAATCCACGGGCCGGAGAAGGGCAGAATAGGCACCGTCTTCATCACCATTCCGGTAGTGAACTGTAGCGAGACGTGCGATACGCGGATCAACACGTCGGACGACAAGCGGGTCGGCACAGCGGGTGTAGGAAGGCCAGTAGCCAGCTCGAGGACGCTACGCGCTGGGCCGCGCCGCCGACGTACCCAGGCGCGCATGGTCGGCGGTATGGCCGGGGCTTGAGTCGTCGGGGCCATTGCCTCTGCTCTCCGGCAAGCGGCGAGGAGTTGGTACGGATGAAACCAGGCGTCCAGAGAACGAGATCCAGGGGGTTTAGTGTCGAGTACAGTCCAGTACTTCAGGTAAACAGCGAAAATAGCGGTCGTCAGCTATCAAAGCTGCGGGCTGAGGAGAAACGAGCAAGTCCCGGCAAAGAGGCCAACATCAGGCATCTCTCAAGCCAAACGAGAAGGACCTGGTATCATATCATTCATAGACCTACTAGTAATGCATACTGTGGCCTTCGAGGGATGGGGACATACTTAAAACTGGTTGCCTGTTGTTAGAGGCGGCAGTACTGTACGTACCGAGTACCGAGTACGGACTACTGTAATTAGATGGTATGTACGGAGTAGCTGGCCCCGCTTGCCGAGGGTCCTTGCTGGCAAGGACGGTGGAAAGTTTTAAATTTCCCGGCCGCAAGTTCTAAGCTAAGCCAAGCCAAGCCTAAAGGTCCTGGTACATACTCCGTGCCTACGGCTCATGGCAAGGATTAGCTGCAGCAAACTGTCCTTGGGGTGCAAAGGACGTTCCAGGCCTACATGCATAGTATGTACCCTTTTTAGTTGAAGCGTTTCTTACCGAAAAATTGTACCCAGTACGGAGTAATTCAACGAGAATGCGTGGGTCGCGTCAACGGATTTCCGCCGGACAAGACTCCTACCATTCATGCATGCATGTCCTACCGAAAACATACCGGACAGCCCTTGAAGGACGTGACTGCTCGGAGACAAAACAATGGAAACTGCATCGTTGAAGTTACGAGCGGTGCTTCTAATAATAGACTCGGCGGTACAGGTCTTCAAAGAGGTGGAGTGTAGGTATGTAGGCTGCCATCCATCGAACTCTCCTGTGCTGAGTAGGCCAACGGAGCGCGAAAAAGAGACAACCGGCCAGGAACTGTCTATCCATGCCAGCGAACCGGCTCAAATGCTCCTTTCACGACATTGCGGGGCCGACTGCTCTCTCTCATCCTTTGGCCACTAACCGAAGTCGGCATTCGCCATGTATCAACTCTTGGGCGGGACGCATTCACAGACCTCCCCCTCATGCTAAGCCATGGCCCCACTACTGATTCGTACTCGCAAGGAGAGCGGCACACTCGTCAATCCTCTTGTCAACCTCCGCCATCCTCAGGTACTCGTTCGTGTACTCGATTAGTTTCGGAATCTTCTGGTAGTCGCCCAGATCGATATCCTCATTGCCCGTCGACGCATTGAAGCGGAAATAGAATATCTCCTTGGCCGGTCTCCGCCTGTTGTACTGTCTTATGTTCCGATCAAAGTCACGATGTTTGGCTTCAGTATTGGTTACAAAGGCCACCGTTTTGGTGATTGTGTTGAGAAACCTCTGGATCCCCGATCCGACTCGCGTTTGTTTATTGTACTCCTTGTGGGACGTTCCCAGGCTGACGATGCATTTGATGCGTGGCAATTGTGCATCACGCGGAACCAGATCGTCTCGACTGTCCCATAGTTGGACGATGGGGTTATTGTTCAGGAGACCGCCATCCCAGAAGTTCAGACCTTGGATCGTGGCTTGCTTTAGATAAGTAGGCGCCGCAGACGTTGCTCGAGCCGCTTCTTTGATGGTGATTGTGTTGACATCGAGGTCTCTACCCCCTGTGGAAACCGGAAGGGCAGGAAAAGGGGGATCGTAGTTGCGCAGCAGGATACTCTCCCCTTTATCGGCAAGCGTTGCACACATGAACCTGGGCCACAGTCAGCCCCCGGCCGTGAAGAGCTGCTAGGATCAAACCTACATCTGACCCTGGCTCCGCTTGACAAGTACAGCATCGCCCTTCTTTGCTCGATCGTCATCGTCAAGAGGAAATGCGCCGACCACGGCATCGATTGCTCGTTCGAGTGGCCTGTGAGAATACTGAGAGTGACCAGTCAGGACCTTCACTGTAAGCCAGATATCCCCAATGAATTTCCCCAGGCCTCCCAGTTCACTGAGCTTAATCGTCCCCAACATCGGGCTGAAGACCATTTTCGCCAGGGTGTCGTACTGTGTGATCACGTCGCTGCATTTCATTTCGAGCCGGAACAGCATCAGAGCAATGAGGCCGCCTGTGCTCGTCCCGGCTGCGAGGTCGAAGTAATCAACAGGCTTTCGTTCCTCAAGATCCGTCGGTTTGCCTTCCAGCATATATGCTTCGTTCTCGATTTCGCGGACTCGGTCCATGACTTTATACAAGTCAAGTCAGCCTAAAAGCTCGCCCAGGGTACAGACAAGCTCGCAAGTATGTATTCTGGCGAGTAATAGAGGCCGAATGCATCTGTTTCAACCTGAAAGCAGGGAGACTCACTCTTCTTGAGTATGATCATCGACGAAATTCCCTTCACACCGCCACCGTCCAAAGCTAAGAGATTGTACGCCTCGGTCGACCCGGATTTTGGGCGAGGAATGTTTTGCCAGGGGTCCTCTTGAGGGGCCATATCGTCTGCGTTCAGTCGGTCAATTGGTTTTGAACTTGCGATCGTTCCGGCTAAAACGGTTCAGCTTGTATCCGGGCAATAATGCTTGGATTCTGAGAGGCTGTTCTGTCCAACTGTATAGGCCTGATTCTCGGTACAACGTGTGGATGGTGGAAGGTGCGAGTGTGTTGAAGCTGGAAAGGCTAGGGAGCCTTGCTTGTGCTCAGAAATAGATGACTGGTAGGGCGGTACTGATGCAGCAGCGGAGGGTTAGCAGTAGACAGGGGCACACCGAAGATACTGATGGACGTAAAAGAAAGGGTTATGCAGGCGCTGTGCAAAGTTGAGATGTTGCCTGCAGACAGGCCTTGATGGTTGAGGAGCGGCTTCGAGTTGTAAAGTCGCAGCTTCCAGTATCAACCTTGCAATGCTTTCCTCTTCCGCTGAAATGCTGGCAGGTGGCATACCATCGAAACCGTGAAATTTGGATGCAGTCTTGGGCCATGCAGCTCTTGGGCGTGGCCACGTAGCTAGTCATCAGCGACTGAGAAATGCTCCATCCATCCTACCCTCGAGTAGTGCTTCCACATCAACCCGTCCGCCTGCAATGTATCTTTCGCTGACTCCAAGGTTGATTCTCTTCTTCAAGAGCGTGTCAAGTTCTGACCGCCATTCAGAGACTTGATCTTTGCTGATCGTGGCATTTTCTTTTTCCTTCTTTGCCCGCCCACCACCCCGTCCCCTCTTGCCTCTTTGCCCCTGTGTCTCAAACTCTTCACTATCATACTCCACACCAAGCTCTTCGGCGGCGGTTTTCAACCATCCGTCCTTGCTCGCGGTTTTTTCTTTTGCTTGAGTAGCATCCGTGATTTTCTGGGCTAGTGCTACGCGCGGCTCAAGTTGTTGCACTAGTCTTCCATCCAGCTGAATAGTATCTGGCGGCTCGTCGGTCTTGTGTACTTCGCTGATTAATCTTCTTACACCAGCGACTTCGTCTGGCGAGCAAAGCAGAATGGATCGCCCAGAACTCTCCGCCCGAGCTGTTCTTCCAGATCGATGCACGTACATATCTGCGGTCCTGGGTACATGGTAGTGAATGATCAGCTCGATACCTTTAATGTCTATGCCTCGGGCTGCAACATCTGTGGCTACAAGCACCGTACTCTGGGCTGTGAACTTTTCGAGTGACCGCAATCGCGACTTTTGTGGCATTGTCGAGTGCAAGCCCACTGCAGGCTGCTTCAGACTTTGGAGAAACGCAGTTACCCTCTTGACGGCTGCGATACTGTTCGTAAACACTAAAGTCTTTTTGCCAGGATTCTGCATCATGATCGAGTAGAGATAGAGGTCCTTCTTCATGGCAGCGCATTCGACAATGGATTCGGAGAGCGCAGTCGCCATTTGCGAGGTGGGATTGACATCGATAAATGTGGGCTTCTCCTCCCGAAAGGAGAGTTTCCGAAGCAGGTATTCCATCGACTGTTGGTTGCTCAGAAGATTGCTATCCGACCGCTTTCCAGCCTTCTGCTTAGCGGCAAGCTTCTGCTGCAGGCCTCTGTGGAACGTGGCAGAAAACACGAGTGTTTGCCTTTCAGAGTTCGGTGGCTTCTCTGCTGCCTCCCCGTCATTGTCCTCGTCGATGAGTTGTCGGTCCAGCGCGTCGAGGATCTCCTCAACCTCTTTGAAGTGGCCTTCACTCAACAAGCGGTCTGCTTCGTCCACGACCAGGAACTTGATCTTCTTTAGCCGTTCGACCAGAGCATCCACGTCTTGATTGGTAGAAGCATCATTCATCACCTCCCAGAACCGTCCTGGTGTCGCGACCACAATGTCTGCGTCTTGGAGCTGTCGTTGTTGTTTGTAGATGGACAAGCCGCCAGTCACAGCGATGATCTTCGGGCGTCTCTCCAGACCGATGCACAGCTCGTTCAGATGTTTGTTCAATTGCAAAGCTAGCTCTCGCGTGGGTGCGAGGATGAGAGCCAAGATCGCGTCATCACCACTGCTGGTGCCTTTCGTTGGTTGATCTTCACCGGACAGCCACCTCTCGAATATCGGCAACCCAAACGCAAGGGTCTTTCCTGATCCCGTCACAGCCTTGCCAATGACATCGTGACCCTGGGTGATGGCGGGGATACTGGCTTGTTGTATTGGCGTGGGCTTGCTGAATCCTAAACGTGAGAGCTGGGAAAGGGTGACGGGCGACAGCTCGAGGTCCTGCCAAGCTGAGACATCAACCTTTGACTCCTCCGACCGCTCTAGGAGGACATCGAAATTCATATCGCCAGCAATCTCTTCCATCCTCTTGGATTTGGGCTGGGGCTTGTGCTCAAGTCCTTTCCCCGATTTCGAGTGCTTCGCTCCATCGTCAGTAGAATCCGCTGACAGAGCATCCGGCAAAGGTGCTGGGTTTTCTCCCTTATTGTCGTCGTCAAACCCCGACCATTCTCCAGTGCCTTCGAAGTCGCTACTGGAATTATCCACGGCGGCCGCCGAGATCGGCCTGAACATGACATGGTTGTTGCTCTCATCTCGGACCACTTCGACATCGTCAATCTCCTCCAAGCCGTAGAAACCTTCTGCGTCCTCCAGCCTCTTCGGCAGAGCCACCGTCTTCCATTTCAACGCGTCGCCACGGATAGATGGGCCTTTATACGCTTGAGCCTTGCTTTGGACGGACACTTTTTGTCTTTTGCGGGGCTTTTGAGGCGCCGGAGGCCCTTTCCTCTTCTCTGACTTCGACATTGAGGTTGTTACTGATGCGACTAAGCACCGAAGCCACGATGCACGGGTTGTTGGAGTCGGTGGAAAAACTTTGGTCGGGTAAATTTTGGCGGTCTGACAGCGGAGAAGATTTTATGGAGATTGCTTCCGGTGCTTCTCCGTAGCGAGCGTCACTAATATGAAAGTCCGGATGACTCCGGCGCTGCCCTCGAACAGATCAAATTCACCTGTCAGACCGGGATGGCATATTTTGCCCGGTTGTCTTGGCATGAGCGATATCTGCAACTTGGTTTTCTCAGGACTCGACTCTGGCGCGGTACAACTGATCTCAAGTATTGACATCCTTTGATCTCATCTGTATTGCCAGGGTGAGCCATCACCAAGATGTCCTACGACACCTGGCAAAGCCCCCTCGTGGGCCGGTACGCCAGTAGAGAAATGCTCACTCTGTTCTCACCACGCACGCGGGCTTCAACGTGGCGTCAATTGTGGATTTGGCTAGCAGAGGCTGAAAAGGAACTGGGTCTAGATGTCACGGAAGAAGCAATCACGCAGATGAAGGCCGCCAAGGTCATGACGGACGATGACTTCCAGGTCGCTGCTGTGGAGGAAAAGCGACGACGACACGACGTGATGGCCCACGTGCATGCATTCGGTGAACGGGCCCCAGCTGCTGCAGGGAAGATACACTTGGGAGCTACATCTTGCTACGTGACGGACAATGCGGACTTGATCTTCCTCAGAGACGGGCTTTCCATTCTGCTGCCAAAGGTCGCCAAGTGCATCAAGAGACTCTCGGACTTCTCGGTCGAGTACAAAGACTTGCCATGTCTAGGCTTCACCCACGGGCAGCCCGCGCAGCCCATCACGGTCGGCCGGCGGGCTACGCAGTGGGTGGAATCTTTGCTCATGGACCTGAGAAACCTCGAACGCGCTCGAGGAGACCTCGTCTTCAGAGGCGTCAAGGGTACCACGGGAACACAAGCGTCCTTCCTGGAGTTATTCCACGGTGACCACACCAAGGTCAAGGAGCTCGACAAATTGGTGACGAAGAAGGCTGGGTTTGACAAACGCTCCATCGTCTCAGTCCAGACTTACAACCGGAAAATCGACTTCGACGTGGCCAATGTTCTTGCCTCATTCGGCACGACATGCGAACACATCGGAACCGACCTTCGCCATCTGGCAATGCTGAAGGAGGTGGAAGAGCCGTTTGAGAAGGACCAAATCGGTTCGTCTGCCATGGCGTACAAGCGCAATCCTATGAGATCCGAGCGAATGTGTTCCTTAGCCCGCAAGCTGGTGACGTTGGCCCCGGGTTTCGGAGCCACATACGCCCACCAATGGTTTGAGCGATCTCTGGACGATTCAGCAATCCGACGGATCGATATACCAGAAATGTTTTTGATAGCAGACGCACTGTGCATCCTCCTCGACAACGTATCTTCTGGCCTCGTGGTATACCCTCAGGTCATCACTTCCCGCCTTCTCCAAGAGCTTCCATTCATGGCCACCGAGACGATCATCATGCGAATGGTTGAGAAGGGGGCCAGCCGACAAGAGACACACGAGCAAATCCGGGTGCTTTCGCACCTAGCAGGCGCGGTCGTCAAAGGCGAGGGCAAGGCCAACGACCTGGTTGAGCGCATCAAGCAAGAGAAGTTTTTCGAGCCGATATGGAGCGAATTGACACCCGGGGACCTCCTGAACCCGTCGAAGTTTGTCGGTCGCGCACCTGAACAGGTGGACGAATTCGTCGAAGAGGCCGTGGAACCTGCGCTTGGACCGTACAAGGAGCAGATCCTGGCCAGTGGCGTTGCCGAGATCAACGTTTAGTTGTTGAAACTCAAGAGGGCGCCGCTCGCTCAATGCGTGTCGTCGACCTCTTGTCCTAAGAGAGGGCATCGTGAAAGATTCCAACATAGAGGCGCAACGGTAGAAACCCGCAGTCAGTCGTCATACCCTGCAACGGGCAGCGGTAGTCAGAATCCCAGCAGTCATTCCATCAAGTCATATCCTGAATCTGTTTCCATAGGTTCCGGTGTTTTTCCATCATCTGGTCATGGGTGACCTCGTTGTTCGTGCCGGCGTTCTCTTGAGTTTCAACATATCCACTTTGGCTGTCGGCTTTTCCCAAGTCCAACAGAAACTCCTCGAGACTCTCTTTCAGTCGATCACACTCGTCAATCTCCCTCTGCCCATCCTCGAGTATCCCTATGAGCATGTCCTTGACACTCTCCCGAGCTTGATGAGGTCTGTAAATGTTGATCACAACATGTATATTCAGAACCAGCTGTCTGATGTCCGCTATCTTGTCCTCGTGCTTGGTGGGATCCAGAGACAAGATGCTTGTCAGTTCGAGGAAATTCAAAAGAAGCGACTTTGTGAGCTTGCTCAAAAGGACGGCATGGTTGAGGTTGGGTTCATCTGGGTCGAAGAGCAGTTGGTCTGTAGGCAAGGATGAGGGCTTGGTTGGGTCAATGACTTGCTTTTGGCCGAAGGTTGTATAGAACTCTGCGGTGGCTGGAGGTGGAGGTGGAGGACGGAGGTAGGCCAGATGTAAGGGCAGTTTCTGCGGCGTCTGGCCTTCAGGTGCAGACTCCTCGAGCTGTCTCAGTTCTTGTTCGTTTGCGAGCGTGAAATGTCGCCAGAATGGCAGTGGCGCCGGATAGGCCGCCTCTGGGATCTGCTGCGGATGTTCTGGTTCTGCCATGGTGATGCTCAAATTGGCGCGGTGACATAAGATGCGAAAGATCGAGGGACGCGCGAAGTTGGTGTTGTCGCAGGCTGACCAATCAGAACAACCAATTTGCGGGATTCGACTCTGCTCCTGTTTCTCGTTCTCTTCATTGTCTCCTCTCCGCTTTCACCTCACCTCAGATCGCATCTATCATATATCAGCGTTTACGTGGCTTTAGGGGTTGCTAAATCGGCGACAAAGTCCCCGGGACACGCGATGAGGCAGGCGAACGTTGACGGGTCCGGGGTGGTCCCCGCCCTTCAGCGGTTCTGGCAGCGGTCGTATGCCGCTGAATATATTGGAATCATACTGCTTCTCCTTGCAAATGTTTGGGTACGTGCGATACTATTTCGGAATGGGCTTTGATGTTGACGCTATCTACAGGCAGAGTTCTTTCTTGAGCCGGTCCACCAGATGTTCCGTCTGGATGATCGCGCGAGACAGTATCCACACGCCCTCGTCCAACGTGTATCGTCCTTGGAAAATGTCTTACTTGCTGGAGTCGGCCCTCTGGTTTTGTTGATCGTCTGGGCCGTTGTCTTCAGGCCAGGCGTACATAAGGCGCATGTTACGATTCTTGGACTTTTCATCAGCTTGTTCCTCACTGTTGTTTTGACCGACATTATCAAAAATGCCATTGGCCGCCCTCGGCCAGATCTGATAGCACGGTGTAAACCCGAGCGAGGGACACCCGAGCACGATCTGATCACCATTGACGTCTGTACTGAGACAGATCAGCACACGTTGCACGACGGATGGCGCAGTTTCCCGAGCGGTCATAGCAGTTGGGCCTTTTCTGGACTCGGATATCTGAGTCTGTTCCTGGCCGGCCAGTTGCATGTCTTTCGATCTCACGCAGATCTAGTTCGGGTGCTGATCTTTCTTGCCCCCCTTGTTGGTGCTTCATTGGTGGCAATGTCACGATTGGCCGACTACAGGCACGATATCTACGACGTCACGTGTGGAAGCCTCCTGGGCATGGCGGTCGCATATACTGCCTATCGACGATATTATCGGCCACTGAGGCATCTCAAATGCGACTCTCCATATCCTAGTCGGGCAGACTATGCTTTGAAGGAGGCATCCAAAACCAGATCCAGGGATTTGGAGGAAGCTGCTGAACAGTTCGAACTGAGTCTGAGCGATGTGTCCGACGATGAGCCTCACTCGTATCTTTTGACAGGATCGGGTCAAGCGGACTCGAGGCAACATGCTGGCGCTGCAGAGCCGCCATAGTATGGTGCTTGTGCAGAAGAATACTATCTTTCGCAGCTATTATCGCCATGGTCTTAGCAATCCAGAAAGTGTCGTGGTCTCATGTCCCCGCCCTCCGTTATGAATGTCGGTGATCGGTCGATCTTTCACGCGGTGAATCCCAGACCCCGAACGGCCTTGCACCTGTTGTGTGGCATTTTCCAAGCATCTCATGTCCACCACCCATCAGCATCTATCTTCATGCCCACCACCCCTTTGCGCATATCCTCTTGCCATGGCATCGCGTTTTGACAGCAAGTCACATGACACTGCACGGACAAATGAAGCAGTCACAAGAATAGTCCCCGCAGTCGCATGGAATGCATGGCTTGGTCGGACCCTTGACACCCTTGGTGATGCTCGAGGTCGACGAGGTAGAAGGAGGCATTTTGAAAGCTGGACGAGGCTGAGCTGCTATGGAGAGTATGTCAGTTCTGACGAACAGTGAAGCCTCGAATACTGGCCTCGGCTACGCACCTTGCAGGACGTTTGGGCGAACTGAGTCAGAATGACCGTGTATCTGCTGGTTTTGGAAGAGGATTGTATGAAAGGTGAAAACTAGCGTGGTTATCAATCGCAGGGCAAGTTGGATAGTCGCCGTGAGAGCCTCAATTGAAGTTGAAATGAACGTGACGTCTTCCAGCTTCTTATGGGGCGCATTAGGGGCGGTACCCCACTGATCAGGTCAGTTTTAGGCATGAAACACGCAAACTGGGCGGCGCTGAACCACGGCGCGTTGCCCGGAAGTGAGGCTTGCCTCCTGCCGATTGGCTGGCAAATTAACGAAACACAATGCCTGGCCTGGTGGGTGCCTGGGCCGAAGCAAATCCTGTTTCGTCTCTAAGTTATGGTTGGAGGTTGTGCGTTGCGTGCTTCTGTCCTGCACCGCCTCTCTGCGTGTGTACTCAATATTCGTACGGAGGAGGACTTTCTATCTTCAGAGACAGTCCAGTGTGATCTGAGTTGATCTCTGCGTGTACACGAAATGTCACGTCTGATCTCTTGCAGGTTGGTGCGCCCTTGCGGATAGGCTCGAGCAACACCACTTGACGTTGCCATGGGAAGCAAATGTCAAACTCACGGCTCACCTATTATCTCTTCGCGAGCCACCTTCGTGAGGCAGACCATCAATGCCAACTACCTCGCGTTCGCAATGCACTTGATACTGAACTGCTGCTTCGTATTTGTGATCTTCTTCCGAACTACATCTTGTCTCTCAATTGCACCTGCGACAGTCTCCGTCCTGGGTACAACTGGTGGTTCGCCAGCAGCTACAACCTGGAATGGACCGTTGATGCCTTCGAACCGCAACTACGGCCTTTTCGACCGCCCGATACCACCACCAATATTCCCTGGAAATGGGTTACAGCCCATTGCCAGGTGAGGGCATCGTGAAGTCCTAGTGGGGGACTTTGATCGGGACGGATAAGCCACCTTGCAATGATTCTCCCTCTACCAACGAAAATCTGTGGGCTGTCTCCTGCGAATAAACACTACTTCCGAGTTGTTTAAGCAGCCTCGTCAACTTCCTTCAGCCCCATTCCGCGCCAAGGGACAGTAGGCGGATGTGAGGCTGGGAGATTTTCACATGCTTCTCGAAGATTTGAAAACCTCCGGAGTTATCCACCAATGACATCGTCAGCGGGTCAAGCAGGCACAGTGGACCATGAACGAGTACCTGCATGATGACGCCCCCGGCTGTGAAGGACTCTGTTTTACAGAGCCACGGCATTCTTGAGAACTTCAGTCCTTCTCACTATCCATAACTTATTATTCTGTATGCGGACGCGGTCAACATGGCCTTTAGCCCGGTCTTCTGGTTCTATACCCTCATTCAGTGGATCCTCAACAAGATATTCTCTCCCAATCCACCGCCTCCCAATGCGCACTTGCGCCGGCCTAAAATCGCTATCATCGGTGCTGGGCTTACGGGAGTAGCGGCAGCAGCCCACTGTGTCGGTCACGGGTTCGAGGTGACATTGTTCGAAGCCGGGGACGAAAAGCATGTTGGCGGCATCTGGACGGATGTCAACACTACTTCCGGTCTACAGATCCACAGTGTCATGTACCGATTTCACCCTTCCGTGCAATGGAAAGGAGGATACCCCAAGCAGCACCAGATTGTCGACCAGGTGCGGCAACTCTGGCATCGCTACCAACTCGACGAGAGAACGCACTTCAATACAAAGGTCGAGAAAATCTACAAAGACAAGCTCGGGCGCTGGATCATCAACAATCCCTCCAATGGCAGATTCGACGGGATCATCCCTGCTATTGGAACCTGCGGACCACCGAAAATGGCACATCTGCCGGGCCAGGAGACATTCAAAGGCGACATTTTCCATTCCTCTGCCTTGGATGGTAAGGAAGCCAAGGACAAGAGGATTCTTATCGTCGGAGGCGGTGCAAGCGCTGTTGAAGCACTGGAGTGGGCTGTCAACACTGGTGCCGCAGAAATAAAGGTTCTTGCAAGGTCTGACAAGTGGATCATTCCTAGGAACGCTTTTGTGGATGGACTACTCGCCTTCAATATCTTCGGCCAAGAGACCCTCTTGTCTTGGATCCCTGAGAACCTGCTGCGTCTCTTCTTCTACCGCGATCTGAGAGATATTGCGCCTGCGGACCAAGGGCTTTTCACTGAGACACCAATGGTCAATTCGGAGATATTCCACCAGATCCGTGCAGGCAAGGCAGCCTGGCTGCGTGGTGACATCGAGGAGGTGCGTGAGAATGGTATCTTCTTCAACCATCGAGCCAAGGGCGTGCCCAAAGGTGGACCTGGGCGACATAAGCTTGTCGAAGGTGATATGATCATCATGGCAACCGGCTACAAGCGGCCCAGCCTCGACTTCCTGCCCGACAACTGTTTTGAGGAGGGCTACCAGCCGCCGAGATGGTTCATCCAATGTTTTCCTCCTGCCGAGCCATCGATATGTGCGATCAACTCGACCTATGTCTCGGCGGTCGGGTAAGTGACTTCTAGATCTCCTGCCGGGGAACTAACTGACCCTCTCGGTGCGATAGGACTGTTGGCAACTACCACATCGGCATCTATACTCGGATGCTGCTGATGTTCCTCGTCGACCCGCTTACTACACCGCGCACCTGGTGGATGAAAAGATGGGTAGATGTAAGTTCTGTCCGCTGCCATTATTTCCCTGCTCCCCTATCACCTCGATGCATGTCCTAATAGCTCTATAGTTTACCAGCGCGATCAAGTCGTTGGCTCCGACCAAGGCATTCGACTTCTTCACCTATTCGGAGCTGCTTTACTGGTTCTGCTTCATCACGTTGATCAATCCTTTCAGGTGGAAATGGGCACTGTTTGTGTTCTTCGGCATCGGAAAGAACCTGCCAGCGAGCATCGTGGAGCAGGAAGACAGGCTGAGGAATGGGTTAGGATACACCAAGGCCGATTACCACGACTAGAGGGGACAAGTTCTGAAGTCCTGATGTGGAGAATCTTCAGGCGGCTGCAGAGTCGTCATCCGCGATAATTCGTGTACATAGAAGCTCAGAAAGCGAGCTGGAAATAGTCCCCCACGTGCACGGAATCTCTCTCTTCTCGCACAAAATGACATCATCGGGCGGACGCGGGTTCTAAATTTCCGAGTCTGTCGTCAGTCTATGCTGAAGGCGCTGCAAGGAACCGTAATGGAGGGACACGCTTTGCGGGCTGTCGACTTGGTCGAGGCGCGGCTTCCTCCAGGAGCCTTTTGACTTGCCGAACGGAAGATCGAGATTCCTCTTACACCGTCCAGAGTATCACCTCCATCACTACCACGCCACGACGAGATATCTTAAGCAGAGGATAGATCTCGGTACGGCTCAGCTGTTAGGGATCCAATATGGAGAATCCTGGTATGCCCAACGTGCCTCCCACTATCCTCCTGGAGGCCACGAAACTCTGACCCCTCGTCACAGTGGCGGAGATACCGCGAGTCATCAACTTGCTTTGCACAGCTCCGCCCGATGTCCAACGAGCAGCAATCGAGACGTACTTCACATCGACTGCCTCTTTTACCCACCCTTTCTGTCGGACAGGCAGCTTTCCTGGATCGATATGGTTCATTGTAATGATATATCGGTGGTATAAGATTCTCAGTCCACATATTGATGTTGCGGTCGATGGAGTCGGTATGTCAATGGCGTCACAAGCTGAGGGACAGAAATCATTGACCCGGACAATAGCATTCGATGAGCAGCACCTGCGCCTCTATGTCTCCCTGCATCAGAACTTCAAGCTATGGGTAGTCCCTTTCTACAATGCGCCGGTCAAATTGGTTACCGTCCTCCAGCTGACCACGGATCGTAATCCGACATCTATCGAGCGCAGACAGTCCCTAGAGCCTTTGACTCTGACCGACGTTGGTACAGGGCAGACCCCGAACGCAAGCAATAACATAAGCTTCCACGCCGACGCCGGAAACGACGAGCGCACCAAGCGACAGGGTGACGACGAGAAGATTCACTACTGGATTCAGTCACAGAACGATCTCTACCAGACCACTGAATGGATCAAATTCCTAATCCCTTGGGGTGTGGGAGTCCTCCTACTCGTCATATGGCAGTTCTACAACACGCTGCTTTGCGTGGCTGGCACCCAAATATACGATACATTGGTCTGGATTCCGAGAAAGCTCTACCGGCAACATTTCGAAGTGTTCGACAACGACACCAAAAAGCATCCACACCTTGGCGCTGATTGAATGGATCAGCCTAACCACAGTTTGGAGCCGCTTGTCTCTCCGAGAAGAATATCATTTGGCGGTATCATCAGGCGATACTGCCCAGAGAAAAGGCCCGATACACCATGATATAAGGTCCACGACCTTGGAGGAGGTCAGGAGTTCACCTCGCTAGTTGCGAATGTCACCATCCCGGAAGTAAAGTGGCACATTTTGGATGACGCCAATGAATGGCGATCAGCAACCACTTTGAAAACTTACTTAGCTTCGACTGCAAATATGCCTATGAAGCCCAGGACAAGCCTGGCACGACTGTGAGAAGGGTGCGAAATTTGAAAGGTCCTCCAGACGGAGCTCGTTTGCCGTCAAACTGCAGATGGTGAGGTTGCCTACCTAGGTGGGTGTTGATTCTGGCCATTCTACCAAGTACAGGAACACCAGGAACTGTCGTCTGTGCCACACCGGGTGGCATTCGATTAACGGATACGACTTGGACTCGGACGAATTCGGCGACAACTTCCGACAGGGGTACAGGGTGTTGGCATTTCCGCAGAGGGTGATATTCTTGTGACGACCTCGATAATGACGCCCACAAACACAGAAACACGCACAAGACACAACAGGCCCTACCCTCGTCCGATGTATCATGACGGATCAAAAGAACCCGTCGTCCTTCACCATTAGTATCATTTAAACGTCAAACGAGTTGTTCTGGAGTTGAAATCTCGCATATTCCTACTGGGTAGGAGAACAGAGACTGATCCTTCAATCTGCTGTTTCAGATTTCAAGCTGCAACATGTGTGCATGTACTGAAAAAGGGTATTCCATCCATTTCCACAGTGGGCGCGAAAGTCGCGTGCGTTGGCACCCACTCATGCCTCGGTGCAGCACACTGAAAGCGACTTCTACGGTGATGTGAGGGCACGGGCTCGTCGCCTCGAATTACAGCGAAACTGCTGCGCGTCGCGAACCTCGGCGTGCTTTTGGTTGTCCCTTCCCTGTCTGGACAAAGCGTTCGTACATCTCGAGATGCAGCTGTCGACGGCTCCAACGTCTGCTCTTCTTAGCGGGTACGCGCGCGCATTTCTCTGTGCGTGCTACAGGCGCGAGTGAAATTCGTCAGGGCAACTCGCTTTGTGAAAAGATCCCCAGTGTGGATGGCGAAGGTTAGAGCCTTCGATCCCGCTCATCAGCCACGTCGTATAATGAACACATTTGGCACAAACAGTCCTCTGCCTGAATGACCTACTGACTACGAAGTGCCCCTGTCAGTGTCAGTTTCAATTGCATTGCGGCTCCAAATCCAATTCCAGATCGCATACGAGATCCGAGGCTCTAACTGGCGGCAGGTTTTCGAGCCAACAGCCTGATGTCCTCGGGGCGAAAATAGATGTTTGCCGAAGATAAGGTAAAGGCGAGAGACGGCGATAATGTCCAACCACAGTAGAGTACTGTCAGGGAGGGCCTAGGCTTTATGCGGGGAGCCGAGGCGAGGATACGACTCAAGTGCACGATACGTAGCAAGTCAGGGAGCGACATGGCGAGCATGGGCATGCACACATGGTGGGCTATGCCCGTGATGCGGGGAGAGCATGAGGCTCGGGGCTTTGCCGGTAACGATAGTTGAACACATACCGACGTACGGCCACTGACACTGACATGGAGACTCAGGCCCAGACCCAGACTTAGACTCAGACCCAGTGAGCACATGTACCGTATCTATTGACCATACCGGTCGGTGGAAAATCCTGATTCACTTCCCTGCAAGACATCTCGTGTAGAGCCCTCATCGCAATTAGAAGGCTCATCTTGTCAGTGGACAGTAAGTGAGCCATATTCAGGATCAATTACTACGTCGACTACCGTCCCCAGATCCACTCTCTCACCACTACGCATCCATTGTCTCTAAATAGTACTGTGTACTGTGTCCGTGTTTGGCCAGGCGGGACCATTAATCCAACGACACCTGGAATCATATTTAAACCGACATAGACCTGCCCTCTCCCGGCCGCTGCTTCATACCGCACCACTTTCTCAGCACCAAGCTCTGGAGGTTACACCGGCGCGATGTCATCAGGACGCTTCCCACCCAGCTACGGCATGGAGTTCACCAGCACACTGCACCAAAAGGCCGAAGGACCGACACTGCCCGAAAACAACCCCTCGCCAGGCTACATCGTGGTTGTGACGGGCGCGGGCAAGGGGCTCGGCGTGTACATTTCCCTGGCGTACGCGCGCGCGGGGGTCACGGGGATCTGCATCTCGAGCCGGACCCAAAGCGACCTGGACTCACTGGAGAAGCAGCTCAAGGAAGTGGACCCCAAGCTCGAGATCCTCTCGTCGATCTGCGACACGACCAAGCCCGAGGCCGTCAAGCACCTCGCGGAGCAGGTGCAACAAAAGTGGGGCGGCCGACTGGACGTCGTGGTGGCCAACGCGGGCGTCATCTCAAAGTACGTGTACGACGTGGACCCAACGACCGGCGACAAGTCGAACCGCCGCCTACCCAAGGGGATCGTCGAGGATGACGACTTCGCGCGCGTCATCGACATCAACTTGCTGGGGTCGTACTACGTGGCCAAATACTTCACGCCGATGCTCGTCGCGCCGCAGAACCCGAGCACCGTGCGCAGCTATGTTGTCATGAGCAGTCTGGCGAGCCAGCTGACGCAGAGCAGCTTTGTGCCCACGGCGTACAATGTCGCGAAACTGGCGAACAATCGCATGGTCGAACACATGGCCGAGGACCACAAGGAGCAGGGCCTGCTGGCGTTCGCGGTCCATCCTGGGGCGGTGTTGACTCCGCAGACTGAGAACCACTCCACGCAGAAGGGCGACGCGTGGGATACGCTTATGAGTGAAGATATCGGGTTGTGTGGTGGGTGGTTGACGTGGCTGACGCGCGAGAGGAGAGACTGGTTGAGTGGGCGGTACCTCTCTGTCACGTGGGATGTGGATGAGTTGGAGGCAAAAAGGGACGAGATCGTCAAGGAGGACAAGTTGAAGTTCAAGATGACGGTGTAGGAGTGTCTTGAGGGACTGCATCGATGGCGGCCGATGTAGGCCACTGCGCATAGAGGTACGATTAGCGAACCTCAAACCGGGACCAATATTGAAACCGTTAGCAGGTTGTCTGGCTATAGTATCGGGACGACGTGGTCTCATCGAGGGTCTGCATATGCTGTCTTTGTCGATGTATATTTGTACGCAGAATCGTTCCCATCTGCTGTTCATTGGCGCAATGCAAACGTATTCGACGCTGCCGAATGGCACAGCGAGCAAGTCAAGGGAGCATCGAGAATGCGGATCGACAGGATGTAGAGCATTCGAATTGTGGCTTCAGCCGGCATGGGTCTCTCCTCGGGTTTCACGACCATTGCGCGGATCTTGTTAGTGAGCTGCTCAACATGAAGGAGAGGATGCACTTGTAACTGCGAGCATTGTGAGCATTGATTTTGATAGGTTAACCTGGACTGGGGGTTATACAGCCGACAGAACGAATATAATTGACAATACCAACGGCCAAGGCTGACTGAGCGGATACAGACGCTATTACGGCTGCAACAGTCTGAACTAACCCAAATCGCCAACACATTGTCGTGTCGCGCCGGAACGGTAGATCCAACTATCTGTATTTGTCCATGAATTTCTCGTGGAACTTCGTCCATCTCCCAACCCAGTCGGTGCCAGGTGCCAGGAAAGTTGTTCGCAGATGTAGTGTGCCTGGCTTTTGGCCGAAGCCTGAGCCGGGCACGACACAAATGCCTGTCTCGTCGAGCAGACGGAGGCAGTAGAACTCATCGGGCGAGCGCTCTGCTTCTTTGGCCGCCTCGACTGCTTTTGGAGGGACAGTGATGGTTGGGAAGAGATACATTGAGCCCTGCGTGGCTTTTGTTAGCACGTGGTTTTCGGTGCCCTGGACATGAAATGTAAAGCGACAAATGCTTACCTGTGGCTCTCCCACCTCGACGCCTTCCATTTGCTTGAATGCCTCATACAGGGCAGTCGCCCGCTCTTTCAGTCCATTCTTGACTGCGTTGTATTCCTGGTCGTAGAGTTCAAAGCTGGGGTCGCCGGGTTTTGGCGGGTTCACCACCATCTCTAGGAGACACTGGCCGATGACGGGCGGGCATAACATGATACTGATGAACTTGTATATCTGTGCCTGCACTTCGGGGTCAAAGCCGACCAGTTCAAAGTAGCCTGCCCGGTGACCGCATTCGCCCACCATGCCCTTGGATACCGAGTTGAGCGAGGCCAGCTCGACGTTGTCGTACTTGCCTGGCTCCTTTTGCTGCAACTTCCGCAACACGCCCTTGAAGGAGTGGAACTCGCCGACGAAGACGTTTGTTTGGTAGACTTCATCAGCCATGATGACAAGCTTCTTCTCTGCAGCGAACTTGATCATGCCTTCCACGTCCTTCTCGGATAGCGAAGCGCCGGTCGGGTTGCCAGGGTTGATGATGACAATCGCGCGGACATCAGTCCCTTCACTGTCTGCCTTGTCGTATGCTTCTACGATGGTGGCGAGTTCCGTGCCCCAAGCTTGAGACTCGTCGAGGTAGTACGGGACACATCGCGCATTGAGGACAGTCAGAGTCGCCGTATAGAGAGGATACTGTGGTATAGGGACGAGTACTCCCGTCTCTGGTTTGGAACAGATAATGTGCAGAAGAGTGTTGACGCCTGACGAGGCACCCGCAGATAGGTAAATATGGTCCTTGTGCGACGGAAAGCCGTCCCGTCGCTCGATGAAGTTGGCCACGGACTGCCGTATGCCTGGAGCGCCAGCAGACTGTGAGTATGCTCCTACTGACTGCACCTCTTTCAGCAGCCAGCGCGCACGGTCGACCGCATCTTGGTTGTACCCAAGACTCGACTTCAAGACGTCCTCATTTTGTAGCAGCGCGGGATACTCCAGTAGGGCAAGCACCTGGCGGAAGAATGTGATGGGCTTCTGGTCGAGTTGCTGTGGGTTGCCGATGTTGGCAGAGATGACGGTGTCGAAGGGCAGAGGCTTTTCTGGGGGAGTAGGAGGGTCCCCTTTCTTCAGCTGTGCGCGCAACTCCTCTGACTTGATTGCAAGCTCGCCACGAACGGCGTACTTTGCTTCCTTCACATGAGGATTGATATTGTCAATATTGAGGCTGCGTAGCCGGGGCGTCGACGACATGTTGCGGCGGCGGGAAGAATGAATGTGAGACGCAGGAGGAAGAGGAGAAGCTACGTAGTCGACATGTTAGCTTCTTGTGGTCTCGTGATGCCCTGATATGAAACCCGAATGCGCAGAAGCAAATTTGCTGGTCGAGTCATAAGTGGTTTGCGACGGTTCCGACTGCGGAGATCGCGACTCGCTCTTCTTACCTTGTAATGGGTTTCGGCGCGATAGATGGCGTGAATTGCGGGTAGCGTTCGCTGACCGCAGTGCTCTACAGGCAATGGCAAGTTCACTGGACAGATCCTCGGCTCGAAGGAATACAGATATTGTCTTGGGCATTGATGATGTTCGCGTGGCCATCTTGGTGGAGGGATTGAGGATGTCCACAGTCAGAGTCGTCAGTGGGGCGGTTCGACGGTGGGTTGCGCTGAGTAGTTGGAACTGCTCCGTACAAGCACACGAATGAGAGTCTTATCGTCAGGCTAGAGCCGAGTCCTCGTAATGGGGATCATGATGTATGGGTGACGGGAACCACAAACAGCCAGATCAACCACATACCGCGTAATCGTCATGGCCAGAGCTTCCTCGTCTATCTTATCACCAGATGTGGGGGAGACGAAGTCGTTGCTGCAGGGGTGCGAAGCCGAGAGTCAATCATTGGAGCAACCCGTTTTGACCACGGATTAGTTAATGCAGCCTCGCTCCCACATGTCCCGTTCCTAGGAAGACATAGAGGACATCTGTGCCTAAGAGTATCTATGGTACCAGCGCAGTCGGCGCAGTCTCGTGCTCACATCGCCAGAACACCTTGCCGCCGTAGGCTTCATTTGCCAGCTTGCCATGCAGGAATTAAACCCAGGAAATTGTATTCAAGCTCGCTCGCTTCCTCTCAGCCTCACTGCCTGGCCGTACTTCTGCAGCTTCGTAATCAGGGCGTCGCCTTGTTTCACCACGTCCGCATATTGTTTGTTCTTGTCGTCAGGACGTGTTGTCTCGATGGTCCCTTGAACTCGGTCAATCGTACAACTGACCCGACCACCAGCAATGAACTTGGCCAGATCTCGGTCCAAGAAGTCAACGCTGACACCAAACGCCTGTGCCATCGTCGCCAGTCCGACCACTCGGTAGGACTGCAACAGTTGCTGATAGCCTCGCAGTCTCATCTCGCGGACGAACCATGCTCGATGCTCGTACAAGTAGCGGTCTTGCGTCAAGAAGTTCTCCTCAACGGCGGCCAAGGCCAGGAAGAACTTCCGATAGTTGCCGGTATAGAGACTGTTCACCAGTTGACCCAGAGACGAGACATCCACTGGGGCCTCGGTCTGCGACTCTACGGCACCACCCGTTCCAAGGGCGTTCACATTGACCAACCCGCTGGCACGTTCTGCGGTCGAAGCAGACACATCCTTCATCTCTTCATCTCCGCCTTCTGCTTTGTCTTCGGTGTCCCCGAGAATGGCTTTAATTTCCGGAGCATCGACGACTTTGGCCTTGAAGTCAACTCGATTCAGCGAAAGTGAGCCCGCCAGCACGGCATAGACAACCAGCGAGGAGTAACTGCATAGTTCGTAGCTGGTGAAAGTGGAGAGACTGTCGAGGAGCAGTGGTGCAGCAAGGTTGTAGGATCGGACGGTGAGGAGATGCAGGCCCTTGTAGGCTTTCAACCGATTTCTTCGATCCCAGTCTCCACCACTCTCTACCAGGATGCTTGCGCGTTCTATCTGCCTCTTCGCGAATGCCTTGTCGTTGAAGAAGATGCCAATTCGGATGATGGCGAGGACAATGTCAATCTTCGTCCCTAACGGGCCGGTCTTGTCGAAGACTTTCTCGTAGGCGGCGATAGCTTTGTCCTGCGACATGTTAGATCGATGCTCTTGCCGGGTGGCTTTCTGGTTGCCTACCTTGTCACCCACCCGAGCCCAGAATTCCGCACGCTTGCTTCGGGCCGCTTGGATCTCTGTTTCTCCCGCCTCCTTCTCGGCCTCCTCCTCCTTCTGGAATTGCTCCAGCTCTTTCTCATTATCCGCCTTCAGCTCTTTATAGAGTGACTCGTCCCATGGCAGGATGCCAGAAGGTACAGGTTTCTTGGGCGGTAATAGATTGCTTGACACTAGAGAGGCTCGTCGAGCAGGAGGTTTTGACGGTTGTTGCGGCGGTTGAGCTGTACTTTCGCCTACAGCGTTCAGCACACCTTCGGTGGGGTGCGCCAGGTGCCGATATAGCGGCGCCATCTTATGGTCCTTGATCGCATTTTGAAGATAGGTCAGCGACGTCGGCTGAAGCGCCTGAGGTGCATTGGCGAGGGTGAAGATATGTTGAGCGAGGGTTAGGTCGGGGTATTTGGCGAACTGAGGATCTGAGCCCATGGCTGAAGCTTGAAGGTCTAGGAGAGGAAAGATTCCAAGAAGGGCGCGCGAACAGAGACTGGGACAACTCAAAGGTGACCGATGTACGGAGTAGCGAATATCAAAACCTCAACTTTGGAGACGCCGCATCGGAGACGCGCCAGTTGCCAGCCTAGTGCGCACGAGGACAAATGGTCTGCCGCGTTCACTACGGTGGTTCGCAAAATGCTCTGAAGCTCTTTCCAGTCAACGAATGAGACTCTCAAATTCAATGCAGATTCGAAACTCCAGAGCTGCAGTAATCAAGTGTCCCATTGTTACTCCGTGCTTTGTAATTTCTTTTTCTTCAATCTCTACCCAGTCCTCTATTTGCGTACTGAAGGTAGCGCTGCGAGCTGTCAGTTCATTCTTTCACTTGAACGTCGAATATGCATGCAATGGCTCAAAGAATGTATGGAACAGGCCGCCATTGGCAGGATGTCGCTGGCACAGCTGCATGTTTGCCTTGCTGCAGGACATGGCTGGGCTCCTGATACAAGCTGCAATATTGGACAATGACCGCCGGATACTCGAGCGAGGCGGGGTCGAGGTCAGCCTCAAGATGGCACAGTAGCCTCAGCCTGATCCAGTTGGCAATATGAGTAGGAAGAGTGCTGTGGGCGGTCCGGGTTCAAAAGTATGCTCATGGGACTTTTTAGACATCTGTTGCTTCTGCCTCAGCCCCATGTCCCACTTCAGGTTGACCTCAGCCGCCAACACTTCACTGTCACAATTTCACAGCGCTTACCTCGACCAGGAGCTCTCAGAGGGAAGACAGGAGCCCCGTAGCCTTCGCTGATTGCAACATTACTTCGCACTCTCCTGGCTTACCTGTCCTTTCCTCGTCTTCCGTGTTTCTTCCTTGGTTCTAACACCACAACCACTTCGCTGGGACCTTTCGTGTTCGCTACTGAGGTGGCCTTGCTTGCCACAACGGCGCCTATCAAGGTCCCCCTGATCCCGCCAAAGGGTGATAAACTTGACCTTGCTTTGCCATTCGACAGCGGAAAGTGACCTCGCTGCCAACGTCATACATCGTGCCTCTTAAGTATCGCTCTTTGCCTTCCGCTACCCGGTACGACTCGTTGAAGCTCTGTCTTGGCTCCGATAACGGCCACTTGATCGAAGCAGACGACATTTTCAAAGATGTGATGACCACCTCTTCGGATATTCTTTCATCACTTTTCTCGATGGCACTCCAGGTAATCAGACCGTGGCATGGCTGCGTTTCTTGCCTCGCTTCGAGTCTTCTCGCATGTTATCGGACCTGAAGAGTTCGACGACTATCGTCAGAATGGAGTACTCAGGTTCTTGCATGTACCGACTCGCTTTCCACCAGCCCTGAGAGCAACCCATATCCTCATATATGGCAAGACACTTGCGCGAAACGAGAGTGCTGCTCTCGTGCAGTGTATTGCAGCTGTGATGGAAGAATTCATACCTCCAAACATCATTTCGAATGACATACGGCGCGGCTTGGAGGGTGCGAGACTTGTCTTTGGGATCGTATTGTGCGGAGTTCGCGGCCCACCAAGTCGCCAACATGAGAACACAGATACCCAGGGTTCTGTTTTCCTTGTATTACCGGCTACTATACATTCGATGTGAGGGATGCAATGACAACGGAAGCAGTCACTGATCCTATTTTGGCCGACCTTGGCCTTCTCAACAAGAGTGTTTTCAACGCTTTTTCTGTCTCTGCGATACTCAAACGACAGTCCTCAATGCTACCTTAGGGGCTGCGGTCGGAAGGATTTCACGCGACTCCGAGTGGCTCTGCTTTACGGTGAGGTGGCACCAGAGGCTTCCTATTATAAGGCCGACCTGCTAGGCGCGGCACTTGAGCAGTATGCAACAACAGTACACTCTCAGTTTCTCGACCCCAAGAGCTTGTCCTCTGACGTCCTCTTTCTCGCATCGCTCTGTGAAGAGACGAAGCTTGTGGTGATCGCGCCGCGTCAGCTGTCCAATGCCAAGGTTCCCAGTTTTGACGCTCGACCGACACGGATACATGGCCGTCTACACCGGAAGAGCTGCCTGCGCCGCGCCGGGCCAAGACCATACAGTTTTCAATCCATTGACTGGTGTTGAGGAGAATGTGTGGACGTCACGATCATTTCGCAATGTCGGCTTGATCACTTTCGGGACTCAAGCAGGGATCTCACAGAAGTGACTAACGTGGTCGAGAACTTTCAGCAAGCCGTGGACAAAATGAAGGAAGACGGCGCCACTGCATTGTGGGACGCACTTGCACTGGCGGCAGACCCTCTGGTTGACACGAGCCGTGCATATCCGCAGATCAAGAAGAGAATAGCTTGCCTATCTGACGGCGTGGATACGAGCTCAGTCAGAGACGTTGAAGGTGTCTGTCGAACATTACTCCAGCGTCAGATTGTCGTCGATTCGGTCTGTATCGGCGGCCAAGACAATCGCGCATTCAGAACTGTCTCATACTTCACTGGTGGCTACAGATTCGCGCCAAACCTCAGTAGAGGGAAGCATCTGCATTGTGCGAACCCGAACCTGTGCTATTCATACATGAGAGGCCACCAGTAATATCTCAAGCGATGTCTGGTTCTAACTTCCAATTCGGACACTTCGGTTCCAGCTCAACAGTCACACCAGATCCGGTCCCGAGGACAACGAACAAGCAGATCCTCGATACAGTCTTTGGCCTCCTTCTTGTCCCTGAGTTCAGCGACCCCATCAATACCGTCGTGACCCTCGATTACTACTGGGATGAGGTTGCTTTCAAGGAGGAAGTCGAGAAACACACATTCAAAAGTACGCCAACCGGACCAGATCTCAGTTGGGCGATTCGATCTTGATGGTAGGGTAAAGACAGACGGTAACAAAGACTCAACCGCTTAGCCTCGCCGTTGTGCAGGTGGAAGTGCAGTAAGATGGGAATGGAGACAACGCGAAACAAGGAATGAGTATTGAGCGCAGATAGGCGACGTGAAGCGAGCCACTTCGAGCAGCACATAGTAGACGGTTGTCATTCCTTCTGCCGGCAGGCAGCATTGCCACCACAGTGTATGCTGGAAAGCACGAAGGAGGACGGACCGGGGGGGTATTCTTTAGTGGGTGCGATGACTGGAAAGAGAGCGGTGCGGATATGTACTCCGTACTGTACTCCTTTCGCTGTTCAAGAATCAAGACTGCCACCCTCCGCAACCCCAGAAGCTGTGCTGGCTACAGTAACCACGATGAAAGTAACGTGATCGCGCGCCGACGCTGTGCGACGTCAGAGGCGGGGTCGCGTCTGCACGATTTGCTGCACACAGTACGGAGTAACTCATACGTAGTTACACGAAACCCATGCAAGGATATTAATGGTTGACTGGTCTGGTGCACGGGTTGGATTCCCAGTTCCAGTGGTACACAGTATTCACTACCTATACATGGTATGGCTCGTGTATCTACGCTGAGACCACTGCCTACACCCTCTCGGTCTTAACCAGAGGTAGTGTCCACGGTGATCGCTGCCGACCTCAGTCTCGTCTCTCATCGCCAGGCCATGACACACATGTGAAGGGCAAGAAGAAGCCTCTGCACAGGCTTCGAAGCCAGCTTCGTGGAGGCACAGGGAAGGTTTGTTGAAGCGTCGCGAAGAGGCTTGGCGCAGCTGAAAACCGTTCAGCGAGTCCGGGAGCAGCAGAACGAACCAAAGAGAGCAGAAAGTGCAAGGAAAAAGTCGCTTGTGTTCTCCCACCGCACTGCGCAATGGAGGGAATGTAGTGCCGACTTCACCGTCAATGGTCCGCTGTCGGTCTATTCGATCTTTCGAACAAGAGGCCGAGGACTGCAGATGCATGATTTTGCGTTCAGGCGATGTACTGGTGGGACTTGAGGACTCTCCATCTATACGAATGAGACATTTGTCGAGGTGAGCGGTCAGCACCAAAGGATCAAAGAGTGACTCGGGCGGATGCTTCTAGCTATGCAATTTGACGACAAGTCTGGAACAGTCTGCGCCATGCCGGTCTGGTAGAAGTGAACTTTGTCCAAGGCTTGTGTGAATTTTGCATACCAGTGGTATTCTGCATCTTAACATACGGGCTTTCGATAGAGGGGACTGCGTGCCTCTCATTTCTAGAGTATTTTGTGTGACCAGTCCGGATTGCTCTTTTCGCCGACGGATCTAGGGAGCATTGCGACGACGTAGTGCACGAGAATAAGTCAGCTGGGCTCGACTAGCAAAGTAGTTAGCCACGGCGACCCTGAGACAAGGACAAGCCCAGCGGTCCCGAGTGCAGGTCTCCCATGCTGATGGGACCATGTGTGGGAACTGAATGGACCGGGCGTGCCTTGCCGGTTCCGCGTGGTTCACGAAGAAGCGGTGTGACTGCAAAGTTTAAGGAATTGCACCCAAACAAAGAAACACCCAACATTTTCGAGCTTGAGATGGAATCAGGAACAGCTACCGCGAACTTCAATGTTGGTCGTCCGTGTAAGCAGGATGAAAATGGCCATCACATTGCTGCGCCTCATTTTGGTGACGAGGCGGTCTCCGAGTCCCATCGGAGATACCACATCCAGGCTTGACCAAGCGGCCCGAGGCAGGCAGCCTGCATAGATCATTGGTGTAGATCATAGGACAGGAGGCTATCCACCTGTCAACGGCTCAGTGGTTGTTGTGAGGTCGATAGACCAATGGCGAGACCTGCGGACTCGATCTTCTGGCAAGGCCACGCGAAACAGGGATAGACTCAGTACCTACGTCCATAGTATCAAGCATTAGTGCCGACCAACCTGACGCATAGTAGAGTATATAGCAGAGACTTCCTCTTGCTACTGTGAGAAGCAGCTCGCTTTTTGAAGTGAAGCCTTTCAACTCGCACGATTGTTGTTGTACTGCACGAGCGGTGCCCGGAATCCCTCTGAGCCATTCCATGAGGACCCATTCATGGCCGTGATGGCATTACCTGATTTCCGGAATTATTCTCTGCTGAACGTACCTTGCAACGAAATGCACAGTTCCGAGAGGTCGGCCTGGAGAGGCACAAGATGTCATTCGGCACGGAGGCTCTCTGGGAGGCACAATTATTCCGAACAATGGTGGCACAGCAGCAGTTTTGTGTCACCATGGCAAGGCTTTCTGCATGGTAGTTAGTTCATTCCTCCATTATCCTGCCTTCTGATGGCGGCGCCGGGATCTGCCTCGTTTCAGGCAGGAACGCAGCGCCCGGCGGTCCAATGCGCATGTGGGGGATATCTTGCCAGTTGGCGTAAGGAACCCAGTGCTAGCAGTGGTGCGACAGGGCAATGTGAAGGTTCCGACTGGTGGCAGTGTGGGAGTAAAGGTGGTGATTGATCGGCTAAGACGTGGCATTTGGGTCATTGGGCGTCGACCTTGCCGAAGCCGCGTGACGCGGAGAACATGCGGCATGATGGAAGCCTGGAAAGGACGGTGACATGGGGCTGACTACTATGCTTGTGGTGGACCACGCTGTTGCCATGCAAAGAGCAATTTGCGTCCATTGGCGCTCAGGTGCAGCGTGTCAGAGCACCGAACACAGTGACAAAGAAGTGACGAAGAGGTGAGTGGAAGCGAGCGCGAGTTACAAACGGGAAACTGCGGGCGCGTTGGATTTGCTCGGCACCGGATGGGAAACTACAGGGGGGGCCATGTACCTTCCGTGGCCTGCGCAGTCTGGCCTACCATTCGACCTTCACTCGCACCACGTTTGCCATATCAAAGCTGACGACAATTCGACCAGAGTCGTCTATGCAGCTGTTACTGGTTATCCATGCCCTCCACCAAGCGCGGAAGTGATAGTTGCCCGACATCTGCCTTCACTGCCGCATTGGAGCTGCAACTCGGTAAGTCCTCGTTGGCATCCGCCTCGCCGCCTTGCGTGAGGCAGGGGCTGAGCCTCTTGTGATGGTCCAAGTACTATGAGAGGCCGCTCTGTTATGGGTGATCGCTGGCTGGAGCCTCGGGCTCCTGGGCTGACAGGACTCAGAGACATCGCCTGCGCCTCTTCTTGCGCTCTCGGCATCGATTTAGGCTCGTTGTGCTTATTGCAGAGCAGCCATTGTCTACATCCTGCTTCATTGAAGAACCAAAGAGGTTGCTGTCTCCAAGCATCGGTGCCCAACCTAATAACATGGCGGTGTCTGAGGATTCTCCCATTTGCTATCACATTGCTCATTGGAACATCTTGCAAATGGGATTGAGAGCCGTCACTGTACACAACTGGTGGCGTCCATGGGCCCTCAGTATAAGTCGCGGAGCATGGGAGCTCCTCGAAGAGCTAGCTCTATTAACACCCCGAGTCCCGACTAGATCGCACTCTACGACCTCAAGAGTTTGGTCCAGGTCTGCCCACGATGCCCTCGAAACCAAGGACAAAACTGCATGCGAGTGAAGAGGTTGGCCAGTCAAGAGGCTCGACCAGTCCGCAACGCCAAATAGATAGGCGTGTGGCAATTCGTGCAGGTGATCGAGTGCAGGAGAGGCTCCAGGACAACATCACCCCAAGACCGACCACCGCAAGACCATCTGCATCAGCATCGGAACGTTCAAGTGGTCACCGGGGAATGGTCTCCACAACCACACCCCTCCGTGTTGCCAATGACCAATCTCACCAGAGACGCACTGACTTACAACGTAAGCGCGCTTTCGCCAACACCTGGGAAGGATGATGCTGACACAGAGCAGGAGTGCCGGGAACACCATTCGCGAATCCACCCGGAAGCCGAACCGGTCCTCAAGACCATACCCTCAATGACGGCTCAGAGGCTAACCGTGAAGGTCGAACCAGTAGCACCCAAGGGACATGGGCAGGGTCTGAATCACCACGAGCAGAGCGGAGACCTTCCAACCCTGCCACCCAACCCATCGAGCTCACACATACAATCTCGAATGATCTTCCAGGTATCGGAAGCATACATTCTTATGGTGAGCAAGCTCGGAACTTGGTCGCAGGTGCAGACAACGTAGCATGGCTCGGGCATAATGCAGGACAAGCGGGCAATGATGGGAGATTTCCCGATAGCCCTCGATCCGGTTTCTTGTCAATCTCCGACGATGACCAAGACCAGATGAACCAGGCAGGATAACAACAACACCAGCCAACTGCACCAAACGAGTGACACCACTGAGACATACCAGCACAGCATTGCTGCTGACAGCCCGCA